GATTTCAAGTGTTATCGTTGTGGCAAAGCTGGGCATATGGCTTGCAACTGCACAGGAGAGCCCCTCAACAAGGGTAAAGGACCAGCTGTCAGAGCAGTCAAAAATGAAGAAGAACCAGCAGCAAAGCTGCTCACACTGGAAGATATTAACTGCATCGTAAATAAGAGGATCTGCCTCTCTTCCACGTACAACCTAGAGAAGAAGGGTTTTTAGAAAGATCAAAGTTAACTGTGAACTTAGATCAGAACAATTGTTTCTCCATTCTTAGCGACCCGGCAATCATGTTTACAGAAATATCAGAAGTTTGTTCTGGGAATAAACGAGAGCATTTTTACTTGCCAGTTATGTTGGAAGGAAAACATAGGAAAGCAGCCGTCAATGCTCTAGTAGACTGCAGAGCAACAAATCTTTTCATTAGTGAAAGGTTTGTAAAAAGAAATGAAGTCCAAACCAAGCAGTTGTTGTGAGCACTGCTGGTCTGCAATATCGATGGAACTAAAAATTCTGCTGGACCAATCAAAAGCTACGCCAATTTGAAACTCATGATAGTGGATCATGAGGAAGAAGTAGCCTTTCTGATCACAGATCTAGGAACTGATGATACCATCATTGGAATAGATTGGCTATGATACCACAACCCCAGTATCAATTGGAATGCAGGGAAGGTGGCATTAGACCATTGTCTGGTGAAGTGTCAAGAAGCCAAGGTTAAAGATAAAAAGACCAAGGTGAGGAAGCAAAAGATCATGGCTTCTGCAATTCCTGAGTTGTTACTGGCAGAAGATGATGAAGATGAGGATATAGAAGAAAGTCCTATTGCCCATCAGATAAATGTGACAGGCTTCAACTCTTCACCTTTGTCACATAAATCATGAGGACATGTTGAGATGGAGGAAGTCGAGGATGAGGATTCATCACAAGATGTGTGGATCAGATATAAAAGCTCTGTAGCTTCAGAGTTAGCCCAACAGGAGAAGAAGAAGAAGAAGAAGAAGAAGAAGAAGAAGAAGGAAAAGAAGCCCATTGAAGAGATGGTTCCAGAATGGCTCCATGACTATCTCAAGGTCTTCTTCGAAGAAGAGTCTACTTGGTTCCCCAAATCCAAGAAGTGGGATCACAAGGTAGACCTCAAGGATTCAAATGATCTTCCTCCAAATGCGAAGGCATATCCCCTTTTGCCCGTCAAAAACAAAGCATGTGAGAAGTGGCTCAAACAAGAATATGATTTAGGATGACTAAGAGATTCAGAATCTCCAGTAGCAGCTCCTTTCTTCTTTGTTGCCAAAAAAGACAGAAAGCTCAGACTCATTATGGACTATCAGAGGTTAAATGAGAAAACCATCTGAAACGCATATCCTCTCCCTCGCTCTCAGGATCTGATTGATTGTCTCTCTGGTGCAAAACTCTTTTCAAAGATGGATGTTCAATAGGGTTACAATAATATTAGGATGAAAGAAGGAGACCAGTGGAAGGCCACCTTCAGAACCCCTTTTGGACATCATGAACCAGTTGTAATGTACTTTGGCATGACGAACTCTCCTGCTACCTTTCAAACTATGATGGATCAAATCTTCCAAGATCTCAAGGAAGGGAAGGTTGTTGTAGTCTACATTGATGACATCTTGGTTTTCACCAATGATGATGTAGAAAAGCATCGAAAGGTGGTGTGCAAAGTACTACAGAGATTTCAGGACAATGATCTTTATCTCAAACTGGAGAAATTTTCCTTTGAGAAGAAAGAAGTAGAGTTTCTCAGTTTGATTATTAAGGATGGACACGTTTCCATGGATCCAGTCAAGGTTAAAGGAGTCCAAGAATGGCCGACTCCTACCTGTGTCAAAGATATCCAACGATTCATGGGATTTGTGAACTTTTACTGTCAATTTATTCTCGGATTCTCAAACATTGCCAGACAGACCCATGAATGAGCTCATCAGGAAGGATGTACCATGGGAATGGACGGACAAGCAAGAAAAGGCCCCTTCAAAACCCTTCAAAACCCTTAAAGACAATTTCACTTCTGCACCAGTACTAGTTATGCCAGATGCAAAAAAGAAACAGAAAATAGAAAACAATGCATCTGACTATGCTACTGGTGGTGTACTTTCCCAGTTAGAAGAAGATGGATTATGGCATCCAGTGGCCTTTTTTAGCAAGTCAATGAATGATGCAGAAAGGAACTATGATATCCATGACAAAGAACTTTTGGCTATCATTTGTGCATTGGAGGAGTGGAGGCATTATGTGCAAGGCACTCCTCATCTGGTGGAAATTTGGATGGATCACAAGAACCTCAAATACTTCATGACAAGTCAGAAGTTGACTCTTACACTGCAACACAAACCGGGGAAGGTTAACGACACTGCTGACACTCTGTCAAGGAGGCCAGACCACAGAGGGGGGGTAGAAAACGATAATTCCAATTGCATGCTTTTAAAACCCGAGTTTTTCTACATTAAAGCTGCAAAAAGAGGTCAAATCCTAATAGAAGGAGAGCAAACACTGTTGAAATGCATCAGAAATTGCACCAACCTAGATCCGGAAGTCTGAAATGCTATTGAAACCCTTAAGAAAGCCCCTGTACAGTTGAGGAAAGGACTAGAGGAGTGGAATATGGAAGATGGACTCATTCTGTTCAGAGGATTGGTTTATGTTCCCAATAACAAGGAAATATGTTGCTCAGTGCTAGAGATCTTCCATGACTCGCCTGCAGTAGGACATATGGGACGTGCCAAAACTCTCGAATTAGTTTCCCTTAATTATTGGTGGCCCCAAATGCATAAATGGGTCAATGACTACATAGATGGATGTGATCGATGCAAGCAGACAAAGGTGTTACTGTCTAAACCTCACAGACCCTTGAAGCCAAACAAAATCCCAGAAGGTCCATGGCAAACCATTAGCTGTGATCTTATCACTGATCTACTGATCTCCCAAGGCAAAGACAGTATTCTAGTAGTTGTTGATCATTTCACGAAGCAAGCAGATCTTGCTCCTACCACCAAAGACATTAATTCCAAGGGAATTGTGGACTTATTTCTCAAACATGTATGGAAGTTGCACAGAACACCAAAGAAGGTGATTTCCAATAGGGGAACACAATTCGTGTCAAAGTTTATGCAGGAAGTCTCAAAAAGACTAGGAACAAAGTGGTCCATGTCAACAGCATATCACCCTCAAACTGACGGACAGACTGAACAAGTCAATCAAGAAGTAGAACAATATCTTCGACTTTTCACGTCTTACCGTCAAAATGACTGGGTATTGTGGCTTCCCATTGCAGAATTTACACATAACAATTCCATAACAACTACTGGACATTCTCCTTTCAAAACCCTCTATGGCTATAACCCTGAATTCATCATTTCTCCTAATTCCTCTAATACCGTTCCTCAAGCTGATGAGAGAGTAGCCGAGATGAAAGAAGTGCAGAAAGAAGAAAAAGCAATGCTAGAGATAGCAAATGATCGAATGAAACACTTCTATGATCATGGAGTAAAAGACACACCCATTTTGGAAGTTGGACAGAAGGTCTGGTTAGACACCAAGAATATTAAACAACAGTGGCTGAGTCAGAAGTTGTCAGATCGCCACCTTGGCCCCTTTGAAATACTCAAGTGAATAGGCGAGCTAAACTACCAGATCAAATTACCCCAATCCTATCAGATCCATCTGGTATTCCATGTGGGGTCACTCACTCTGCACAAAACTTCCGCACTAACACCTTGAGTTGCCCCGCCATGTCCACACCCTGAAATCGTTCATACTGGAGAAGAATATGAAGTAGAAGCAGTAACATCCAGCTGAATATGGCGACGGAAACTGCAATACAAGATAAAATGGAAAGGGTATCCATTGGAAGAAGCAACATGGTACTCCACAGGCTAGAACAATCTCTCTTCCTATTGTTTAATCTCTGTCTATGATCTCATCGCTTATATATCATGATGTCATACTACATCATCCGCAGTCATTGTACGACTCTGTTCTCATTGGCTGATTTGTTTCATACTCAGATATCTCAGATTCAATGTTATGTATATAAGTAGGTTAGTTAGCATAAGTACTCCTTAGACTTAACCTCTTCATTCTCTACACTTGTAGTAGGCTCAGACATTCACGCTCAATCCTATCCTCGCTTTTATCATCAACTGTGACCGAGTCCTAGTGGTTGTGTTCTTGCCTTTGCCATTCAGTGAACACTGGTTATAACACAAGTATGGTAACACTTCAGTGGACATTCCAGATTATCCTTTAGCCTCTGGTTGACTATTTCCTACAGATTATTTTATGTGCTCTATTTGAAATTTGTTTTTGCACTCCGGTATATGATAATCTGGATTATTTAGCCTGTGGGAAGTCACCCACTTTCATATTGATAGACCAGAATCCATATTTGTTCATTCACCGCTTTTGTTTACTTGTGGAGCTGGACAAATAAAAGGGTCCCACCTATTACAATACTTCATCAGGTGAAATACCCCCAAATGGTGCTGGATTGCACAACTTTCTCACTCGACGCCCTCTTCAGACACCATCCTCACCATGGTTGGAAACCGCCATCACATTCCAGCAACCGTAAAGCAACAATGGGTCACTATGTCTGCCCAAATGTCAACCAGGGCCATAGCACAAGTCACTAATACAAGCCACCGAACTATCAACCAAGTTCTTTGGCTCTCTCGTCTCACAGGTTCTGTTGTCAGAAGGCCCTTGGAAAGTGGATGTCCTCATCTGCTCACTGCAATAGATGTATTGGTAAGTAAAATAGGTCTGTATAATGTTCAATAATTTGCCCTGACCTTCTCAGTACCTATTGTCATGTATTGAGCATACTCCAGACATCTTCTTGTTGGAATTGCAACATGTACTACACAAGGCAAGGGGGGTTGAAGTCTCTGGGATAACTATTGAATGAACAACATGACAACATGGCCTCACGCACAAACACGTATGTAATATCTATTTACTGTGAATTTCATACTGACTTTCTCTTCTAGGTGTCTAGGGCTGCACTCGAATGCAATGAAGACAACTGTGATCGCTACCAAATATTTATAGCCAAGAATTTCTGTCCTGAGCAGCTTGTTTTTGTTGATGAATCAGCTTGTAATCGGATTACAACAAAGTGTCCAATGGCCTGGTCTCCGATTGGCACACATGCATGCTGCCATGGATATTTCATCCATGGGCAAAGGTGAGTGACTCAGAATTGATCTATTTGCAGTCAAAGTCTAATTTAACTCAGGTATTTAGTGCTGCTGTGGTCTGGTTCAGTCCGGTTCAGAGGGTGTTGCATGAGAACTGAGAACTGGACCATGGTCCAGTTCAACAAAATTGTCGAACCCAGAACCAGACCCTTGTGAATGGTTCAGAATGGTCAGGTTCGGTTTTTTGGGGGTTCAAACTCGAACCAAACCCAAAAAAAATTACAGTGAACAAAACACACAATAAAGTAAGTATTGAAGTGCAGGATGACGAGGTGAGTTGAGGTGTACTTGTTGAGGGCCTGAAATCACACCTGCAGACTCATTGTGACCTTCAATACACAGTAATCTTTTGGTTTTGTTTAAATGTTAATAGAAATCAAGTTTCAGACAATTGAAAATTTTGGAATCAATGTATTGCATTCAACTAGTCTAAACATGAACTAATCTAAGAGTTACTGAAAGAGTGTGAGAAGGTACCACAAGGATATTGGGTGCCGAGAGGGTGCGAGGTGATGCTGTGAGAGTTTTGGATGCTGTGAGGTGGTGCAAGATGGTACTGGGAGGTGCAGGAGGTGATAGAGTGCATGGGAGGGTGTGATAGATTGAGGGCAACTAGGTGATATAATAGGTTGTTAGTAGATAATAAGAAAACAGAAACAAAGGACTTATAACTCAAAGCCGGGTCAACTAAGGTCAAAGTAGTAGTGCCAAGTCTGCCAACTGTGCTGAGAGAGTGGGAGAGGGTGGTTAAGGCAAATAATAAGCAAGCAGTAATGAGAAAATAAAGAAAATAAAAGACTTAGTTGAATGATGGCAGTGGTGCAGGTAGAAGTTAAGAGTCAAAGTGTAGAACAAAGACTTCTGAAATTTTTGACAAGTTGAACCCTGACTCACACCAGCATTGTCGAGTTCTGTGAGGTTCTGTGGTGCTGTGTGTTATGACCAACGTTCACCAATAATGATGAAGGCGAGTTCACAACCACTAGGACTCGGTCAAAGATGATGAGGAACAGGATAGTATTGAGCATGAACGTCTAAGTCACTACAACAGTAGGAAACGAAGAGGTTAAGTCTAAGGAGCACTTACGCTAACTACCCTACTTTTATATATAACATTGAATAGGAGTCTGAAAGAAATCAGCCAATGAGAAAAGAGTCGTATGATACTGCAGATGACTAAATATGACATCATGATATATAAGCGAATGAGTAAGACGGTTACTAAATAGAAACCCAAGATCTGACCGGTTCTTCTTTAGGACGCGAGATTGTTCTAGCCCGTGGAGTAGGGGAGCCAATCGGAGAAACCACGGGTGATATGTGAAGAGGTGAAGGTGTGACAGGGTGAGGAGTCATGTGACCAGTTCGGGTACTGGAAGTAGCCGAAGGAAAACCGAGAAATGAAAAATGAAAAATGGTTCGTATTAGGAATTCGTGACACTGTGAGAGCTGTGAAGAATTAGCAAACACTGTGCAAGGTTTAGTAGTTTACTGATGTACATGTGGGTAGTCAGTAAAACATGAGGTTCAGAACTGTTCAGGACCAAGGGAGAACCATCCGAGGTAAAATGAACTGAGAACCGTACTCCGGTTCGGTCAGGTCCAAAGGCATCACAGTGGACTGGACCACCAAGAACCTGACCGTTGGTTAGGTTCAAACCATGGTTCTGGACCAAACCATGGCAGCACTACAGGTATCCAATCCTACCTGCTCTCTCGTTAGATGGCATCCTGCACCTTGATGTGCTTGATTGTTCATATACATTGGCAACATTCAATGAGTTCATAGATGGTTTGCTCAATAATATGAACCCTTTTCCTCAGAAAAATTCCATAATTGTGATGGATAATGCAAGCATTCTTAAGTCACTGCATCTTGAAGAAATGGTTCAACAAAGGTATCACTTTTGCTTGTCTAGTTTTTGACTGACCATCAATTTGAATGCTTTCAGGGGCATGCACATTGTGTATTTGCCACCTTATTCACCTGACTTCAATCCTATCGAGGAAGCTTTCTCAGCAATAAAGGCTTGGATACAATCCAACTGTGACTATGCCAGGGGAGAAATGACGGGCAAGCTGACTTGTGATCCCTACCAATTGTTGTGGAATGCTGTATTCAACACTGTCACACCTGAAAAAGCTCATGGTTGGTTTGTGCACAGTGGGTACTCATCTTGATTATTTTGTACAGCTACAACAATTATTACTTAACATCTACTGTACAGTGTATCAGAAAATGAATGGCCAGTAATGTTACTTGACATCTAATGTACAGTTAGTGTTAGACACTTGTATTGATACTGATTGATATGATACTCCTTCAAATTTCGACACTCTGCTCTCTTGCTTTGCCTTTCCTTGCCCACCAAATCAGTCAATAAGTAACAGCAAGAAAAGAGTGAACTACTCCAACTGGCATGCCGATAATGTCGACAAAAAAATCATTGGATATGCCAATGATGCCATTTACATATGCAACACCATTGCTAATGAGCATGTTCTCATACTGAGACATATTCAAAAGTAGCATGGTGATATCCATCTCTTGAAGTGCCTCTGTTATGGGTGGATACACAATGAACTCATCATCTTAGAAAATATCAGAGTCGAGAAGAGCCTTGACGTATTGATTCGACATTGACCACCAACATCACTGAGTGGCTGTGTAGCAGTTGTCAGAGGGAGATGGACTGTGAATCGCAGGTAAACTAGGACCAGCTTGTGAGGCAGTTGTGGAAGATACTCGATGCTTTTTTGAGATATGATCAAAAGCAGCTGTCTCGGGAGGTTTCTCATAAGTGGCCTTGCCCAAGAACTGTATTGAAAAATAAGCCACTAACAAAGGTTTCAAGATTGACCTCACTTACGATTTTTTTTGCCCAGAGCGTGAGGTTGTAAATATCTTGTGCTTTGTGGTCACCACTGATGGGGTTGATGTAGCAGAATTTGCCAGGGTGCTTCACACAGTCTAGCTTGTTCTTAAGTTTGTGGAACTCAGCTGTGAAGCTGAGAGTAGTTGCATGCTGATTACTGGTTCCTATGTCTTCACGATGACCTCAAGTGGCCAATGCAGCTTGACACACTGGTCTCTTCTGATTGAAATTAGCAGCATGTTACTTACAAGCTTTGCCATCACTTACCAGGTTGTGTAATTCAAGAATGGTCTCTTGAGTATGAGAATGATCGATCAGCTGCCTGCCTCGTTCTAGTGCTTCATGAAGCTGCTGCTTGTCAGAGAGCTGATGGGGGTCATCATGGGCATGGTTGGTATGAAACTTGTACCCTAGTTCAGCATCTGCTGGGTCCAAGTCCATCTTGGCACAGACACATGAGAAAAAATCAACAAAAGAAATGTTGAGGGGAAGACGAATTTGAATTTGACTGACATGACCTCCAACAACACCAGAATTTAATGGAATGAAGATGGTAATATTGGAAGTGACTGAATGATCAAATACCTCAACTTGATGATCAGATAAAGATAAAACATGTTCACTCACCAACTGGCTGCTGAGCTGGCCTAGCATTGACCTGCATTGGCACAGGATTTGGAGCATGTACAGGAACATGCATGGAATATGGAGGTGGCACAAAATTGTGAATGTGATGAGGTGCTGTGCTCAGCAGCAGGGGCATATTTTCAATACCGTGGATAAAGGGGTGGGTAGGGAGCATGTTGAACCAATAGCTAGCATGAGGGAAGCGATGTTGGAGCATCTCTCGCTGCTCCTCTTTGCTATGAATAGGACTTTGGAGTGACTAGAATCAGACATACTATGATTGTAACAAATCCTACACTCGCTCAATGTGCAGGTCTTATATAGGTTGGCCATTAGGGATCGGGGAACAGTATCAGTTGGATCATTCTGACATCATTGAAGTCAAACATTCAAGAAGATGAGAAAGCTGTCGTGCTAATGACCCGGTTGCTAGCCCTGAGTGGAGCATGTTGAAACCAGCGAGTACTAATGAGTAACAGAGATAATGTTAAACATACCATGATGAGTTGGTGATAAATAGTCATACCAACAGTGAGCTCAGAAGGGTGTCAGATTCAGCATCAAATGAGCAGTATCATAACTGTATCATAGAAATTGCACAGTCCAGTACCATTCTGGGGTATTTCGCCCAATCAAGTATTGTAATAGGCAGGATCCTTTTGTTTGTTCAGCTCCACAAGTAAACAAAAGCAGTGAATGAACAAAAATGGATTCTGGTCTATCGATATGAAAGTAGCTGTAGTGAGTAAATCACCAATTCATCTGGCTCATGGGTTGTTTGGAATCCTTGTTGAACTTGCACTACTTAGCTGGTGGAATTTATGCCTCAGTGCACCATATCGGACAAGGTCAGTCACATGGGTCGTGTGGACAAGAACCTCACCCCACTTTTGGTTTGTCAGGTTCTTCTGTTTGCGCCCCACCAGCACTTCACCTGAGTTGTTCGTGTTGGGACACTGTGCCAGGTAGTTATATATATATATATCAGAGTCGTTGTCTCATCATTTTCCTTTCAATCAAAATCAGACTCTTGCGCCCACACTGTGCCATGCTTAGGAAACTCACATCCATGCTGTGCCATGCTTGTGCTTGAGCCATGCGCTGCACACCTTTCATTTGAACTGCATTTGGACCTTGAGACCCTTGATGAATTCAATGAATGTGTTGTGGATGTAAGCCAACACATCATGAGTTGAAGGCATGTCCACCAGTATAGCATTTGGCTGCATTGCCACCAAACAATTTTTAAATGCAGGTTTGTCAGCCACTACAAGGCTCTGCACAACAACACTGTTTCAGCATTTTCCCAATCTCATGTATCATCAATATCATCACTCACCTGGTCATCACAGACCACAAATTCAGCAACTGTGTGCAGCACATCCTCCCTCGAATACTCTTTGTTTTGCAACTTCTGGAACATCTGGCCTAGATTTTGTTGGAGATCCTTCCCTTGTTTCTTCCTATTCACTTGCGGCTTTGCTATATCATGTGGTATTGCATGGTGATTTTCCTTCAGGCCCAGTCCTTTGCATTTGCTTTTGTATACCTCATAATGGCTTTGGATGTGTTGCCGACACAAAGAATTACTTCTGACATGGAATGCCTTGTGTTTTCCATGCTTCGTGACTGTTAAGGTTGTGCTCAAGGGAGAAGTTGCTCAAAGGGCTTCGGCTTCAGCTCGTGCACTGCACCCCTTACCCGAGTACATGCCCTTTAATTTCCAGGGGACAGAGGGGAAGTCCAACGGAAGTCCGGGGAGTTCCGGAGGACTTAGGGTCGGTGGAGTTTGGCGGAACTCTGGAAGGTTTATGCAGGGACGGAGTAAGGCTACTATGGAAGTCCAGAGTAGAAACAGAACAGAGGTTAGACTACCCTAAGGTAGAGCCAGAGAAGTAGTCCTAAGGTTTAACCCCTAAGACTCGGAGGTGGACAAGAGATGAGACTCAAGTTTGGAGATTGCAGGAATGAGCAGAACTAAGATGATATTCGAACTGAGGAGTTCCGGAGTATTACAGGGGTTTATATACTGTAGGTATCATGTAGGTAAATCAGTCAGCAAAGGTAAGGGCTATGTACAAAGCATGTGGAAAGTCTATTACTAAGTATAATGGATCAAAGCAGTGAAGTCGGAAATGAAGTAAGAATGGATGGATCAGTAAGCATAGCGGAATAGGACATAACCGGTAACCGGAGCAATAGTTAATCTAAAAGGAATTAGGGGAGAGTGCGGAGATGAAGGTGGAGCGCCGGGTGGAATAGTAAGATGGAGGAACGGACTTCAATGAAGTAGATCCGGAATTCCGGATCCGGAGGTACGGGATATGACAGTGACAAAATCTATATCATCTCTACAGGTGCAATGTAAGTACTTGTCAATATTAGTGTTCAATCTGATATACTGACTTGCATGCATTGCACCAGCACCCCTTCAATGTTTCTACATTTCCATTAGTCTGGAAAAACTTCACTGTACAACGATCCGAGAACACAGTGAGTAAATCAGTTGTACTTTGTTTGTTTGTTTTCAGCACATCGGGTAGGGTAGTGTGGTGCTGTTCCTGCAAGCCATTGCTGTCCTGCTGTTAAGGTTGTACTCAAGGGAAAGACACCTCAAAGGGCTTCGGCTTCAGCTCGTATGCTGTGCCCTTTACCCAAGTACGTGCCCTTAATTTCCGAGGGGCAGAGGGGAAGTCCGATGGAAGTCCAGGGAAGTCCAGAGGTCAGGCGCCGGGGGAGTTCGGCAGAACTCCGGAAGACTATGAGAGAACAGAGTAAGGCTACTATGGACAAATCCAGAGTAGAAGCAGAATAGAGTATAGACTACCCTAAGGTAGAGCTGGAGATTTAGTCCTAAGGTTTAACCCTAAGACTCAGAGGTAGACAAGAGATGAGACTCAAGTCCAGAGAAACAGGAATGAGCAGAACTAAGATGATATTCAAACTGAGGAGTTCTGGAGTATTACAGGAGTTTATATACTGTAGGTATCATGTAAGTAAATCAGTCAGCAAAGTAAGGGCTATGTATGAAGCATGTGGAAAGTCTATTAGTAAGTGTATAATGGATCAAAGCAGTGAAGTTGGAGATGAAGTACAAACAGACGAATCAGTAAGCATAGCGGAAAGGACATAACCAGTAGCCGGAGCAATAGCTATTCTAAAAGGAGATAGGGGTGAGTCCAGAGATGAGAGCAGAGCACCAGGCGAAATAACAGGATGGAGAACCAGGCTTTAGGGGGAGAGATCCAGAATTCTAGATCCAGAGGTACAGGATATGACACCTGCTATCTGGTGATGTTGAGCTGACATCCAATACACAGATGTCAATGATACAAGTCACGATTACCTCTTTGTCTTCAGCATCCTCAACAAGAGGCTCAATTTCTATTACTTCTTCAATAGTGTTTCAACATGCACACTTAGATTTTGCAGGACCTGGAGGTTTCTTTTTCGAAGTACATTTTGGTTCAGCTGTTGAAGCCCGAGTCGAAGGCCAAGCAGGAGATGTCAAAGTGAGACATTGTGAGCGCTAACCGATTGAGGAACTTACAACCAAGTGACATCAGTCACAGAATCTCATAAGTCGTCATTTACTTCCTATGCTACAGTTTATTACTTATCACTATGCTAACTACTTTAAAACTACGAGTTGTCAGACCAAACATCTCAGTCCATTTCCTGAGACTGAGATGTGAGTCAAAGTTCCCACTTTACGTTACAACTAGAACTAACAGATACTTAGATATATTCTTTTATCAGGTACTACTATAGTTATTACTGAGTCCGTTTCCTGAGACTGAGATATATATTCTTTTATCAGCTCACCTTTCTTGCTCCCTCTAAGCCTCTCATAGCTAGATCAGCCTCACTCTCACTGGTTTCTGATTCACTGTTGCTCAATGCAGCTTTCTGTTTGTGATTCTTCCCTTTTGGTGACACTTGCTTCATCTTTGGAGGCCGTGAGTGCTTGGCTTTGGCAGATGTCATTGCAACAACCTTTTCCGTGGGTCATCACACGTGGGTTGACTTCATGGTCAGGTTGAAGAGAAGATCAAGGCAGTGGGGAGATGCAAAGTATTGATTAGCTGGTAGTGTCTTACAGAATTATTAAAATACAACAATGTGTAGAACATGTTCCTCTATGACGAAGTCTAGACCAGTTGCAACCTACTGTAGTGTGGTCCGGCAACTGAAGGCAACCGGTTTTTGAGAGTTCGGTCCAGTCTTGTGGAACTACAATTAAAATTAGGTCCGGTCCAGGTCCGGTTGTGCCAAAAATGGCCAAAAAAAAAAAACGGACTGGACCGGACTTTAAAACACTAACCTTGGATACATTCTATTTTTATCTTTCTTACTTTTTGATCTTGTTGTGTCAGAACCTTTCCATGAATAATAATAGTAAACTATTCCTAATACTCAAGCTGGTACCAGGCAGTGAATTAAGAAAAACAATTGAAAAAAGGCCACTCATTTTTGAAAAGAAGTGAAAACCACCGAAAAGTCCAAAAAAGTCTCATTAAGTAAGTCGAGGTTTTACTGATGGCCCAATCATGAGAAGAAAAACATACAGTTACAATATTTCTACGGTCCTGACTCCGCCCATGATAGTTGTGAACAGAAGTCACATCTTTGACTTGTGCGACAATACTGTGATCTGATGCAATCCTCTTGTATTCTCCGCCAGGCTGCCGCGCTAGTAAAAATGCCCCAAACGGCTGTCCAAGGCGAACCATCAATCGCAAGGCGCGTGAGTGAGATTCCGAATCATCCTAGCTCTTGTTCGACAGGAGAACCGCTGGGCGAGTTGTCTAACGGAAAATCAGGCTCTGACCAATCTCCCCAGCTCTCCAGCGTCGTCTACAGGGGCAGGGCAGCTCTGAAAAACCAGGCAGCTCGAGGAGACGACGGTCCCATGGACGGATAAGTAAAAAAGGTCTGTCGATGAGGCCTTGTCCGCGAAAGTGCCTCTTTCGTGTTGATCAGCAGGTTGTGAAGCCCGTCTGCCTTCACTCCTATACGTGAAATGAGCTTCTTGGGGTGGGCTGCTTTTCCGTCTGACTTCCGTGACACGGAATGCGATGCATGGCAGATGCAGTCTGCAGTGCGCGAAGCGAGGGGCGCTCAGTGTCAGTCAAGCTGGTCGTAAAGTTTCGAAGCCAACTCCACAAGCCACAGTGTTTTGCAGCGAAGATACTGCCTATCTGAATTTCATCTTCAGACAAAGATGGGAGGGCGCATGGCGGAGCTGCGTATGACGAAATGTTAGCCGGAAGACAACTGTTGAACGTAGGATGGTTGTCCGACCCAGTCGAGGGCGGTGATGTCGCCTGACTGAGCCACAATCTCCTGCAGGAAGCCGCCCGAGCGCATTTTGCTTATTCTCCCCATAATGAATAGGAAGTCGGACGCCGAAAATGCCAAATAATGAGTATGCAATATCTTCTGGCCTAGTGGTGACGCGCGCAGACGCCCATTGGAGTTTCTCTCGGGCATCTCTCATTCCCGGTTGGAAAGAAACGAGGGTGCGTGCATCTATGCCCGTTGCACCCTCCAATTCGTGCATGATCTCAACAGATTCTTTGTGGTTGAGGGAGTGGTCGTCAAGATATGGAGACCAATCCTGTTGGTAGAATCGAATGGTTTTAGGAGCCAGGAATTCTGGGACGGTCCATCCTCGAGTGTTCCAAGCGCTCTTTGCCAGTGCTCCAGACGTGGATGAAGGCGGAACATCAGAAAGGTAGACAGCCGTGAGCGCTGAATCATGATACCAAGCAAACATAGAGTCAAGTGATGATTGGAGCTCGACGTTGTTCGTCTGGTCTATGCAACACGAATCCATCCACGCCCAGTGATACTTTGCCTCATGGGCAATGTTGCAGAATGACTGCAACTTCACAAGACCGCCAGCTTCCTTTATCTCGTACACGACCTTGTCCTTGATGTCGTGCAGCAAAGGCTCCGTCCCTTCCCACCTATGTGACAGCATGACACAACGGAAGTATGCCGCTACCACTTCTGTGATGCGCTCCATTCGGATGTGTGTATGCTTCATAGTCAATGAAAACAGAAGCTCGTTGTATTCTGCGCTGGTTTTGAAGGTGCTTATCTGTGCTTCTCGGTCACATAAGAGTCCAGTGGCGGTGTTGAGTAGACGGAGTGGCGCGGTACCAAGTTGAACGTCGATGACCTTTCGAATGACATCTTCTCCTTCGGAGGGACTGACATATTGCTCACGGAGAGCTAAGGAAAGAGTTGAGTATCTGAACACATGTGTCATTTTGAGCTTACTTCGTATTTGCATGTCATGAGCACTATCCAATCTGGCGAGCATCATTTGGAAAGCCGTAATAGCTTCATCATAGCGTTGTGCACCGTAAAGCGCTGCATGCTTCACCTGGTATCCAACATGAGACGAAGGTTTGAGTTCGATGACCTATGTATTGCCAAAGTGAGCATTGGCTACCATGAAAGCAGATGTCACCATACCTTTTGCGCATCAAGAAGTGCATCCTCCCATAGCTTCTTCCCTGACCTAGCCTTACTGCGGTTTGCGAATATGGTGTCGCTTGCAAAATTGAGGTTGAATTGCTACAGTGTATGATGTAATAGCATTTTCAGTAATCGCTTGCAGCGAGGGCAGCATCTCCGTTGATAATATAGGGCACGCAGTATTCTTGCATGAAATCTGAGTGAAATGCGGGTGAGGATTGTAGCCGGCATGGCATTACGGACTCCAGACTTACCATTGGACCACTCAAGGCAGCGAGCCTTTGTATTATCGTCACTCATATCCATCATGTGTCGGTACGATTCCACAGCTTCTTCATGTCTACCTGCCTGGCGGAGTGCATCACATCGGTTCTGGTTTGCAGTTTGCCACAATGGCTCGATGTCCAACCCAAACAGCTACAAAAAGCATGTGGTTGGGCATGAAAAGTACATTCGGTTGCATCACATCAACGTACCACCATCAGGTCCTCGTATATGAAATCAATGACTGACCCTGACGAGAAAGCACTGGAATTGATAGCGGCAGTGAAGTGGTCAGCAGCTTCGTCGTGGTGCGAGGCATTCAAGGCATTCATTCCGAGTTGAACGTGTAGATATGCCTAATGTACAAATCAGAAAGATCAGTTTCATTACACAAAGCCTGTGCTTCATTAAGGTACATACTTCGACGACATGATATGCGAGAGCACTGTCATCCAGACAAGCTGCAGCTAGCTGTTGGACAAGCTGCATTGCGTCTTGATGTTGATCTGCACGAAATAGGGCAATGACCTGAAATCCGCAATTAAATAGGGACTATCCGGGGAAATTCAATGTACCTTAACCAAGAGAAGGAAATGAGTGATCTTTGAATTTTCGTTCGTGAAAATAGAGGCGATGTCAAATGCCGTCCTCGCGTCCTGGATATGCCCTTTTCCGCATAGGGCAATGCCCTTGGAGATATAACCTGTCAAGGAGGGCTGGATCGCAACGGACTATGTCACAATGAAAGTTAGTATTTGGCAAGGGAGCAATGATGGTTCAGTCTATCTCACCTTGCTTGCATCATCAAGTGCATGGTCCCAGTCGTTTTTTCGTGCCATAACGAACGAACGATTGGCATATGATATGTAGTTGCTTGCATCGGCGTCGATCTCGTGTGTGAATACCTCTTCAGCGATAGATAAGTCACCTGTGATACATGCTTCGCGGGCAGCTGCATTGACGGAGAGGATCTATGACATGAAGCATGCTCGAATTGCATTATCTGAGTGAAGGATGGGAACATGCCTCTAAGTTTACACCCTTGGGTGTTTTCCACTCTGATATCATGTTATCATAACCTCCACTAAGGATGCGCTTGCCGTCCATGGAGAAAGTGACGCAGTACGTCAGGTATGAGTGCTGGAAGATGGCGATGGTTTGTTGATCTGAGATACGCCAGAGACGAGTATGAGTGTCATTAGATGAGGAAGCGACGTGAGTGCCCGCAGGATGGATGGCAATGGCGCGGACACAATAATTGTGGCCTGTCCAAGGATTACCGACCTGTGCCCAAGTGGATGTATCCCACTGCCGTATAGTGGGATCCTTTTCATCGCCCCCTGAGAGAAGGCGTGTGCCATCGAGTGTCCACGCGACTGATAAGTTGTATTTTGTGTGACCCTTGAAGCTTGTGATGCATTCCCCCGTGCCTGAATTATAAATTTCGATATCCTCGCTTGTTGCAATCGCCAGAAGTTTGCCAGACGGCGAGTACCGAAGACACCACACGAAATCACAGTGGATTGTTTTTCCTTGAATCTGCCATGTTGTCGTGTTCCACAGCTTTGTCGTCTGGTCCCATGAACCAGTGGCTAGCACTGCACCATCGGGAGAAAAGTCCAATGTGATCCAATTGGAGTGGGCTTTGATAGGTTGGGTGAAAGGTTCCCCAGTTTCTCCGTGCCAAGCGATGAACTCTCCGTCCTCATCACCGCTTGCAATCATTTGCCCGTCTCGCGATACCGCCAATCCCCACACCTGATTGCGATGCCCCTCCATCTTCTTCAACATTGCACCTGTCTTCAAGTCCCACAGTCGAAGCGTCTTGTCGTACGAGCTTGTGACCATTCGTCGTCTATCAGGGAAAACTGCTGCACCCCATATGGGACCCGTATGGTCTTTAAAAACTCGAAGGGGTGCGGTGCTTGGAATGAGGTGAGACATTTTGCTAGAGGTTGATGTTGTTGAACACGGTCGAGGTAGACTTGGGCGGAGGCGGCAGGAATACGTTATCATGCATACCTTCTTCAACCGGTATCACACCGGTTTATGTAACACCCTGTGCTTCTGCACATCGGTTCGACGTGTATATCGATTCTCCACAGCTTCCAAATACATCCCCTCGCATTCAATTGTGATCATGCAGTTGGTACTTCTCAAGTTGATAGTGCCATCAGTGTCGCGAAGGCTATCTATCTTGGACGGCGTGCACATGAACCCTTCCTTGTATAGGTTCTATTCCTACACCACTACTCTCACTCAAGGAACTGACGATGTGATCATTCTCCCTCGTCTTATGCGCGGATTTCTGCTTCGTTTTGCAACTGGTCAGAAAATCAGAAAAGATCGTCTATCGATTTACGACGAGCTTCCATCACATGTATTGACAACCCTTGAAGGTCTGCGACCCCACTTTCTGTCTCACGATCGATCAATTACCTTTCGACGGCAAGCAGTCGACACAGTGCAATCTCGCAAACAACCTTGGATCTTGGGGACACTCTGCAGGCACGAAGATTGATTTGCCATGACCTAGGGAAGTGGGGTCGGTTTCCAGGAACGCGCAATGCGTATTTTGTTATTGCTCGAATCTTATGGATCTCCAGACTATTCCGATGGTGTTACCACGAAATTCAAAGGGCTGGAGTCCAGAAGATCAAGATAATCATAAAGTTAGACATACGGGCCGATTGAGACAGGCTATAGTGTCATAATCATGCATAATAAAGGCTGGTAAGGGACGTTATGGTTATGTATGGTTGATGCTTACCCTCGACCACTGCTGCCTTTATGCATGATAGGTCCCTTTATGCATAATGGTGTCGAGATCCTTCGGTAGCTCGTTTTGGTCGTTCTGATCGTTGATCTAACTTCTCGATCTACAAATCTGGCCTCATTGAGATGGAATGTCTCCTGCTCCTTCTCTCTGGGCTTCTGCTCCTTCTGGCTCTTCTGCGGCCAAATTTGTCATCGGTTGGTTCCTGCTGGTTCAAACCATCACGTGCTGCTTCGACTTGCCCAGATTTTCCTAAGTCCGTCGGCCATAACTTCGACATGCAGAAGTTTTAATTAGCTTTATTCACAACATCGAGTCCGTTGTATGGTTTCAGAATGATGATCAAGATTGTCATTCGTTCAGATTGTCTCAATAGACACAAGATTTTGTAATGATAAGTAAATGCTACTAGGCGAGTTGTAGGCAAGATTATTGGGCTTGAGGTTCAAGCTAAACGCGTAAACAAGCATCAACAATGCGGTCGATATGACTAGCAGACTGGAGCTCGTACTTACCTCCCACTACTCGCCCAGTCGTAGTCGTTACTTGAATCATCAGTCATGCATGTTAATCGGCGTTCAATTCGTGATCACTGAATATAGTACTACTTGGTCTGCTGCTCGTACCAGAGATAACGAAGAAGAGACGTAAAATGGTGAAGGCGAGGTGTCAAGCGAATGCGGGTTGTGGGGGAAGATCAGAGGGCATCAATGGTGTGGATCACAATGCTGCATGAAATGAATAGTAGGTCTCCAACATACGTCTGATTTGAAGGAATCCCGGAGTGTCTGTATAGATGTATATCGTCAAGCGACAAACGAGAACTGCATTGAAAAAAAACACATCCAGCTACAATATTTCCAGGGTCCTGACTCTGGCCATCATGTTGTGGACAGAGGCGATGTCTTTCACCTGTGCAATAATATCGTGATCCGAAGCGATCCTCTTGTATTCTCCGCCTCGCTGCTGCGCTAGAAAAAATGCACCGAACGGCTGCCCAAGGCGAACCATCAATCGCAAGGCTCGCGAGTGAGATTCTGAATCCTCTAGCTCTTCTTCTATAGGAGACCCATCGGGAGAGTCGTCTAACTGAGACCCAGGCTCAGACCAATCCCCCAAGCTTTCCGCATCTGAGTCCGCCTGTTCTGCAAAGTCATACTCATCGAGGGTTCGGCGGTCCCAGGGACGGACAAGGAAGAATGCGTGTCTAGCGGGCCTTGCCCGCGAAAACTGAGTCAGTGTCTCTTCAGTAGTGATCAGCAGGTCGCGAAGCCCGTCTGCCTTGACTCCATATGTGAAATGAGTCTCGTGGGCTGGACCATACCTCCGTCTGACTTCTGTAAGACGGAATGCAATGCAAGGTAGATGCAGTCTGCAGTTCGCAAAGCGAGGAGCGCTCATATTGTCAAGCTGGTCATAAAAATTGGACGCCAACTCCATAGCTACGGTATTTCGCAGCGAAGAGACTGCTGCCTGAATCTCGTCGTCGGACAAAGAGGGTTGGTTGAATGGTGGAGCTGTGTATGAGGAAATATCTGCCGGAAGACAGCTGTTGAATGTGGATGGTTGTCCGACCCAATCGAGGGCAGTAATGTCGCCGGACCGAGCCACAATCTCCTGCAGGAGCCGCCCGAGCGCATTTTGCTTATTCTCGCCATAATGGATGGGAAGTCGAACGCCGAAGATACCGAACAATGAGTACGCAATGTCTTCCGGCCTAGTGGTGACACGCTTAGATGCCCATTGGAGTTTCTCCCGGGCATCTCCGATCGTCTCCGGTTTGAAGTCTGCGAGAGCCCGAGCAGCTATGCCCGTCGCATCCTGCAACTCATTCATGATTTCGGAAGACTTCTTGTGATTGAGGGACTCGTCGTTGAGATATAGAGTCCAGTCCTGTTGGTAGAAGAGAATGGTTTGGGGAGCCAAGAATTCCGGGACGGTCCATCCTCGGGTGTTCCAGGCGCTATTCGCCAATGCGCCAGGCTGGGACGAAGGTGGAACATCTGACAGGTAGACAATGGTGAGCGCTGAATCATGATACCAGGCGAACATCGAGTCGAGTGATGTCTGGAGCTCGACATTGTTCGTCTGGTCGATGCAGCACGAATCAACCCACGCCCACTGGTAATTCGTCTTACTACGAACAATATCGCAGAATGACTTCAACTTCACGAGACCGCCAGCCGCCTGCAACTCGTAGATGTCCTTGTCCTTGACGTCGTGCAGCAACGGCTCCTTCCCTTCCCACCGATGCGACAGCATGACACAACTAAAGTATGTCGCAACTGCCTCTTCGATGCGTTCCGCTCGGAGATCCGCTCGCTTCATAATTGACAGGAGAAGTTCATTGTACTCTGTGCTCTTTTTGAAGGCGCTTATTTGCGCTTCTCGGTCACATAAGAGTCCGGTGGCGGTGTTGAGTAGACGGAGCGGCGCGGTACCAAGTTGAATGTCGATGACCTTTCGAATAACACCTTCTCCTTCGGAGGGACTGACATATTGCTTGCGCAGAGCTAAGGAAATAGTTGAGTGTCTGAACACACGTGTCACTTGAGCTTACTTCGTATTTCCGTGTCATGAGCGCTATCCAATTTGGCGAGCATCATTTGGAAGGCCGCGATAGCTTCATCATAGCATTGTGCGCCGTAAAGCGCTGCATGCTTCACCTGGTATCCTACATGAGATGAAGGTTTGAGTTCAATGACCTATGTATTGCCAAAGTGAGCATTGGCTACCATGAAAGCAGATGTCACCATGCCTTTTGCGCATCAAAAAGTGCATCCTCCCATAGCATCTTCTCTGACCTAGCCTTACTGCGGTTTGCGAATATGGTGTCGTTTGCAAAATTGAGGTCAATTGCCACAGTGTACAATTCAATAGCCTTGTCGTAATCGTTTGCAGCGAAAGCAGCATCTCCGTTGGCAATATAGGGCACACTATATTCTTGCGTGAAATCTGAGTTAAATGTGGGTGAGGATTGTAGTTGGCGTGGCATTACGGACTCCAGACTTACCATTGGACCAGTCAAGGCAGCGAGCCTTTGTATTTTCGTCACTTATATCCATCATGTGTCGGTACGATTCCACAGCTTCTTCATGTCTACCTGCCTGGCGGAGTGCATCACATCGGTTCTGGTTTGCAGTTTGCCACAGTGACTTGAGGTCCAACCCAAACAGCTACAAAAAGCACGTGGTTGGGCATAAAAAGCACATTCAGTTACATCACATCAACGTACCACCACCAGGTCCTCGTATACGGAATCAATGACCAACCCTGACAAAGCACCGGAGTTGATAGCGGCAGTGAAGTGGTCAGCAGCTTCGTCGTGGCGCGAGCCATTCAAGGCATCGACACCGAGTTGAACACGTAGATATGCCTGATGTGTGAATCAGAGAAATCAGGTTCAATGCACGAAACCTGCGCTTGATCGAGGTACTCACTTCTACGACCCGATACACGGGAGCATTGTGATTCCGACAAGCGGCAGCCAACTGTTGGACGAGCTGCATAGCCTCCTGATGTTGATCTGCATGAAATAGTGCGATGACCTGAAATCCGCAATGAAATAAGGAGTATGCGAGGAAACATTTACGTGCCTTAACCAAGAGAAGGAAATGAATCATCGATGAATCTTCGTTCGTGAAAATAGAGGCGATGTCAAATGCCGTCCTCGCGTCCTGGATCTGCGCTTTTCCGCACAGGGCAATGCCCTTGGAGATATAACCTTCGAAGGAGGGCTGAATGGCAACAGACTATGTCACAATGAAAGTTAATGTTTAGTAAGGGAGCGATGATGGTTCAGTCTATCTCACCTTACTTGCATCATCAAGCGCGTAGTCCCAGTTGTGTTTTCGCGCCATGATGAATGAACGATTGGCATACGAGGTGTAGTTGTCTGTATCGGCGTTGATCTCTCGTGTGAATACTCCTTCAGCGGTAGATATGTCCCCCGCGATGCATGCATCACGGGCGGTTGCGTTGATAGAGAGAATCTGTGACATGAAGCATGCTCAAATTGCATCATCAGAGTCAGGGACGAAAACTCGCCCTTGATACGCCCTTAGGTGTTTCCCACTCTGAGACCATGGTATCATAACCTCCGCTAAGGATCTGCTTGCCGTCCATAGAGAAAGTGACGCAGTTCATCAGGGATGAGTGGTGAAAGATGGCGATGGTTTGCTGATCTGATAGCCGCCAGAGACGGACATAGTTGTCATCAGATGCGGAAGCGACGTGGGTGCCCGCATGATGAATGGCAATGGTGCGGACACAGTGGGTGTGACCCGTCCAGGGATTACCGACCTGCTTCCAAGTGGACGTATCCCACTCCCGTATGGTTGGATCCCTTTCATTGCCCCCTGAGAGAAGGCGTGTTCCATCGGGGGTCCACGCGAGTGACAAGTTGTGTCCTGTGTGAGCCTTGAAGTTTGCGACGCGTTCCCTGCCGGTGCTTGAATTGTAAATTTCGATATCGCTGGTTGTTGCGATGGCAAGATGTTTGCCAGATGGCGAATATCGAACGCAGTTGACCGGACCACTACACTGGATTGGATTTCCTTGTAGCTTCCATGTTGTCGTGCTCCATAGCTTCATCGTTTGGTCAAATGAAGTGGTGGCTAGCACTGTACCATCGGGAGAAAATTCCAGCGATAAGAGATGTCTGTAGTGGGCATTGATAGCTTGGGTGAGAGGCTCCCCAGTTTCTCCGTGCCAGGCGATGAGCTCTCCGCTCCCAGCGCCGCTTGCTATGAATCGCCCATCTCGTGATACCGCCAATCCCCGCACCTCACTGCGATGCCCTTCCATCTTCTTCAACACTGCACCTGTCTTCAAGTCCCACAGACGAACCGTGTTGTCGCCCGAGGCGGTGCACATTCGTTGTTTATCAGGGAAAATTACTGCCTCCCATATGGGGCCCGTATGATCTTTAAAAACTCGAAGGGGTGTGGTGCTTGGAATGAGCTGAGCCATTTTACTAGAGGTGGATGTTATTGAACAAGGCCGAGGTGGACTTGCGTAGAGGGATTCTGGGAGTCTTTCTGGTGCAGAGGTGCGTGTGCCGTACGTTTGATGCCGCTTCACTGTATTAATCTGCCTCGTGTTCCATAGGCGCCCAGGGCATGAGGGTTTGCCTCCGTTATGGCTGCAGTAAGAATACTCCCCGTTATCATTCGTGTCTTCCTGGACGACACCGGTATAACGTTCTGCGCCTCTGGAGATTGGTCCGACGTCCATCTCCACACCTTCCAAAATGCATCCCCTCACACTCAATTGTGATGGTACAATCGGTACTTACTTTCTCGACTCTCGAATTTCATCATCTTGCATGGGTTATTGTCCTACACCGTTGCCCTCTGAATCACTCACTGAGACGTAGATGTGATCATTCTCCCCCGTCATATAGTACGCGGACTTCTGTTTCGTGTTGCACCAGAGAAGAACAGTACCATCTCGCAAAAAGATCTCGGGCACACTGGCAGGCACAAGAATTCACCATGATGGTAGGGAAGTGGGGCTGGCTCTCGGAAGTTCCGGAACGCGCAATATCTATCTTTTTACTGCTCGAATCTTATGGACCTCCAGACAGATCCCATTCCCACGGTGTTAAGTACCAGAAGTACTTAATGTTTTGCATCTTGGGGCACGTAGTCTGGGTCAACGCTAGAATATTGAGGACAGTAATGAGACACGATTTCTCTCACTACACCGTTATCGAGTAGTTGGATATGCGACCTGACATTGCTTCTAAGATGCGTCTCACGGAGGCATCATATTCCCGCACAATGCGTAGGCGGTCTGCGTGTATGTATATGGTGTCTTCAGAGGGGATTGGCTCTGGGTTGGAAGGGACGAATGAACAATGAGTACTGAAACCCGTAGTTAAAGGAAGGGCTTATGGAGAACGACAGTCTCTCGTACGTTGGAAGAGTATCGTAAACTCACCACACATCCTAACAACCCCCTACCCCCTTCGCATAAGCCAACACATTCAAAGCAAGCGGCGACAATTCTCCCCTTACATTTCTCCTCGAACGGCTGCATTCTCTCCAATCAATCGCCTATTATGTCAAGCAACATCTCGGATAGACAAAGCAATATGCAGGTAACACGCACGGAACACCGCTCAAGGGCCCACTTACACTTCACTTTCTCAAATCCAGCTCACCAGTAGGTTCGAGCGGAAAACCAGCTTTTAGCACAGCCCAGGGCTCGTTCATCGGTCTTTGACCACCTGTCCATTCTGAAAGAAGATAAACGCGAACATGCCTCGGTCAGGAATCAATGCCAGATGAGAAGACAGCTCACGTACCAATGTGGAGCTGCATATGAGAGTGGATTACGATCTTCAGGTGCTCTTGCGGAGTACGAGAGCCGTTACCCATGGCGCTGTAGATGAAACCAGTTGAACATCCACTGCACCTAAAATGACGTTAACATTTTGTTCCGCGGCACGAACATGTTACGAGGCCATGATGGGACGTGTGAAAACAACAGAACCAGGGGAACTGGATTGTAAAATTGCAGATTGTAGGGCACCTTGAAGGCGATCACGACATGACTCGTGCATGACCATAACTGAGTTAAAGCACGATAAAACAAGGTCGCGAGATACAATATACATTGAGGACCAGGTAAAATGATACGGTTGTGACTCGGCACTATAACAAAACATACCTGTGTGGTGTGGGAAGAGTTATACGTAGGTGACCCAGGAGGATCTAAAATGCAATATGAACTTGTCAATGAGACACCCCCACAATACTGGCATTACTACGCACCTGCAAAAGGGCTATCTTTTGTTTCGATCTGTCACTCGTATAGCACAGTTTTCGCTTTCGTTGATAGTCCACTCAGCGACTTGCGCCGCGAAGTTTGGGTCACAAAAGCGTTGAATATTAATGGATATCTGGACGATATATTGGGTATATTTGTTCGCTGCTCATTCATTTTAATGTCTAGCGATTCCAATTTCCAAATGCCACATCAGAAGGAGGACGCGAACGAAGAACTGGACACTCACCTCGACTTCACTGTAAACCTTTTCTGCCCTCACGTGTCGAAATATGTTAGTAGAAATCAGGACGTCAACACATTGTGAGTCGAGGCATTAGAAATTAGAATTCGTTGCACGCGAGCGAAGTTGTTTGGTAAAAACCTTGAATCCAAACAAACAGACTCACTGCTTACATAATACAAAGACTCGGTTCTGCGATGGTCAGTACTAGGCGTACAATTAGAATTGGGATATCATGACTTACAGCTTCGTTCGAAACCGTCCTGCCCGTATGTCCAAGTCCGTCGGTTTGACCACTTGTGGTGGGATATCGCCCCCAGCTTCGGATTTCTTGCTGAACATAGTACCGTAACCTCGGGCATTGGTTCCGCAATCCTGCTGCACCAACTGGCGTCAGGCCTGGCCCACTACAGAGCGTAGCGTCAGAAGAGATATACCGCAGTTTCCTGTATCATATATGACAGCAAATTTCGATATCTCATCTCATCCACACGCAGGGTCGAATCTCGATATTGCATGCATGAGAGAAGGACATCATGAAGTTGTCGATCGAGTGATATGGAGGTCGTGCATTAGAGAAACTAGCCAAGGTCAAGGTCAGGGTTCCCATCATCGATACGTGCATGCGCGCGGAAGAAGGGTGAGAATAGACCATCGTAGGAGCATTTCGGGTCCGGGGTCTCCAAAGAATCCTCCGACGTCAGCTGTAAGCAAACGGGTATCATCAGACATAAGCGTTGAGTTCAAATGAACGGGTTGGATGAAAGACGTGACGTATATCCAGCAAAAAGCATCCTCAACTCCATTAGTAAGGGCCATCTTGATACCAACTGTCATATGCTCCCATGTACCGAGGTTGTCGCCCGTCCACATTGCGCCAAAACGCAGGGAGCCTGCGTGGAAGGTACGAGTGAGGACAAATGAGCGCCGAGGGGGATCAGCGCAGGGCTTCTGCTGCTTGGAATGTGTGGTTCACCTGTACGAGTATTAGTATCTAGACCCACACCTGGTGACTACGTACAAAAGGCACTCAGTTGATGCTATGCTCCCATCCACCATAATGGACGTTATCTTTTGGCAGTGATTTTCGGTCCGTTCAATACAGGCGGCTAAAAGAAAGCGATATCGAGGATACCAGACTCAGATATCCAGTGTGTCTCCACGCCTTTCTTGGGTGTGAATGCAAGGTCAAATTCTGTTCTAGTAGCGGCTCCACAGCGGGCGATGCCCTTGGAGATACGGCGGCCTGTCAAGGGGGGCTGACCGTCGACAGACTAGTCACGATGACAGTTAGCGTTGTTGTAAGGGGGCCATGGGCAGTCTATCTCACCTCTAGTTGCATCACCAGTCGAGTAGAGTTTTCGTGCCATAATAAATGAGTGATTGTGGTAAGCACTGTAGCTGTTGTCATCCGCGTCGTCAGCGGTCCAAAAGTCCATGTTCGCTCGGAGGAGGATCAATAGATTTATACGCTGCTAACGGATCAACAATTTCTTCGGTCAGTAAGGCTCCGATTCGAAGGAGGATCAACATACTCACTCGCTGCCAACGGATGAGCCATGTCTTCGGTCAGAAAGGCTCGAGCTCGATAGAGGAACAACTTCACAAACTGTGAATGGATCGGTAATGTCTTTGATCAACAAAACCCGAACTTGAAGGAGATAACTCACTCACATCCTGTTGATAGATCCGCAAAGTCTCCGATCAGCAAGGCTCGACCTCATGGAGGGTTAAAACACCCACTCGCTGCCAACAGATCCCAGCGAGACTCGAGCTGAGGGAGGATCGACATATGTGCGCGTCCTCTGCGGCAGAAACTTGAACATCATTGGGAGCAGATTTTCAAAGTCATATGCTTGAAGGCGAGGGCCTGCGAGGGCTGCGGGCAGGAATATCCCGGAGAAGCTTGACAGCCGTATTTCTTAGTCCTGAAGTCAGTTGGAAACTGCGGGTATGGACATCTACAAAGAGTGGGGGATGTGTCGTGCAGTGTGGAGACGTCAGGAGGAGGTCAGATAAGGATTGTACGGTCTGGAACTGGGTATACGGTATTGATACAACGATACGGCATGGTCATAATACAGCTACATCAACAAATAAGTGCTCGGCAGCAGCGGACCTTCTCAATCATCGATGTCCCATTTCGGAATTGGCAACCTTGGTTTCCTCCAACCCTTGGTTGGTTCAGGAACCTCGACAACGGAAGGAAGAGCCTTGACAATAACTGATTGCCTCAGTTTGCAATCATAAGGACTCGAGTCATTGAAGGTGGGATCTCGTGGCCCTGGGGAGGCAAACGGCGGAGAGGGTGTTTCTGGCTTGACAGTCGAGCGCTGAGTCGTTTTTCGCTTGCCCGATCGCAGGGAGTTCTTCAAAGCATCGACAAAAAATGAAAGGGATAGAGGTGATGAAGCTGTTGAAGACCCCGATGCGTCAAAGAATTTGCCAGCGGGACTCTGACTGTATAGCCATAAGTACGAGTTCCAGAAACCATGCAAAAATGATGCGCACATTTGGACTGAACTGCCCTTCTCGGATACTCGTTCGCTGCTTAAGAAATAGCAGATGCTTCACCTTCAAGCGCAATCGATTGAGGGGGCTAGGGGTTGATCGAAGGATTTTTTCTTGAGTGAGGGTGTTCGCGTTATCCTCTGAGAGTGTGGTACTGGTAGGTAGCATCCGATTCGATGCAAAGGTCTGCAAAAGACGAGAGGCCAAGGGGAATATTGAGACCCGCGTGTGGAGGTATGGTAGATTGAGGCTAGACGACTTGTCAGTAAAGAAGACAGATGGAAGAGGAATATGACGGCTCACCATTGATTTGCAGACAGATTAGTAGCGGGGAGGATCATCTGCAAGTTAGTTCCTCGTATTTATACTAGGCATGTCACGAGCGACCACAGGTGTGTAGCTGAACTAGCCACAGGAAACCACTGAACACAATAATCGTACCCTCTGCAAAACCAGCAGCATCCCTGTCGACATGGTTTGTTCCCATCAAAGCAAAATCTAGCAGCTTGAGTGCTTAGCTCAAGCATTGAAGCGAAGTAACACAAATGTGCATAACGCGTAAACAAACAACAACAATTATATCGGGCATCCGCAATATTAATACTGTCTTGTGTCTATTTTGTCTACGCCTCTTAAGCTTGGGTACGTCTGTCTCTTTATGCTTTCCTTCGATTCCGACTCGCCGTTATTCATAGATGGTCCCACAACGACCGAAATGTTCATAAACACATTCGTCGCCCACCATCCCTAGGCCTGACCTAATTCGCGTCGCACGCATCACTCCGGCTTCCCGTACCCTGAAACTATGCTCTGTTTGTCGCGTCTTAGATAAATATACAACAATGACACCATCTACACCCACTCCCACAATCACGAAACGCCAACATGCTCTGCTCGAACTTCTTACCTCAGACCAGTGTCTATGCATGTGATCTGGCACTCATCAGGATTTTGTATATAAGGTTGGCATCTGGTAAGTCCCTTCCTTCCCTCCATTCGCTCTCCTCCTGCAGTTGGCTTTATCTTCTCCCCGATTCCGTGAAAGCAAAGCCTTCGACGCGTTCCTCGCGCTCCGCATCGGTCTAGTCGACCTCACACCAGAACTCAAGCATGAATAGCACACACACATCCCCCCATCTCTTCTACCCCTCAAAAGCACCTCTGCCGCTCTGCTCAAGATCTTCAGCGCGCCGCACACTCTGTAACCGCTACATTTACACCTTCTACACCTCCCAATCACGCGCAAGCGACGCCCGCCGAAGGTGCTGTTACAGGCTAGCCAGAATTATGTCGCGCTGCGGGGGCACCGACGATCAACCAATAGGTTCAACACTTACCGAATTGAATGAGTACAAGCCTCCCAATATGTCGGCCTACTACTTCCCTACTGACATGTATTGTGCAGTAAGACGTGCATTCGAGCCGAAAGCAAAGGATACAAGCAGCGTGACTCGCAGACCTCCCAGGATCAGCCTCTTACCTGCCGTACCTAATGTCTCAGAAGACGAAAGAGGCGCGAAGAGGATGTATGTATGAAAGCTGAGGAGGAATGACGGAAGGCAGAGAGACAATCGCAATAGCATTAATCCTTGTGGGCTGATCACACCCCATCTGCGTATTCTGATGGGCTCAGATCGGGGCGTTCAGTCCTTGATGATACTCTCTTCGACACTTTCATCGTGGTCCGCAACCGTGTTTCTTACATCGCTTCGAAGATCTGCGGATACTAGACCTCGTACTTTGTAATACCGGGTACTCTTCTTTCTGTCTTGGTGATGATCAATCTAATGCTTGGCAGGCCCCTATTTTCTCCTCTCCTTTGCTCCTCCACGATGGATATCAAGCCCAAAGCCTTCGATGATAGCGTGTCCGTGGATTCGTATGATGTTATTTCTACATCCGCATCAGCAAATTCCGAGCCTTCCTTCCCAGAATCCAAGCAGGAATGTTGTGCCACAGTTCTATCTCGCATCCGTGAAATCGTCTCATTCGATTTCACCCCTTCCTCTGTCACTCCCATCGTCAACTCCTGCGCTGCTGCACTCCCAGCAGCAGAGTTCTCCGACCTCCTGCAACAACCCGATATCGAGGATCACACGGCGCTCTATTGGGCCATTATAAAGCATCGGCCAGAAGTACTTTGGGCATTTATTAAATACATTCTCAAGTTCTCGCGTGTATGCCTTTCTGATATGCGTCTTGCATGCGCGATAGTGAGCGATCAAATAATGTTCGCCCGGCTAAATTTGGGACGCACCATCAATCGTAAGTGCATGCCCCTAGAGAGCTTTAGTAAATTCACTGTGCGCTTTCAGCCAAGGTTGGGTCTGTGAGATGTTTTTTGGGCTGTCCGCCCGATAAGATACACGTGTATGGAGGGAATGGAGTTGGCAACAACAAATTCGTTGTTTCTTTCCGCTTCAGGATGTTCCAGACTCGCCTGCGCATTGCACAGGAATTGGCCGTGGAATTTGTTGCCGCGGGTACGTGGTCCATGTCTTTGACCTGGTCCTCACACTGATACGGAGGTGGTATTCCATGCAGGACGTATATGGGTGTTGTGCTTTTATGTGGGGCCGGAGGGGATGTGGCGCGTTGAGTATGGTCTTTCTAAACATAGCCTTCCGGTGTATCCAGCCGCTGTGTTCGTGATAAAGGCTCACAGAGGACCGCCTGATTGTGTGACCCCGGCCCCTCTAAGGCTAGAAATGACATCGCCGTGCACGCTTGTACCCAACGGGTAGGTTTATCCGCTTCGTTCGAAGCCAAGACTTACTGATGGTTTTATCATTCGTATGGGACCATCATGTTCTCCCTTGTTGGCCGATACGCAGAACTCGAAGATATACGGGCATTGGCATTGGCAAGTCTACCAGCAGTGTTTGGCGCCGGTTGTGTGATTGGCCGATGGATGAGTAAGTCTTCTCCCTCAAGATTCCTTCGGCGTGACTCTTCCCCTTGCCAAACTGACCGTGTTTCGGTAGCGAAACCATATATGTAGATTGCCATGGCACCCTGCATGCAAAGCTGAAGATGACGATAAAACCTTTAGAATAGTGCTGTCGTGTCAGGTCAGTCGGCATATCTCTTGGATACAAATAACCACTTAGTTTCTACGCAATATAGCTAACTGTGGTATGTTGTCGTCATGGGGTGAGAACAATGGTCCACTGGACCAGCACAAAAATATGTATTGGACGAGTCTCTGACAAGCAGAAAAGAAGGGACGCCACGCAAGCAAAAGAAAGCATTCAAGCTCATCTCTCATCATGGATTCTTGTAGTTTCAATGCAATGCGTTAATTGCCTGTCCTTTCTCTTTTGCAATCACCAATTCATTTAAGTCCATACCGACCTCGTAGACGCCGGAAATTGAGTCCCGAGCATATCAACTATAAGAAATAAGGTCTCCAATGTACGTCTGTTTTGAAGGGAATTGCGTATCCTCAAGGCACAAATGAAAGACTGCTTCGGTCTTGAGAAAAAAACATACAGCTACAATATTTCTAGGATCCTGACACCTGTCACGCTGTGAATAGAAGTCACATCTTTGACTTGTGCAGTGATATTGTGATCCGATGCAATCCTCTTGTATTCTCCACCAGGCTGCCGCGCTAGTAAAAACGCGCTGAACGGCTGTCCAAGGTGAACCATCAACCGCAATACTGGTGAGTGATGTTCCAGATCACCCAGCTCTTGTTCTACAGGAGAACCGCCAGGTGAGTCGTCTAACGGAGACGAGGGCTGGGACCAATCCCGCAAGCTTTCCGTGTCGTCTGAAGGGGCAGGAAGCTCTCCGAAGTGAGGCTGCTCCATGAGACGTCGATCCCACGGACGAACAAGTAAGAATGCCTGTCGAGTGGGTCTTGCTCGCGAGAACTGAACCAGCGTCTCTGTCGTGGTGATCAGCAGTGTGTGCAGTCCGTCTGTCTTGACTCCATATGTGAAACGAGTCTCTTGGGCTGGGCCTTTTGTATGTTTGATTTCCGTGACATGGAATGCAATGCAAGGTAGGTGCAGTCTGCGGTCGGCGAAACGAGGAGCCCTTATATTGTCGAGCTGGTTATAAAGTATCAAAGCAAACTCCACAGCCACAGTATGTTGCAGCGACGAGACCGCTGTCTGAATTTCATCTTCAGAAAAAGATGGGAGGGTGGATGGCGGAGCTGCGTATGACGAAATGTCGGCTGGGATACAACTATTGAACGTGGATGGTTGTCCGACCCAGTCGAGGGCAGTAATATCGCCGGACTGAGCCACAATCTCCTCCAGGAGCCGCCCGAGTGCATTTTTTTTATTCTCGCCATAATTGATAGGAAGCCGGACGCCGAAAATGCCAAACAATGAGTATGCAATATCTTCTGGCCTGGTGGTAACGCGCACAGACGCCCATTGGAGTATCTCTCGGGCGTCTCTCATCCCCGGTTGGAAGGCAACGAGGGCGCGTGCTTCTATTCCCGTCGCATCCTCTAATTCATGCATGATCTCAATGGATTCTTTGTGGTTTGGGGCTTTGTTGTCGAGATATGGTGTCCAATCCTGTTGGTAGAATCGAATGACTTTAGGAGCTAGTAATTCGGGGACGGTCCATCCTCGGGTGTTCCAAGCGCTCTTTGCCAGTGCGCCAGACGTGGACGAAGGCGGAACATCAGACAGGTAGACAACCGTGAGCTCTGAATGGTGATACCAGGTAAACATGGAATCCAGTGATGTTTGGACTTCGACATTGTTCGTCTGGTCGATGCAACACGAATCCATCCATGCCCAGTGATACTCCGCCTTACGAGCAATTGCGCAGAATGGCTGCAACTTTGCGAGACCACCATCTGGCTTCAACTCGTATATGACCTTGTCCTTGATGTCATGCAACAAAGGCTCTGTCCCTTCCCACCTATGCGATAGCATGGCGCACCGGAAGTACATCGCCACCGCTTCTGTGATGTGCTCAGTTCCGAGGCCAGGGTGCTTCATACTCGATAACAGAAGCTCCTTGTACTCTGTTCTTGTTTCGAAGGCGCTAATCTGCGCCTCTCGATCACATAAGAGTCCCGTGGCGGTGTTGAGTAGACGCAGCGGGGCAGCGTTAAGTTGAACGTCGATGACCTTTCGAATAGCAATTGCTGCTTCGGATATATTGACATACTGTCCGCGCAGCTCTGCGGAAAGAGTTGAGCATTGTGACACACAGGTTACTTAGAGCTTACTTCGTATTTGTGTGTCAGTAGCATTCTCCAATTTAGAGATCATCATTTGCAAGGCCTCGATGGCTTCATCGTAGCGCTGTGCGCCATGAAGCGCAGCATTCTTCACCTCGTATCCAATGTGACCCGAAGGGTTGAGTTCAATGGCCTATGCATCACCGAAGTGAACATTGGGTACGAGATAGTATATGTCATCGCACCTTTTGCGCATCGAGAAGCGCATCGTCCCATAGCCTTTTTTCCAACTTCGCTTTACTGCGATTTGCAAAAATAGCGTCATTTGCAGAATTGAAGTCGATTACCACAGAGTATAGTTCGATAGCCCTGTCATAGTCACTTGCAGCGAGCGCTGCATCTCCATTGACAAGACAGAGCGCTCTGCATTCTTGGGTGAAAGCTGAGTGAAATACCGGTCAGGATTCTAGCCTGTATGACACTACCAGAGACTTACCAGTGGACCAGTCAAAGCAGCTGGCCTTCGTAGGTTCGTCACTCGTATCCATCATGTATCGATGTGATTCGAGGGCTTCTCGGAGTCTCCCTGCACGGAGGAGGGCATCACATCGTTTCTGGTTTGCAATTTGCCACAACGGCTCGAGGTCCAACCCGAACAGCTACAAAAAGCACGCAGTTAGGCATGAAAAGCATAGTCAGTCACATCACATCAACGTACCACCACCAGGTCCTCATATATGAAATCAATGACTGACCCTGACGAGAAAGCGCTGGAGTCAATAGCAGCAGCGAAGTGGTCAGCAGCTTCGTCGTGGCGTGAGCCATTCAAAGCATGGATACCGAGTTGAACACGTAGATAGGCCTGATGTACGAATCAGAGAAATCAGTTTCAATGCACGAAACCTGTGCTTGATTAAGGTACTCACTTCTACAACACAATACGCGAGAACATTGTCGTCCGGACAAGCTGCAGCCAGCTGTCGGACAAGCTGCATTGCCTCCTGATGTTGATCTGCACCGAATAATGCAATGACCTGAAATCTATGATTAAATAGGGAGTATGCGAGGAAAATTCAACGTGCCTGAATCAAGAGAAGAAAATGTATAACTTTTGAATCTTCATTCGTGAACATGAACGCGATGCTAAATGTCGTCCTCGCGTCTTGAACCTGCCCTTTTCCGCATAGGGCGATGCCCTTAGAGATATGACCTGCCAAGGAGGGCTGGATGGTAAGGGACTATGTCACAATGAAAGTTAGCTTTTCGTAAGCGATGATGGGTCAGTCTATCTCGCCTTAATTGCGTCATTAAGCGCGTGGTCCCAGTTGTGTTTTCGCGCCAGCACGAATGAGCGATTGGCATACGAGGTGTAATTGTTTGCATCAGCATCGATCTCGTGTGTAAAAAGTGCATCGGCAGTAGACAAGTCCCCCGCAATGCATGCATCGCGGGCGGTTGCATTGACGGAGAGGATCTGTGACATGAATTAGGCTCGAATGGCATTATCCGAGTCAAGGATGGAAACATGCCTCTAAATTTCCGCCCTTGACAGTTGCTTCCCACTCTGAGATCATAGTATCATTACCTCCGCTGAGGATGTGCTTGCCGTCTGTAGAGAAAGTGAGGCAGTACAATGGGGATGAGTGCTGGAAGATTGCTATAGTTTGTCGATTTGAGAGCTGCCAGACACGAACATGGTTGTCATATGATGCGGAAGCGACGTGGGTGCCTGCAGGATGAACGACAATGCCCCAGATATCATGAGTGTGGCCCGTCCAGGGACCACCGACCTGTGTCCAAGTGGATGTATCCCACTCCCGTATGGTCGGATCCTGACTATTTCCCCCTGAGAGAAGGCGTGCGCGCGTCCATGCGAGTGAGTAGTTGCCTGATGTGTGTCCCTTGAAGTTTGTGACGCGTTGCCTCGTGCCTGAATTATAAATTTCGATATTGTTGGCTGTCGCAATGGCAAGATGTTTGCCAGACGGAGAATACCGAATGCAGAAGACAATACCATCACACTGGATTGGATCTCCTTGCATTTGCCATGTTTTTGTGTTCCACAATTTCATCGTCTGGTCTGCTGAACCGGTGACCAGCAGTGTTCCATCGGGAGAAAAGTCCAGCCCATTGATCCAACTGGGGTGGGCTTTGATGGGTTGGGTGAAAGGTTCCCCAGTATCTCCGTGCCAGATCATGAACTCTCCAGCGCTATCACCACTTGCTATGATCTGCCCATCTCGTGATACCGCCAATCTCCACACCACATTGTGATGCCCCGCCATCTTCTTCAACACTGTGCCTGTCTTCAAGTCCCACAGACAAAGTGTTGTGTCCCATGAGCCTGTAATCATACGTCGTCTATCGGGGAGAACCGCAACTGCGCCTATGTTTCCAGTATGATCTTTAAAAACTCGATGGGGTATGATGCTTGTAATGGGCTGAGACATTTTACTGGTGGTTGATGGTTGACACGGTCGAGGTGGACTTGGGGCGGAGGGATTATGGACGTCTTGCTGCTGCAGAGGTGGGTGTATCCAAGCTGCTTCACACTGTATTAACCCGGAAATGCCTCGTGTTTCCATAGACGCCCAGGGCATAAGGGTTTGTCTCCATTAAGGCCCAAGCAAGAACTCTGCTTATCATACAAGTCTTCCTGGACGGTATCATGCTCCTGTGACTCTGACCGATCCAACGTGCATCTCCACAACTTCCAACATTGCATTCAATCGTGCAATTGGTACCTCCCGGCTCTCGAATCAGTACAACACGGCATATTAGTGTTGTGAAGGCCATCTACCCTGGACGACTGCATGGATCGTGTCTTGTATGGGTTCTTTTCCTACATCGCGACCCTCACTCAAGGAAATGTAGATGCGATCCTTCTCCTTTGTCTTATGTGCGGACTTCTGCTTCGTGTTGCACTAGATTAGAATCTTACAGAAGATTGTCGAATAATTTACGACGAGTCCCATCACATGCGTTGACAACGTTCGAGGGTTCAGTGCAACTCCAGATCTCAGGGACACACTGAAGTGCTATTATGCTATTGCCTGCATCCACTATCCGTTGTCGTTCCAAGCGACATGTGAGGTCCTAGAAGGTTGGTACTTAATGTACAAGGGCGGCAGTCAAGAAGATCAAGATAGTCATGAAGCTAGATATACGGGCCGATTAAGAAGTATATTAGAAACACTATATACATCACGGAGAGCATAAAGGCGAGTGCAAACGGCAGCATGAAGGCATAGAGTATGTGAGCGAGGACATGCACGCATAACCATCAGTGGAAAGAAATTGTCAACAGATGCTCACCACCCAAATGAAAGCTCCCTCTCGTTTTGGATATATCGACCCAGCGCACCACGCAAAAATAATAAAAAAAGCGCCGTGAAGATGTTCCCGTTGATGGAGAGCCGCGCTGGTTGCGCTACCTTCGGGTGTAGGTCCTAGTATCAAGAACACGTCGAGGATACCAGACTCTGGTATCCAGTGTCTCCACGCCTTCCTTGGGTGTATGTGCGATCTCGATCTAAGTTTCCGAAGCGAGCGCGTTAGATACTGTGACTGTAGACTGAGCGGAGTGCGTGCATGAGTGGGATAGAGCAGTAGAGGGAGTCGGGAGAGTCTGAGAGGTATTCGAAGACGTCTGCGTTGTAGAGACGGAAGGGGCTTGTGTATTGGGAATTTAAGCCTGTTGTGCTTGGAAGGGAGAGGTTTGTGGCGTGTTGGGGGATGCCGTAGATGTGGGCATATTTGGGGAAGGTGATGGAGAGGGATTCGGAGCCCGGATGTGTGTTAGGTCGGTCCATGAGGAGAAAATCTCATCCCACCAGATTTAGTATTGCCCTCGAATCACGCTGCAGGATTGACTTGAAGGATGTTTTGTCCCTCGTCTTCGGTGTTTCTTTAGGCTCCTCTTTGATTTTGAGATGCTCCATGTGCAGCAGCCCACGGCCATTCAACACGACTTGTTCCTTTTCGCATTGGAAGAGCGTGATCTTGAGAGGGTTGAAATCGACGGTGAGCTCAATGTCCTTCTTCAGTCCGTAAACAACTTTGACATTCTTCTTTCCCACCTTCCAGAGTACATCTCAATTCAGCAAAGGTTATCCGATGAGCACCCATTCTTCAGCGTCGTCATAGTGTTTATGGGGTCTGTCAACTTCGTCCATGCGTATGCGTACGACACCGTCCTCGTAGATGATGACATCGAGGGTGAATTAATTTGACGGAGGGATGTATCGATGACTTGATTTCTGTGGTAAAACCTAGTTGACGGGGACTCGGTGAAAGCCACGAGGGAGATTCAATGGAGTAGGGAGAGTGCCATGAAGATGGTGATTCTTGCGCTCATGCAGCGAGGGCGCGTCCTCTACATGATTGGGAACAGGTTGTAAAGTCGGATGCTTTGAATGCGAGGCCTGGCTGCAGGAGGAGAAACCTGGGGAACATATTTCTTAGTCCACGAAGTTGGAAATGCGAGCATGGGTATCTAATGAGTGAGAAATACTTATGTATGGCAGGCGAGCTTGAAGAAAGTTGTTTGGCAACAACTTTGAATCCAAACAACCACCTAATAGGCTTAGTCACTGTTCAATTGATGGCTCAAGTTGGCGTTGACGAGTAAACGGCAGTGTAATTACTGATACTCGACTAGCTAGTGTTTCCTCATACCGTTCTGAAAAAAGGAAAAGGAAAATTCTGTCATCTGATTCAACATTCAGTAGGCGATTCACGGACGTTTGCACTTCGTCTGCTGGGGACTAGGCTGTATCAATGCTGAACGTTGAACATCGATCCCGTTTGAATTATTGAAATGGTGCGTTTGCGTAGATTCGAGCCGGAGAGAATAGGATAAAGGACAACCCACACAATAATAGTTGCTATTTGAGTCATCAGGGATGCCATGGACATGTAAATCGGCGTTCAAGTCGTGATGGCTGAATGTGGTATTGGTTCGTGTACTACTGGTAACTGCTCGTACTAGGCAAAACGATGAGGAGGGGTAAATTTGCGATGGCGAGAGCGTCGAGCGAATGTGGGGTTGTAGGCACTGTCAGGGGGAAGATGAAAGGGCCTCAATGGCGTAAAACAGCCTGAGAAGTACTGGTTCGTGATAAAATGAACAGTACGTCTTCAAAGTACGTCTGCTTTGAAGGAAATTTGATAGTATCTGTGTATCGCCAAGGTACAAATAAACCTGCTCAGAGATCCCCGGTATTGAAAAAATGTACGACTACAATATTTCGAGGGTCCTGACGTCCATCATGTCGTTGACAGAAGCCCCATCTTTGACCTGTGCAATAATATCGTGATCCGAAGCGATCTTCTTGTATTCTCCGCTGCACTAGTAAGAATGCGGTGAACGATTGCCCAAGGCGAACTATCAATCGCAAGGCTCACGAGTGAGATTCCGAATCATCCAGCTCTCCTTCTACAGGAGAAGTGGGGGGCGAGTCATCTAACGGAGACTCGGGATCGGACCAACTCCCCAAGTTTTCCTCATCATCTGCAAGGGTAGGCTGCTCTGGAAAGTCATAACAGAGCACACCATTGTGCCGGTGGTAGGAGGAGTTATACGTAGGTGACCGAGGAGCATTTAAAGCGCACGTTGGACTTCAAGTTGTCAATGAGATACCTCAGAATACTGGCGTTACGCACCTGCAAAAAGGTTGTCTGTGGCTTCGAGTCTGTCCCTCGCAATTTTGCTGATGATCCACTCAACATCGCAAAGAATGGCGCCGCGAAGTTTGTGTTCGTGGCGTGTCCCTGAGTCGGCGACGAGCATGACCTTGTAGAGTACAGGCTACGTCAAGTTTCAGGAAGTTGTCTGGCAAAAGCCTTAGATCCAGACAACCTCACGGCTTGGTCAGTGTTCTGGTTGGAGCAAGCAAAATCGCCTGATACCGGTCTGAACGTTGAACAAGGACGATGATATCTTCTGTCCAAATTCTGTCATCGGATCCGTGATTCCACAATTCTTGAGTCTGAGAGTTTGTGCTGTTTCACGAATCAAGGTTCCGTCAAATCCAAACTTTTCAGCTTTCAGGCTGGCGATCGGGTATACTGACGTGGCTTGCTCTCTTGTCTAAAGAACAACCTAATGGCGCAATATCAATTAATATTCACCTCAGCATTCTCCACACCGAAGTAACTCCTCCTTGGCAAAAGCTTTGACTCCTTGAATTCGAAGTCGGCGGTGACAAGTCAAGTCGCAATGAAATTACTTACACTCGAGTAAAAGACCCACGCAATTGTCGTTGCTACTTGAGTGATCAGGGAGGTCGTGGACATACCAGGCATAACGAAGAAGAGGTGTAAATTGGTGAAGACGAGGTGTCGAGCAAATGCGGGATTGTGGGGGAAGCCGAAATGATATCAATGGTGTAGGACAGAAGCACTAGTGCTGCATGAAATGAATAGTAGGTCTCCAACGTACATCTGCTTTGAAGGAATCATGGAGTATCTGCGGATGCATGTATATCGCCAAGGAACAAACGCAAACTGCGTTGAAAAAACACACAGCTAAAAGATCTCTATAATCCTGACGTCCATCATGTTGTGAATAGTAGAAGCCACGTCTTTGACTTGGGCAACGATATCATGATCCGACACGATCCTCTTGTATTCTCCGCCGCGCTAGCAATAATGCGCTGAACGGCTGCCCAAGGCGAACGATCAATATTCAACCTCAACGCTCGTGAGGGAGAGTCTGAGTCACCCATCTTCTGTTCTACAGGAGAACCGCCAGGCGACTCGTCTAACGGAGACTCAGGCGCGGACGAATAATTAGAATCCGCGCTCTGCGTATCGTCTCCAGAGTCGGGCAGTTCCGCAAAGTCAGGTAGCTCGAGGAGGCGACGGTCCCATGGACAGACAGGTAAGAATGTCTGCAGAGGGGGCTTTTCAGGCGTGAACTGATTCAGCGTCTCTTTTGTGGCGAGTAGCAGGTCGTGAAGTCCGTTTGCCTTGACTCCATACGTGAAATGAGTCCCTTGGGCTCGGCCAATATTCCGTATGACTTCCGTGACACGGAATGCGATGCAAGGCAGATGCAGTCTACAGGCCGCGAAGCGAGGAACGTTCATGTTGTCAAGCTGGTCATACAATTTTGAAGCTAACTCCACAGCCACGGTATTTCGCAGCGAAGAAACCAATGTCTGGATCTCGTCTTGAGACAAAGATGGTAGGGTGCATGGCGGAGCTGCGTGTGAGGAAATGCTGGCTGGAAGACAACTATTGAACTGGGATGGCTGTCCGACCTAATTGAGGGCAGTAATGTCGTCCCGACTGAGCCACGATCTCCTGCAGGAGCCGCCCGAGCGCAATTTGCTCATTCTCACCATAAAAGATAGGAAGTTGGACGCCGAAGATGCCAAACAATGAGTATGCGATATCTTCGGGCATAGTGGTGACACGCATAGAAGCCAAGTTTCTCGCGGGCGGCAGCATCTCCGTTGGCAATATAGGGCACACTGTATTCTTGCGTGAAATCTGAGTGAAGTGCGGGATGAGGATTGTAACCGTCGCGACATTACAGACTCCAGACTTACCATTAGACCAGTCGAGGCAGCTAGCCTTTGTATTTTCGTCACTCGCATCCATCATGTATCGATACGATTCCACAGCTTCCTTATGTCTACCTGCCTGACGGAGTGCATCACACCGTTTCTGGTGTATATTTTGCCACAAGGACTTCAGGTCCCATTCGAAGAGCTGTACAAAGCACGGAGTTCGATGTGAAAGCACATTCGGATGAATGAGATCAACATACCACTACTAAGTCTTTGTACATAGAATCGATAGCGGCTGTAGATGAGAAAGTGGAGGAGTTGACAGCAGCAGTAAAATGTTCAGCAGCTTCAAGAATGAAAGGGATAGAGGTGATGGAGCTGTTGAAGACACCGATGCGTCAAAGGATTTGACAGGCGAACTCTGTCATATAGCCGTAAATACGATAAAAAGTATCCATGCAAAATGAAACGTACCTTTGGACTGAACTGCCGTTCTTGGATACCCGTTCGCTTCTTAAGAAACGGCAGACCCTTCACCTTCAAGCGCAACCGATTGAGTGGGCTAGGAGCTGATCGAAGGATTTGTTCTTCAGTGAGGGAAACGTTGCCGAAAGCAGTGAGGGCGTGCTCGTCGTCTTCTGAGTCTGTGATACGGGCGGTAGCATCTGACTCTATGCAAACACCTGCAAAAGATGAGAGGCCAGGGGGAAGATTAAGGCCCACGTGTGGAGGTGTGGTAGATTTAGGCTATATTACTTGTCAGTAAAGAAGACAGAGGGGAAGAGGAAGGTTAACGTTCAGCATTAAGTTGACAGACAGATTAGCAGCGGGGAGGATCATCATCTGCAAGTTCTGCATATTTAAGTGTACTGGGCATGTCGAGGTGTGTACCTGACTGGACACGGAAAAAACAACATTAAAATCGTACCCTCTGCAAATCCAGCAGCATCCCTGTCAATGGTTTGTTTCTATCAAAGCAAAATCTCGAGCTTGAGTAGCTCAGCAAATATTGAAGCGAAGTAACACAAATACATAACGCGTAAACAAGCATCAACACGCATGTTAATATGATGCGCCCAACTGCGTGCTTTGCCCAGTTCTTCAAGTAGGACCCCGAGTTCTTGTGGCTGACGGCAAAATTTTCGACAGGTAAATTCGAAGAAGCTCCCGAGCCAATCCACGACGGTCCCCACCGATGACGAGGCATTGATTCCTTAGCTCGCTGATGCGTAGATGGATTTTTGATGCTCTTCAAACATATTCCCTGTACCCTGCGACTCGTGCAAACTTGGGACTTCACTTTTGTTCTCTACATACCCTGGAAGACGTACCTCTCAACGTCTCCGATGACGTTTCATGCCTCGATGCTCATTCTTCCTCTTCCAATGCAGAACCGACGCCATATTCCATATGCACAGACCGCCTACGCATTGTGCGGCAATACGATACCGTCATCGCACGCATCATCGAGCAACACTAGGTCGCATATCCAAACTACTCAATAACGGTGTAGTGGGAGAAAGCGTTTCTCGACTCAGGCTCTCGTGAAGTGCTGCAGGGGGAAAACCACGAGAAAGTATCGGTCAGCGGACACGTCGGGGATGCCGATGGTAATAAAACAAGCGCTGTCCTCCGTCAACAACAATGGTAACTTGTATTCATTGCAGCGCTTTTATTTTTATTTTGTGTGGTGCGCCGGGTCGATATGTCAAATGGGAGGGAGGTTGTGTTTGGGTGGTGAGCATTTTTTGGCAACTTTTCCATTGTATGCGTCTGCCCTCCCTCATGTACTCTATGCCTTTTCGCTGCCATTGGTGTATGCTTTTATGCTCTCTGTGATGTACCTATCTTCTCCACTCCTTAATCGGCCCGTATGTCTCGCCGCCCTTGTACATTATTCTGGTACTTAACACTGTCAAAATGACATCCGTCTGGACATCCATCACTAGATTGAGGCAATAACAGAATACGTATTCTGCATTCCGACTTCCAAGAACCGGTCCCACTTCCCTACCATCATGGTAAATCATCGTGCCTACAGTATCCCCAAATCTAGGGTTATTTACGAGATCGGACTATGTCAACTACTTTCCGACGAAAGGGAATTAAACAATCATGAGACAGAAAGTGATGTCGCAGATGGTCGAGTGTTGTTAACACATGCGATGGGGGCCCGTCGTAAATCAGTAGACATTCTTCTCTGGTGCAACATAAAGCAGAAATCTGCGCATAAGACAAGGCAGGAGTATCACGTCGACATTTTGGAAAATGACCCATACAAGACTATTATTCATGTGGCCATCCAAGACAGCACTGATGGTGTAAGCAAGCATATCATCAATCGATTCGAGAGCCCAGAAGTACCAATTGTACCATCAAAATTGAATGTGATGGGACTGCGTTTTGGGAAGTGTGGAGATATACGTCCGACCGATGTGCCACAAGGTGTTATATCGGTGTGATACGGTCGAGGAAGACATGAAATTCCTTAATGGAGGCAAACTGTGGGCGTCTATGGAAACACGAGGCAAGTCAATACAGTGAAGCAGCATAAAACGTTTAACGCATCGTACACCGACCTCTCCAACAGCAAGAAACCGAGAAACCCTCCACCCAAGTCCATCCTCGACCGTGTTCACCTCCATCAACCTCCAGTAAAATGTCGAAGCTCATTCTAAACACCAAACCCCTTCGAGTTTTTAAAGATCATACCGATCACATATGGGCTGCATTAGTTTTCCCTGATAGATGGCGTATGGTCACAGACTCGGAAGACAAGACACTTCGTATGTGGGACTTGAGGACAGGTGTTGTATTGAAGAAGATGGAGGGACATCGCAATAGGGTGCGGGGATTGGCGGTATCACGAGATGGGAAAATCATAGCAAGCGGTGATCAGAGCGGAGAGCTCATCGCCTGGCATGGAGAAACTGGGGAGCCACTCACCCAACCCATCAAAGCCCACTCCGATTGGATCCTCGGGTTGGACTTTTCTCCCGATGGTACAGTGCTACTCACTGGTTCAGCAGATGGAGCGACAAAGCTGTGGAGCACGGAAACATGGCAGGAACATCCAATCCAGTGTGGTTGGACGAACTGCGTTCGGTATTCGCCAACTGGCGAACTTTTTGCCATCGCGACAAACATCAGCATCGAAATTTATCGTTCAGGACACGAGGGAACGCGTTGCAAACTTCAAGGGTCACAATGGACAAAACTTCTCACTTGTATGGACGCCCGATGGCAAACACATTCTTTCAGGGGGCGATAGTTATGATCCCTCTATACGACAGTGGGATGCATCCACTTGGAAGCAGGTCGGTGATCCCTGGACGGGCCACACTAATTATATCCGCGCCATTGCCATTCATCCTGCGGGCACCCACATCGCTTCCGCATCTGATGACAACCATGTCCGTCTCTGGCAGCTCTCGGATCGACAAACCATCGCCATCTTCCAGCACTCGTCCCGCACATACTGTGTCACTTTCTCTACGGACGGCAAGCACATCCTCAGCGGAGGTTCTGATAACATCATCTCAGAGTGGAAAGCACCCAAAAGTGTAAATTCTGAGGCATGTTTCCATCCTTGACTCTGATAGCGCAATTCGAGCATGCTTCATATCACAGATGATCCTCTCCGTCAACGAAACCGCCCGCGATGCATGCATCGCCGGGGACTTATCTACTGCTGCAGAGGCATTCACTCAAGAGATCGACGCCGATGTAAATGCCTACACCTCGTATGCCAATCAGTTCATTTGTCATGGCACGAAAACATAACTGGGACGAGGCGCTTGATGATGCAAACAAAGTGAGATATACTGACCCATCATCGCTCCCTTACTGAAAGGCTGACTTCCACTGTGACACAGTCCGTCGCCATTCAGCCTTCTTTGACAGGTTACATCTCAAAGGGCATCGCCCTGTGTGGAAAAGGTCAGGTCCGGGACGCGAGGACAGCTTTTGACATCGCATTCATGTTCACGAACGAAGATTCAAAGACCATTCATTTCCTTCTTTTGGTTAAGGCACGTAATCTTTTCCCCACTGGCATAATTCCTATTTCATTTTGGATTTCAGGCTATCGCGCTTTTTGCTGCAGATCAACAGGAGGAAGCAATGCTGCTCGTCAAGGCGCTAGCTGCAGCTTGTCCAAACAATGATGCTCTTGGGTGTCGTGTCGTAGAAGTGAGTTTACTAATCAAGCCCAAGCTCCAGGTTCCGTGCATTGATACTGATTCATCTGAACTTCGCACGTCAGACATATCTATGTGTTCAGCTCGGAGATAATGCCTTGAATGGCGCGCGGCACGACGAAGGCTGCTGAACACTTTACTGCTGCTGTCAACTCCGCCACTTTCTCATCTACAGCCGATATTGGTTCTATGTACAAAGACTTAGTAGTGGTATGTTGATCTCATTCATCCGAATGTGCTTTCACATCGAACTCCGTGCTTTGTACAGCTCTTCGGATGGGACCTGAAGTCATTGTGGCAAAATATACACCAGAAACGGTGTGATGCACTCCGTCAGGCAGGTAGACATAAGGAAGCTGTGGAATCGTATCGACACATGATGGATGCGAGTGACAAAAATACAAAGGCTAGCTGCCTCGACTGGTCTTATGGTAAGTCTGGAGTCTGTAATGTCGCGACGGTTACAATCCTCATCCGCACTTCACTCAGATTTCACGCAAGAATACAGTGTGCCCTATATTGCCAACGGAGATGCTGCCTTCGCTGCAGGCGATTACGACAAGGCTATTGAATTATACACTGTGGCAATTAACCTCAATTTTGCAAGCGACACTATATTCGCAAACCGCAGTAAGGCTAGGTCAGAGAAGATGCTATGGGAGGATGCACTTTTTGATGCGCAAAAGGTATGGTGACATCTGCTTTCATGGTAGCCGATGCTCACTTTGGCAATACATAGGTCGTTGAACTCAAACCTTCATCTCATGTAGGATATCAGGTGAAGCATGCAGCGCTTTACGGCGCACAATGCTATGATGAAGCTATTGCGGCCTTCAAATGATACTCGCCAAATTGGATAGCGCTCATGACACGGAAATACGAAGTAAGCTCTAAGTGACACGTGTGTTCGGATACTCAATTATTTCCTTAGCTCTGCGCAAGAAATATGTCAGTCCCTCCGAAGGAGAAGATGTCATTCGAAAGGTCATCGACATTCAACTTGGTACCGCTCCGCTCCGCCACCGGACTCTTATGTGACCGAGAAGCGCAGATAAGCGCCTTCAAAAAGAGCATAGAGTACAATGAACTTCTCTTGTCAATTATGAAGCGAGCGGATCTCCGAGCGGAACGCATCGAAGAGGCAGTGGCGACATACTTTAGTTGTGTCATGCTGTCACATCGGTGGGAAGGGAAGGAGCCGTTGCTGCACGACGTCAAGGACAAGGACATCTACGAGTTGCAGGCGGCTGGCGGTCTCGTGAAGTTGAAGTTATTCTGCGATATTGTTCGTAGTAAGACGAATTGCCAGTGGGCGTGGGTTGATTTGTGCTGCATCGACCAGACGAACAATGTCGAGCTCCAGACATCACTCGACTCGATGTTCACCTGGTATCATAATTCAGCGCTCACTATTGTCTACCTGTCAGATGTTCCACCTTTGTCCCAGCCTGGCGCATTGGCGAATAGCGCCTGGAACACCCGAGGATGAACCGTCCCGGAATTCTTGGCTCCCCAAACCATTCTCTTCTACCAACAGGACTGAACTCTATATCTCAACGACGAGTCCCTCAATCACAAGAAGTCTTCCGAAATCATGAATGAGTTGCAGGATGCGACGGGCATAGCTGCTCGGGCTCTCTCAGACTTCAAACCGGAGACGATCGGAGATGCCCGGGAGAAACTCCAATGGGCATCTAAGCGTGTCACCACTAGGCCGGAAGACATTGCGTACTCATTGTTTGGTATCTTCGGCATTCGGCTTCCCATCCATTATGGCGAGAATAAGCAAAATGCGCTCGGGCGGCTCCTGCAGGAGATCGTGGCTCGGTCCGGCGACATTACTGCCCTCGACTGGGTCGGACAACCATCCACGTTCAACAGCTGTCTTCCTGCAGATATTTCCTCATACACAGCTCCACCATTCAATCAACCCTCTTTGTCCGAAGACGAGATTCAGACAGCAGTCTCTTCGCTGCGAAATACCGTGGTTGTGGAGTTGGCGTCGGACCTTTATAACCAGCTTGACAATATGAGCGCTCCTCGCTTTGCGAACTGCAGACTGCATCTACCTTGCATTGCATTCCGTCTTACAGAAGTCAGACGGACGTATGGTCCAGCCCACGAGACTCATTTCACATATGGAGTCAAGGCAGACGGGCTTCGCGACCTGCTGGTCACTACTGAAGAGACACTGACTCAGTTTTCGCGGGCAAGGCCCGCTAGACACGCATTCTTCCTTGTCCGTCCCTGGGACCGCCGAATCCTCGATGAGTATGACTTCGCAGAACAGGCAGACTCGGATGCGGAAAGCTTGGGGGATTGGTCTGAGCCTGGGTCTCCTATAGAAGAAGAGCTAGATGATTCGGAATCTCACTCGCGAGCCTTGCGATTGATGGTTCGCCTTGGGCAGCCGTTCGGCGCATTTTTGCTAGCGCAGCAGCGAGGCGGAGAGTACAAGAGGATCGCTTCGGATCGCGATATTATTGCACAGGTGAAAGACATCGCCTCTGTCCACAACATGATGGCCAGAGTCAGGACCCTAGAAATATTGTAGCTGGATGTGTTTTTTTCAACGCAGTTCTCGTTTGTCACTTGACGATATACATCTATACAGACACTCCGGGATTCCTTCAAATCAGACGTATGTTGGAGACCTACTATTCATTTCATGCAGCATTGTGATCCACACCATTGATGCCCTCTCATCTTTCCCCACAACCCGCATTTGCTTGACACCTCGCCTTCACCAATTTACCCCTCTTCTTCGTTATGTATGGTACGAGCAGCAGACCGATACTATATTCAGTCATCACAACTTGAACGCCGATTAACATACATGCCTGATGATTCAAGTAACGACTACTCTGTTCGAATTACTGGCCTTACACGATGTCCAAGAGTCGAAGGACAGATAGGCTCGCAATGCAGGACGTGAGGTAACAAGGGAAGTCCTGAATGTCTGATGAGGTAAGGAGCTGGTACTCAGAGCTTGATTCTGGTTCAAGTCGTGGAAGTGAAGAAGCTTGGTGTGCCCTCTGAGGAGTCGACTCACATATATCGTCATGACAGTTTGATCGGCGAGTCCTATTCTGAAGCCCCTCTTTGCGTGGTATATATTTGGGCGTCTGATATTCCTTCGACTTCAAGACAGGTCACAGCAGTTCGCATTTCAGGAGTAGTTATTATCTTGGTATGCGCTCCTGCAGTATAGCTTATTGTGTGCGCAGTGTGTTCCGCACTATATACGCTGCGCTCATCGGTAGATCCTTGAATGCACAGCTAGAATTTGTAGAGGACGGGCTGCATGGAGGAGGTGGAAAAACCGAGTGTTCCAGAATGATCATGAAGAAGATATCGGGTATGCGAACACCGAACCGGCAGATGGAAGGAAAGGCTGAACGGCAGCATGAATGTGGCAATGAACAATTAGCACCGCCTCATGTTGCAGGCATGGACTCTTCCATATGAAAACTCGCCTATTATGCCAGCTTGCGAAAGACAAGCAGATCTACTAGTGAGTGCTGGCCAACCGTACACCCCCATAATTGATAACGAACTGCGCAGGAGCTAGATTGATACACCACACGCCCTACGGTAACGAGCCATGGCTTCCGCCGAATCTTCTGAAAAGCCGACCCTCGGTGAAGCTTCAACTTCGACAACAACACAATTCAAAAGACCAACTCCGAAGCACAAATTCGAGGGACACGAGAATGCTGTATGGAGTTTCGTCTTCTTGCACGACAACGTCCACATCGTGAGTGGTTCGTGGGACGGCACCATGCGCAAGTGGAACTGTGACACAGGATGTCTCGTCAGGAAACCATGGAGAGGGATGGGCGGAAGCATACGGGCACTGGCGCTTTCGCCGGACGGCAAGACGATTGCATGCGGAAGGGATGACGGAAGTATCCAGCGGTGGACCACCGATGGAGAGATGATCGAAAGTGTTTGGATGGGTCATAGCGACTGTGTGAGGTCACTTTCGTGGTCCCCCAGCGGAGACCATATTGCCAGCGGATCTGACGATGAAACAATCCTGATTCAAAAAAAAGAAAGTGGAAAATTCGACGTTGGCCCGATATCGATCAAGACGGAGCAGGAGTATGTTTGCGCCCTTGCATATTCACCTTCCGGGGATAAAATCGCATCAGGCGGGAGCGATAAAACAATTTGCATCTGGCATAGCAAGACTGGCAAGCTTGTTGTCGGTCACATCGGAGGCCTGGGATTGTGGGTGACGTCGGTGGCATGGTCGACCGACAGCACTAAACTCTACACCGCGTCAGACAAATTCGCACGTGTTTTCGACAGCGTCTCAGGAATGCTACTCCATCGCTTCGAGCACGACAATTCACTTTATTCCATCGCACTTTCACCCAACAACAATGTTCTGGCATGTGTGGGCGTCCAGGGTATAACTCGATTATGGGACACAGAGTCCCATCAGCCACTCGGTCAGCCATTTTGCCAGGATCACGAAACTCTTTGCTGTGTTTCATTCTCTCGAGACGGGAGATATGTAGCATATGGCGGAGACGACAGGAAACTCATTCTCTGGATGGTCAAAGACATAGTGCCGGTCCTTGCAGCATCCATAATTCAACAAGGTGATAGAGAAGCTACAAAGCAGGAAACTCGGCCCGAGTCCCCATCGTCGTCGTGCCTTGACGTCAGTACTTTCAACTTGACTGCCTGTCTTTCCTTGCTCACAGGACTGCCACAGGCTGATGCTACGAACCCATCGGGGGGTAATGGCGTTACCGAGGAGGTGTGCGATGATCCATACAACAACTTTTTCCAGGTAAAACACTTGTTTTCTCCTACGATGGGTACTAGACCTGATGAAAAGTACTCGAAGTCTTCCCAAGCATCTCTTCCTTCAGTATCACCTGGTTTCCCTAATCGTTCTGACTTGTCCCCGGTCCGCCGCTTCTGGAATACCATCTCTCGACACCGTCCATCAGCAAACGAGTCCACTCCAGAAGCGTGCCCAAAACACAGTTTCTTCGCACGTCGTGCTCACTCAAACCCGCCCACAACCACCACACCCAACCAACCGACGCCAGAGGGGAGGGTTCGAGCAGGAGAAGAAGACAAAGAAAACGACCAGAATGTTGATGTGAGTCCTTTCTCAGTTCTTTGGCACTATCTCCTCAACACGATGGACTGTCAGTGTTCCACAAATACTTCACTCGGTACCAAGGACAAAGGGAAACAACGCGACAAATCTCCTGCCGATTCGCACACCCCACTACCTGATGACCCCACTCCCCCCCTCCCTGAGCTCGACAACGAAGGAAATCATAATATCTGGAAACGGCTGATGCGAACTCGGGGGAAGGATCATGCCTCCGCCGGGATGGCTCCAGCAATGAAACGTCCTGAGGTCGTTGAAGTATATGCCGTGCGCGGATTTCAGGTAAGCTTTAATTTCATGTTGTTGACACTCGTTCTTACTAGGGACGAACACAACAGGGGTATGTTGCATTGACGCACAAAAAGAAGTCAAAGTTACCTGTGGCAATGTGTAGCATGCCTATCACCGCAAGTGGTTCGTCACAGACGGTTCCATCTGCACAAGGTGACTCTGCACAGGCAGGTGCATCGTTGCAACTAGCATCTGGACAGCCAGGGCCATCACCACAAGCTACGGTTGCAAACAGTACTCAATATTTGCAAGTTGGCGGAGGTCCCGTGTCCCCATCGCACTTCGTCACCACCTACCATACCAGACATGACTCAGATTCACGCTCAAGCATCGAAGGCACCTGCAACAGGTTCCTTGATAAGATTTGTTTCCCCTGTGGACACTTTCAAAATGTAGGTTTGACACGCTTTCTTCATGGTCTTTTCTGGTTAACTTTGTCTCTTGATTGTCCCTCCGACAAATGATTCATCACGTCATTCATGTTCTCATATGTTCAGCTTTATCAGTTCATTTGTACTGGTGTTGTCGATATCTATGTAGAGCATTACACGCAGCCTTCTATGCTGTACTGCAAGCAGCATCTACCATTAAACTGTCATTTGGCGGCTGTTTTGAACATTCTCGCCCATCCTGATATCTGGCAATCCCCTTGATATGTCACAAAACCCTTTCGATGCGAAGTCAATGTGCAACACCGTAATTCAATGGTACTTGGGTGAGAATACACGATTATTTAACATACTCGATGAAGTCGGAATGCGATAGGCTATACTTTTGCAAGGCATTCTTCAATCAGGTGAACGCAGACGCCGCAAGAGTCTTCCGACTCGGCTTAATTTCGACATTATGTTGCAATCCCTTCACTGAGCCTCGGGCCGAGGTCTGCAAGTCGTTCTATACATCACCCTCGAACTGGACGTTTCCTCACGCTTTTCTCGCATCTTCAATCTCCCTCATTGTTTTAACAATAGACATTCCTACATGCAGGCACGATACGTCTGACCCATTTTCATTGTTTTGACCGTAGATACCGTTGGCCTTATTTTCCCTAGCTAGGCAGACCTTAAGACAGTCACTTCCTTCTCTACTAAGTGTTGGCTGTGCACACCTAATTTTTGCTGCTGTTCACTTTATTTTTGCTTGCTCTGATTGTTGACAATATTACATTCCGTTTCTGCAGCAGATTGGATTCTGCTATCGAAAATCAGTAAATGGGCAAATTTATTATATGCAGCCGTGCGACGTCTTGAATATTTGAATGCACCCAAAACAACTCGATGATTAATTCAGGGGCTCCAAAAAACTTGCCAACGCCCAGCCAACCTCTCCTCTCCCCCCATCAGCAAGCTCCCGTACAAGCAACAAACAATCCTCCCCATCATCCACATACAGCGGTAAATCCGGATGCGTGCTCGGATGTCCATACTCCCTAAGTACATCAAACGTATCTCCAGATCGCACCTCGAAGAACGGTATACCCCGATATGACATCCCCGAAGGTGGTATACATGTGTGTATCACAGCACACTGGTAGAGCGCGCACAGCCCTTGCAAGTCGGTGATGCGAACAGTGGGAGTTTGTGGTGAATGCAGACGTGGTGAATGCAGAGCGGAAGACACAGGTGGCACACCCTCGGCCCCCCTGCCAGGACCAGGGGTATGTTGTGGTGAAGTACGATAATGTTGTTGTCCATGTTGCACCACGTAGTGCTGTGAATTCACAGCACGCGGCTGCTGAATCTTCCTAGGGAAATTAATAACCGCCAAGGTCCCAAGTACGCCCAACACATCACCCCATCGTTCGCGCCAGACGCGTACCGTCTCGCCTCTGCTCCCTGGTCGGTCTACATGGCCCATAACGTCTCTTGATACACCTGCATCTTCAGCCCCTCCAAGGTCCTCCCCATCCACCAACGCATCCCACAACTCTCCCCACCGCTCGCCCACAACTTCCCAGAATGCTTCCATCACCCTTGCTAGGTCTAGCACCACCCCGTTGATGCCGCGTTCCAGGAGCCTCACATACACAGGCAACTCCAGCGCAAGCTGCCCACGCAGTGCGACATAGCTCTGGCTTGCCTGTAGCAGCACCTCAGGCGGACGATGCTTGCGCGTGATTGGGAGGTGCAGAAGATGTAGATGTAGCGGTTGCAGAGTATGCTGTGCGCTGAGGAGCTTAAGCGGTGCGACGGAGGTGCTTTTGAGAGATTGGAGGGAGGGGAGGATGTGTGTATGAAGTTCATGCTCAAGTTCTTGTGTGAGCTTGATGAGACCCGTACATAGTGCGAGGAATGCGTCGAAGGCTTCACTTTGATCAGTCCCTGTGAGGTCTGGTGTACTAGCGTGAGATGTTGAAGTGGGATTGGAGCTGGAACTGTTGAGCTCAGGGCTCACGGTGACGCCAATAACGCCTGCGAACGCCCATCCCCACTTGACGAGTGCACCGAATAGTGCATGCAGAGTCCGTGCGTATGCCACTGCATCCCGAGCGAGATGAGAGAGGGTAGTGATGTGCAACTTGAGCTTGCTTTCGAGGGCAGCGACGAGGGCCGCTTCAGCGTGTTCAGGGTCAGGCTCTATTTCTGGAAGGTAGATGGAGCCTTTCTTTGGAGTGCGCAGGAAACGCAAGCGTGAGATGGAGGCATTTACAACTCCCATCTTGGGGATGCTGATGGATCTACCTCCTCCAGCGCCATCTTTTGCATGTCCAGACCCAAGGACCTCCCTGATAATTTCTACTCGCCTTCGTCCCTTATTCACAAAGCGAGCTGCTTCCTCTGCTTTCTGCTTCGCCTCTCTCAGTTTCTCAAGCCCTTCAGCCCTCTCCTCTAGTTGCCCAAACACCTCCCTTGTGCCTCCGCTTTCTGCAGTCACGACGACGAGTGGCTCCGGGGTAGCATTGATCACAGCACTCAATAACAACCTGTACTTCATAAATCTCTGAACCGGTTTCATTAGTAAACTCGGTAAGTCCAATGCGTGCGTGTGTGCCTCGACTAGTTCTTTGCTCTCCTTGAGCCACCGGGAGAATTGGGGTTTCAGCTGCGGCGGGGCGCTGAGGGCATCGAGGTGCGCGAGTGCACGAGGGTGAGTGGTGATATAGGTCATGTAAGGGGGCGTGAGGAGGGGGATCTAGGCGAGGACATGTCAGGTCAGTGAACCTGCACCAAACGTGGTCTTCGAGATTCCATGAGACAAAGGGTTGGAAAAACTCACCACCTTCAGGAACACCTCGCCCAGTCCCTTGCCTCCTTCGGTCACTTTCTCGAGCTTGGACACGAGCATGTCAGATAGGGTAGCGAGGGTGGAAATGTTACGGAAGATAATGCGTATGTCGATGGTAGACAGTGGTGGATCACATGTCAGGCGTGGAGGTTGAATTGGACCCTTGGCGTTGGACGACTCATGTGGAAGATCTACGAAAAAGCGGTCAGTAGGCAAAGAGAAAGCCAACGGGAAGAGGGCTAGGGAGCCAGATGGATAAAAAGAACTCACCGGATGCCAAATTAATATACACATCCCTGATAAGTGCCAGATCACTCGCATAAGCACGTTCTGAAGTAAGAAGTTCGAGCAGAGCATGTCGGCGTTTAGTGAGGGCGGGGGTGGGTGTAGGGAGGGAAAATGATGCCATCGTCGGAGGTTCCTGTAGGCATTGCTGACGCTCCTCAACTTCCTGACTTTCCGTCGCCTCCTGATCCTCTGCCAGCTGGAGACGACTTTCAGTCCGTGGGCATGATGGAGAGGGCAGTATGGAGGGGGGTCACTAACGAAGTACTCTGTTTCACTTTCTGTGTCAAGGTCTTCTTCAGATTCATCAACAACACCCAGAACAGATTGGAGATCGGGGGTGGAGCCAAGAGCCTCAAGAGGTTGAGAAAGAGATGAAAAGCTAGGAGGACGGAGGACGGGAACCATATTTGACTCTGGCGCTAATTCAACAGTGAGGCCGCCTAGTAGTAGTAGGTGACGAGGTAATATTGTTGGTTCCGGTTCCGGTTCTAGGTGTGCTCTCTTGATTGTCAACGGTCTCCTTCGACTAGAGAAGGTCGAAGATGTGATCTTGGTGCAGAATAGGCGGTGTCGACTTTAAACAAAGCGACTACATCAATGAGGTGCGCTTAGGCGCCCGTACAGCATATTGTGGCGGTGACATGACCTACTAACAGAAGCTTTCTAACTACCCGCGCGAGACAAATTCCCCCAACCCTAGGAGGCTAGGACTCGACATCGCCTGTTTCGCCGTCAATATTAACTCAAGCACCTCGTTAGTGATGTCCTCACCGCCAGACCTGATGCTGCTTATACCGTTCCCGTCAGCGCTGATACCACCAATACAACTAATCCCGGCCGTACTCCTACACCTGAGTGACGCCACTTGTGTTACTACTTAGTAACGTGAGAACGTACGCTTTCACGTTACTAGTTAGAGGGAAAAGTCTATACTGCCTTCGGTGAGGGAGACGTCACCAAAAGCAGTGAGAATGTGCTCATCTTCTGAGTCTGTCACGGTGATACTGGTGGTGGCATCGGACTCGACGCAAACGTCTGCAGAAAGGTCAAGGGGGTGGTGGAGGCTCACGTGCGGTGCAATAGAGTTAGGCTAAACGAGTTGTTCAGCGGAGAGGATCGAGGGTCGATAAGTATTTCTCACCATTGATTGATTACTTTGGAGTAGGAATGCTCATCTGCCAGTGAATTCTGCGCATTTACACTGGGCATATTAAGCCTCCACAGGTGAACTGTGTACCTGTAAATACAATAGTCGTACCCTCTGTCAATCCAGCAGGCATCGCTCAGGTCAATTGCTTTGTTCACTGATCCAAAGCAAGCAAATTGAAACACGTAAACAAACATAAACAACGCGGTATCGCGCCTCAAGTACTATCGCTACCAGACTCGTATCTCCTCCTCGACGGCCTCACCTTCTCTGTAAACCTCCTCGACAATAAGGACCTTCTCCCAAAGTATGCGCGGTTGACCCTCCCACCGACTAAAAGGCGCGGAACCACTCAAGAATTTATGCATTGACCCTCAGATCTCAGATGACGTCTGTATGTATGTAAGCCTATCCTAACTCATCACCGACTCATTCACATCCCACAGGGACATCCATCCATCAGCCACCCTATCTCGCGTCTACTTTTAAAACATACACTGTTTATAGCGTCTCTCTCCTGACAGGTGGACGGAGATAGGCGTGCGTGCGGCTCTGGGAGATACTGGTGCCTCCGCGTCTTCATATTTTTGCTCGATTTCGACTGATAATGATATATAGATGGTCCCGCAATGACAGAAATGCCGATGTTCGGAGGAACACATTCGTCCAAGAATACTCCATCTCTGACCATCCGCGTAGCACGCATCACTCCCGCTACCCGCGTCCCCCGCCCAGACGATCCGACACCCCGAATACCGCCCCGAATACCACCTCTTCATCTTCTCACAGGGAAACAAACAATCGGAGAACTAGCTGCCAACACAGGATCAAAGTCGATGTGGATGGCAAAGGAGAGGATTCAGAATCGGTGAGACACATTTACCGACTTCGAAACCACAAGGGCGAGGAAAGGAGAAGGTCAGGGAAACAGGTGGTATATTCAAAGTACCCGCGGCCCCCGCAAATGAAACCAACCACGCAGCTGATGCAGACGTCTTCGGATCCGTGAACTATCCTAAAAGCAAAACACGTGCAGTAGACGAGGAGATCGGTGATATAGAGAAGGAGAATAAATCAGTCCGCCCCCTTCCCTTGCACCTCGCTCTTACACTCAACATCGCATTCCACAGATCATCAAGAAATTCGCTGGGAGACATCTTGATGCAGTCGGCATATCCAAGTCGCATCCGGAGTTTAAGGAGCTCTTTGAGATCGTGTATCGTGGTACGGCGTTTGCTATTGTGCGTGATCACTCCTCTTCCTCCGTGGCTACGAACTCACCCTTGCTGTCTCAGAGAGCGCATGCATGATAAAGATGTCATGTATTTGGTTGTTGGCAGTATGTGTGACCTATTGTACGCATTACACTCTATTGGAGCTATGCAAACACATTAGTATGATCAAGTTGAAGCTGTCGATAATTCGAAAACAAAGTGCTCTGCTCCCCAAGGTCGTATTATCATCACCTTGGACTCCCGGACATCTGTCTACTTTAAGCCTGAAAACATTTTCTGCCTATCACGCCATGAATAGGAGTGCGTGCATGCTTTCATTTGATTCCGAGTCACCGTAATGCATGGATGGTAGGCTACTTGAGACGAAGGGCTATTTATGATCCTCCCAATCAGAGATCGTGAATTGACTCGCATAATCAGCATGGAGTTAGGAACCCGCATAGAACATATGATATAACAGAAGAGTCCATGATGCTACTAGCTATCATAAAAACGCGTTAAGAATGTGCAAGTTAAACAAAAGTAACGCATAGACATTAAATACTCCAATAAGATATTCGCCCAGAGTCAATCCAGACTCCAGAGCTGCAACAAAACAAATGGTGCAAGCACCTAAGCACCACCCACAGCAGCAGCACCAGCAGCCGGCCCAGGATAAACACTCCCCACAATCTCCTTAAACGCCCTATCATCTTCATACCGCTCCCTCGTTTGCGTGACGATCACCTGCAGTACAGGCCTTTCCCCATGCGTATCATCCACGTCGCACTCAAACGTGGAGGATGTGCTGAAACAGTTGAGAGCTTGAAGCACTGGGCTCGTCGGGCGCGAAGGGGGGTTGGAGCGTGGTAGTGCGCGTATAGAAGCAGAAGGAGAATTAGAGGCGGAGGGAGGTGGCGATCGCGAGAACACCCGTGCGAGTGTCATCTGCGTTCGAGATGGCCTCCGAGATGGCGTACGATTGGGATTAGGATTGGGGCGGATGATGGTGCGTGTGACCACGATATCGTCCCGGTCATGTACATCGACTTCTCGAGTGTGGGATGGAGGTACATCAATATCAGGCGCAGGAGACGACGCGCGTGTGTTTGTGATCGAAGCAGATGTAGAAGTAAGTGTGGACGAGCGCGATGTAGACCCTCCCTCCGAATATTCATCTCCATCACCACCCGCGAGAGGAACCACCACAACTTCATGATCCGGCCATACAGCACCCACAGCTTCTCGCACGGGGCGAGTTCTGACGCAAAGGCCCTGACCCATGGTCAGTTGTAAAGTGCCTATTTTAGATGGCGAGTTGGTTTTCTGAAGAACGGGCTGGTAAGCGTGATGTTAAGAACTTGAAGGAAATGAAATGAGATACTTACCGTGTTAGTGCGCCGCAGCGGGTCGAAACGTTGCGCGTCCATGGGATTGTAACGTGTAGGTTTCACTTCCATGTCTATTTTCATGGCCATGTCGATGCCTGTATGAGCTGCGGAGCTATCAAAGACCAGCTACAATTTCGGAATGCCCGTGAGGGGGAGGGAGAGATGACCCCCCCATGATTGCAAAGGAGGCATTTAAGCAAAATGCGCGATCCACAAGCGACTGTGGATGATAACTTTAGTGTGGAAGCAAAGCGCCCGCCACGCACCGTGACTGTGCCACCGGCGCTTTTTCTGTTGCTTTGTGCCCGTCTATGTGTGGGCGTGGGCGAATCGCATTGGTAAGGTGGCTTTGGCGTTGGTCAACCCATAGCCCTCGCTTTGTGTGATGGTGATGAAAAGTGAGTGGAATATTTAATCCGGTCATTTAAAAGCCTGATCCGCAACGGAACGTGGCGTCCAACCGAGCAGAAGAGGTGCCACGCATCAGTCGTTTACTTATCATGAATAAACAGGTCTGTGAGCACGTTCTTCCCTCGTGCGGTCGTCGTGCTGACTTCAACGTGTTTTATGTCTTCGCCCTGACGATTCTAACGTGTTCGCAGATATCCCACGCGCAATCAATGTATGAGCTTCGAAGCGGGCCTCGGCCATCTTACGCGCAGCTTGATGGGACAAAACCTGCATTTGAGATACGAAGAGCGAAGAGGGTAGTGCTGCCGAGGGAGCAGGCGCGGTTGGTCGTGGTGAGTGTTGGGGATTGAGAATCACGGTAGTGGTGCTTACTGCGAATGTGAATGTAATGTAGGTGCCGCCTAGATACACTGGTGACTACAATCGTGTTCAGGGGTGCCATGATGATGCTAGTACAAGGAGATGACTTACTTACCCAGGGCAACGTGGCCACGAAACGTCGACAGCCGAAGGGTCCGGTCGCTCCGGATGATATTTGAGTGCTGGTACTAGTTAATTATTGTGGTTTCAAATCAACCATGTGTAGCGTTAACAATATGTAGCAATGGACGTTATTTATCATGACTTACTAGTTTCGTATTTGGAAACATTCCTGCCAGCGCTTGTATGCCCAAGCCCGTCAGTTTGCCCACAATTTCCGGGTTGTGTTTGGAAATCACCTCCAGCTTCGGATCCTCTGATTTGCTTTTGTCGCTCATCGTAGCCTCAGGCCTTGATTAATATTCCGAAATCCTGCTGCACAAGAAGGCAGCTCGGCCCACTGCGGCAGCCAGAGAGCGAAACGTCGGAAGAAGTATCTTTCAACTTTGTTTGCTGCCGCTGCCTGCAGTGAGCAAAACTGAAGAATATCTCTTCAGACTGATTCAATGTCATCCACACGCAGTGTCTTGAATGTCGATATTGCACGAACGAGGATAATTTTCAGGCCTACCGATCACTACCAGTGTGCGTTAAGTTGCAAAACCGTTTGCCAAATGGTTTGGATGGCTTACATAACCACTTGTCGCCAACAAAACCTAATTCTTTGCTGACGTCTGGAAGCCAAGGACGTGATATCGGATATCGACCATATAATCATCCCCACGGGACCCCAAGGTCAGTTCTGAAGACCAGGGGTGGTGGGGCCTTATGTGCTTCAGTTTGCGGTTATACAATTGCGCCACGAGCTCACCTTCTTGCGCTTGGAGATATAATCAAGGACTCCCAGCGGATCAACGTGTCGTTCTGTGCGAATCTCATCATCATTGGCCCGACGTAATTTTCGAAGGAGTTTTTGGCGCTCATGGACGAGTGGATCTGGACATCAGGACGTGATAATGAGTGTGTCATTGTCTTCCATAGTCGAATCCAACAATGAGGGCAGGTAAGTGCTTATACAGGTTGCAGCTGTATGGTTGTATCGTGATCTCATCCTCAAGACTTTCTCTATGATTGCAAGCGGTCAAACCTGGTGTTCTCGCGGTCGATTTATTAGCATTGGCACTCGGAAGACCTTGGACTCGACTAAACTTTTTTGGAGTTCTTGGCGCTCACGAACGAGGAGACCGGACATTTTCAGCAACCCACCATCGACGAAACCGAGACCTTTAAGAGACGAAGAAGAGATCCCCAAGGGCCAATCCATCTTGCAGGACGTCGTAGTCGGTGGGAGGTGGTCATGCATTTCAGGTTCATACTAAATATGTCTACATAATGTGAGGACAGACTGTTTGTTTCTGCGGAAGTCAGTTGTGTCGACACACTTTCAAAGGGTTTTTCTGGACCCAGTCTTGGAGAATTTCCCTCGCAAGCAACAAGCAGAGTACTTCGAGTCTTGCGAGAATCGAAGTGCGCCCACCCAAACACCCTGCTGGTACGTCACCACGTTATCATCAGATGGGCCGCAAGGACATATTCATCGAAATTCCCCGATGATCCGCCGAAATAGACAGCGACTCAGCTGTTCCTAGTACATAGCCCGCTTCTTGATCGTCCAATTGAGTCGCAAAAGTCACTCTGATCCTTGCGCAGCTCGATCAGGATAATCTGTTCTCTCTTTTCGCAGCTTAGGTCTGCAATTGGTCTGTGTTAGATTGGCCACACGTTCACTGATGGAACTAATAGAGCCATCACCAACAGCATTTCTCTGTGTTCGAACACTCCGCGTTTGGGATCCAAAATCCCCCAGAATCTACTATGATTTGATTGTTTCGTGGCTTCTGAAACTACTCCCCCCTTCTACTAGATATCATACGATAATCCTCGCTGCGATCAATTCAAGCAACGGATATCCGGCGCGATCCCTACGAAAGGGTTGGATGGTGGTATATCTGGACGAACACCATCATTTTACGTTTAACAAGTCCAATATGGCGCTAGTCACAAATGATCCCGCTTAGTGTCCATTAATCGATTGGGATCATTTTCTCAGCTATTTCATAAGTTCGTGGAGAGTACGTCAGATGATGTTGGTGATATCTCACTATCTTTGACTGTGGTTTTGCAGCTGCATCCTCTATCGCGGTGGTATACGATTGGGGTGACCGAGGGTCTACTTGCAAATTGACATCTAATGGTCGATGTGGTATCAGTATCGACATTCGGACAAAAGGTAAGCTGATGCCAATACCGGCGCAGCCATCTCACTAAGAATTGTTTATAGATTGAAATTATCTGGGTGAGCAGGTAGAAGCAAAACAACACAATACAATTAATTCGGGGCAGTGACAATTCATGGCTGTTTTATACGTCAGCGTGCGTACATCATGTTCTAAGCGCAGTGACGAGTCGTGCTGACTTCAAAATATGCTAGGAGCGCTACATCGGATTCCTATATTCTGCATGTCTGTAAGGCTTACAATTGTAGTACTGCTTTGTGCTAATAAGCCATTTCTCGGCATCGTTTTACTTGTGTATGTATCCTCATCTTACACTGTTTTATTCTTCTCACTGGCGGCATGTAGGGTGTCTCCCGTCAGTCTCGATGACAGAAGTGGGTATTCTGCACCGATTCCTGCCATTCTCGTTCAACTAACTGCACACCTACTAAGGGGCGAGTTATACTCTGGGCCAGCTTGTTACTTCGACATGGTGATTCCAACAGTTGCGAGTTCATGTGCAGCATCGAGCCCATCAATGCGCAACAGTGACTGTATTTTGCAAGCACTATCATTCCCTTCATAAAGCCATGGATGCCTGTCGTCGTAATTTTTTTGGCCGGTGAGCTCAGTGTCGGTACCTTACTGATATTGACTTGACTGAAATTTCATGCAAGTCATCACGATCATTCGGATACAGATCATGTATCAGTGATCCAAAAAGATGCTTGTATTTCTCGTTGTATTCTTCCTGACTTTCTTGATTGCCAGCGAAGTAATGTTGGTAATAGCAAACATCCATACTTCATGGGGTGAGTTTTAATTGTGGATGAAAGCCTTAAGCGCATGAGACTCGTGGACAGATACCAGAGGAGCTCGTCCTGTCTGGATTCTATCTTTGTTCTGTTGTCGTTGATACTGATGGCATGCGTCTGAACGACAAGACTTGGATAACCACGATTGGATGGGATATCCTCGCCTTGTTGCTTTTCCTGGATTGTCACACTTCTCTTAACTGCGACAGGTTGTTATTCAAAACTCGGTTGCTGTACTTTGTAGGGTGAGCTCAGAAATGTCGGTCATTTGGATGTTATTTTCTGATTCCACTCAAGTTCCGCATGTGCTAGCATTGCTGCTGCATCTTGCTTCAACTCGACTCGCTGTCTCAAAAGTTCATGGTGCGCCGATCTGTTTTTGACTCTGACCATCCCTCATTATTTCGACAGAACTCATCATCCGTGGCAACTGGTATTTATGTCGGAGTTGGCCGAATTGCCCAGCTCTTGCAGATATTCGTGCTGGAACCACGTCTCATCCTTAGGGTTCGAGAATACCATCCCAAGCTCGTGGTCAGGTCTGATGAAGGAATCGGCATGACTACAATGGCTTTCCACGAGTGCGGACACATATCAACCGGGGGTAGTGTGTAGGGAAACGATCCAGGTGATCAACCTGGGTACTGTGCAGGGAGCATGTATTTTTTTCTTGGAATTTCATTGTGGTATTGATTTGGAAGACAGAATCTGGGCTGGTAAAAGTTGCAGCCCCACAGTCTATATCTTTCCGTACATGCTGCAGAGCAAATTCACTATTGTCATGCTTCCACCCTCACGAATCACAGTTTGGAATTTTTGATTGGGAAGATGTGGTTGTATTGACATGTACTCATGTTATCTAGCTGTCCTCAGTGCTAGGTAGTAGGACGGCACCCCTCGGAACTCCCACCTCAAACGTCCGCTGGATAGGGGCGCGCCTCTGTCACAACAGTGGAGACGCAAAAAAAGCCCCGGAATGAGCGTGCGACATTCCGGTCTGAGGATATTACCGGCATCAATAGTAAGCTCAAGGCGGACGACAGCAATTGTTGAGCGGTAGTCCTAAGTCGAAGGTAGGAGCTGGTGGGAGGACGCTGAAATTGTGAGACCGATCAGTGTTACAAGTCATCCCTACCTGTAACAGCCTGTAACGGGATCACGGAGACATGGCATTCACATTTCTAAATGAGATGCCTGGAAAGACTCCGGAATGTGTGAACCGATCCATATCTTCATCTGACCGGGACCGGAAAGCAAAAGGACGAGTGGCCTTAGACCTATTACAGGTCACCGTAACAGGTGGCGCTACCCCACCGCTAGAATGTGGCTAGAGCAGTACTAGTGTCAGCTAGGTGCGTCGGCAAGGAAACGTTGCTTGCGAATCATGTTGTACGTTCCTTGACTGACCTGATACTGAATATGGACTGGACGCATGTTCTCGGAAAAGGCTGGTAAACGTAACCGTCGGCGGCGTTCAATATCCACGACATAGACGGCAGCACATTTGTCTTTAAATGGCTTCGATGCAGCTACGAAACAACGAGGAGCTATGGCCACTTCGAGTTCACAGAGGCGACCACTAAGATTTTGTTCCGAAAAACAAGTTTAAGTGTGGGGGTATTCGGTGGTTGGTCGTCAGGGATTGACAATTGAAATATTTTCACGATCCTTCAACACTTGACTTAGCATCTGGTACAATTTCCGAAAGAATTATTACCTCTCAAAACACGTGGTTTGTAAACTCATGAACCACCAGTAACGCACTATTTTGTGCTCCAGAATCTAGGGCCCGGGTAGCAGAGAAAGCATGGACTCCATAGGAGTTGGAGTCGTAAATCAGAACTATGATCGTTTCCGAGTCCACATCGTAGCAGACGATTTGCTTCGTCGCCAACGACCCATCAAGACCGTATTTCCGATATCATCAGAGAGGTGCTCGTGCGTGGAGTAGTTTTACTGCGAGTGTGGGGGACGTTCGTGATGATTACCGGTTCCTTGCCATAACTTGGCGCTTTGCGTCAATGAATTCTCGATGTGAAGCGTAAGCGCAGTTTGGCCAGGAAAGGGACCGGGTACAGGTAAACGAGGTAGTTTGCAAGACTTGCATACAGTGCTCCAGACGATCCTGGCTGGCTTGCTAGGAAGTACCGCAGACCTGCCGCCGCCGCCTGTGATCATCGATTATCCATTAGTGCACGAAGTCGTATTTCTGCACTGGGAGGAAAGTGAAGATGTTCAAGGGTTTCTGCAGGCAGTTGTCTCCATCACTGGGTTGCCGAATTAGTTGTACACTAATCAGTGATTGGTCTCGATGGTCTTGTCACTTGTGTACTGGATTATACTCTGGGAGCACTTCGGAGATACCACTGATTAGCATCGCAGGTGATATTTCCTCGGTGCTAAGAGCGTTGGTAATCTGGGCGATCCTGCCCGGGAACAGAACATATGTTTGTATCATGATGGCATGATGGCTGGAATGCTGTAGTGTAGCGTTACGCACTGAGTTGAGTACGATTTCAGTAAGTAATAAATAATAAATAATAATAATAAATCTCTTAATTTGAATATTTTATTTAAATATTCTCTTCAACAAACCATCCCATGTAAGTACCGTTTCAGCCAAATTCTCAAAGGCTGAGAGCGATATGCCAACCAGGACTGTCATGCGTCCCATTGCCAGCCTCCCAGCTGAATTCAAAAGCTTGTACCGGCTCTTTCTTCGAGCTAATTCCGCGGTGGTTCTCCATCATTCGCCATCAAAAACGCAAGTTCATCGGCTGTGGAGACCTGTCTTCGACGAAGCTGCACTCAAAATCCATAGACTTCAGCATCATGACGTTTGTCAACCTGAGCGGGACCGTATTGTCCAGTGGCTCTATACTTGGCACAAACGGGGTGGGCTCATCTAATTCTTTATGCGTCATGCGTCATATTGAGATTTGGATGATCTGCCGGCATTTCCAGTGGACCACACACTTTCGCTGCTCGCAACCGCGGCGGTATCACGAGGACTCGCCCATAAAATCACTCGCAATCTAAAATGGCTACGACAAAGCCATGTTTTGTGGGTCGAGAAATTGTATTACTCCCACAAGCCTTTCTGGAAGCCGCAACTTCCTCCGACGTCCTCGCAGTACCAACCTTACTCGCTTCCAACACCTGGTAGTAAGCCCGATAACGTACTCGGGAGAAAAAGGAACACGAGGCTTTTTGACGAGCAGTGTTCGAACGCACTGGGTGAGGTCATAAAGATGGCTGAAGGAAAGCATAATATCATTCTGGGGAGACTTCGCCTTAAACGTTGGCAGCAAGAATGGTCGTCATGACTGTGCGCACATAATGGTGATTTAGACCATATGATTGAAACTCATTGAACGAAAGTTTGACGAAAGTCGACAACTTTCTTTTGTTGCAGTGACTTGGGCTAATTCACTTGTTCCCATGCTTGTCTGATATCCGTTATGCCCGCATACAACCTTGGAGACAAGTATGTGGTCCATTCCTTATCACTGCGAGACAATAAATCCTGCCACCTGGCGTTGTGTGGCTCACCCAGCAAACTCTGTTTCGCTTTGAGCTATTCCATTCACAGGCTGGCGGTCCTACTATTGTTGTTGCAATGCCACGTGCGCGACACGGGTGCTCTGAAGACACCTTCATCCCATAACGGGTACTAGTTATTGTGGATGGCAGGTATGCCTACAATCAGTGGTGGCCACGATGGCATAAAAAGGTGTTGAAGAGTGACAGTCCACCACCCATGCCCGCGCAGCTGTGCTCCGCCTAACATATTCATATCCACACTGTACTTTTCATATGGCATATCGTTCCTCAGCGAGTTTTCGACCTGAAGTTGCTGGTCAATCTGGGTCTTCACACCCTCGTTTGATTTCGCATATACCACTTCAGGACGAGATTTTGGAAATTGAGGAATCAAGATCGAGGCCAATCTATGAAGATATGAAGAATATCCAATATTGGATCAAAACGGTCAATTCGGTTAGTGCTCGAATGAAATGATGCTACTATCTGACTTATCGCAAATTCGTCAGAACGAAATGCCTGATATTAACTGCAACGTGCCCTCGTCGCCGAACGGCATCTTTACACATCCATTCAACTCCTTCAGCCTCTACGATCATTGTGATATGCAGGATGAAGGGGATGGTGAATACGGGTCCTGTGACGGCCTTGGCGGCCTGGTGACTTTTGATATAAGTGCCTGGCTAGCTCACGACATGCCATCTCTATCGGACAGTAGTGATGACACTACTGCCGCTTCTGCTATTTCCGACGCAGCGCCACAATACATCGACATTGCTTGGGACAGTCCTTGGTATCGCTTACCTGGGTCCTGCAGTCCAATTACTTCTTCGCCTCCCCATGATTCCTATTCTTGCGCATGTTCACCGGATGTACGGCAAGCTATGGAACAACAGGAGCTTCTACTTGACCTTTTCCACGATGAGCTGCGTCGGATCATTCCGAGTAGTCACGGTTATAACTCTGCTTGGTTGGAAGATGTCGACCCAGACCTGGTTCTTTCACCAGTGCAGAGCTACGAAGAGCTGTGCTGGCAATCAGCGGTCTCTGAAATCCATGTGACCCGCAAGCCTTTTCCTGATGTGCCTGTAGGGCCTTGGGATGTTAATGGCGCGTTTTAAGAGGTTTGCTTAGCAGGGATGTTAGGCAACTTGAGCTCATTTCGTTGTTATCATAGTCTATACTGTTATATACTGGTATCACTTTTTTCGCATCCCTTTGTAAGAGTAGTTTGTGATTCGCTTCCTCGTCTCTTCCGACCTCGAATTTGTAATACTTTGACATATTACTGAATAACATCTCACACACCACTGGCAGCTTATCGCTGCTCGCTTCCTCAGCTCGCCTCAGTTGTTCGCGAGAGCAGGTCCTTCAAGCCGAATACAGGTCTTTATCTGTTCACCCATTGTGAGTGCTGATGCGCTGATGGCCTAAGAGGGTGCTCCACCATGATTGCGCCGCGGTGCCGCGTCGTCAAGCCCTCTTTCTTTGGTTAAAGACACTGCATAGTTGGTAGACTTACCAATCGTAACATTTTTGGGGATACTATGGCCGCCATCATCCCGTTGGAACAAGCATTGCCATTCTGCACCCCTGGAGTGTAGAAGCTGGGAGACCAAGCGGTAGGCTGGGTAGCTTATCTTCAAAGCCGTTCAGCGAGCGCAATAAAACGTTGATCTCACGCCAAAGCATCTCTTTAGAAGTTCAGATTAATCCCCTCGATCTTCTCATCTCCGCTTGACCTCAAGGGCGATACGCGGTATGTAACGTCACCAACGTCACCGCCCATAGCGTTCAGGGCTGGTCCTATTCGGTAGGATAAATTTATCTAGTTACTACTTTGGGTCTCACGGCTGCTTTTCGCTGAATTTGTCGCCTCCGAATATCAGTACCGCCATATCCAGATATCTCTACATATAAAATGAGTCCAGTTTCCATACCGCCGACCAAAACCCATCTCAACAAATTAGTATGGCTAACCTCGAAAAATACGATAGCTTCCTCTCCACTCTCCATGGAGCATCGTCCAGCGGATGGACTGAAGCTCAGGAATCTGTGAGTGCCACCTGTGACCCTGAGCATTCACGGAACGCTCAATATCACTGTGCTAGGCGTTGCTCGAGCCATACACCTACATCACTGCCAACCCCGGCAAAGAGATTCGGGGAAAGCTCGTCGAAAGCTTTAACCTCTGGCTTAACGTCCCCAAGGATAAACTTGTGGTCATCAACCGTGTTGTTGGCCTTCTCCACAATGCCAGTCTCTTGTAAGTATCTGCACGTCGTCAGATTCATTTCAACACCGACTAATACTTAAAATTTACAGGGTCGACGACATCGAAGATGACTCTCAGCTAAGACGTGGGATTCCAGGTTCGTCCAGTGTCGGCGCTGCCCCTGACAAGGATTATTGATGTGATCTCTTCTAGTCGCCCACAAAATATACGGCGTTCCTCAAACTATTAATACCGCCAATTACGTGTACTTCCTGGCATACCAAGAACTCTCGGCTCTGAGGCCAACTGTTAGACGTCGCGCTCCCACTTCGAGCGCAAGTTCAGATAGTGGGCTCGGGGACGACAGTCCAGCTGCCGACAAATCTGATTTCCCTGAACGCATCATTCCTGATTATGACCTGGACCTCGTAGTGAACGGTATGTGATTCACTTGCCGTCATCATCACGGAGAGTCTTAACGCCACAATTTGGGTAGAGGAGCTCATGTCCCTCCACCGTGGGCAGGGCATGGACATTCTGTGGCGTGATACCCTGCGCTGTCCCACTGAAGATGAGTATGTGGATATGGTTAAAGCTAGTAGGTTGTCGTCATTGTCTCAGATGCCTCTTGTGAACAAGCTATTTGCCAGAAACGGGTGGTCTTCTCAGGATTGCCGTCAAACTCATGATGGCATGCGCTACGACAAACACGAATGTGTAAGTTTCATACATGGAGCTCCTTCATTTTTCCCGAACTGACTGAGACTCCACCTAGTGACTACATCCCTTTGACCGACCTTATTGGGGTTCATTTCCAAATACGTGATGACTACATGAACCTGCAGAGTAATATCGTTAGTCTATCCGAATTCTGAGACAATGTGAGACGAACTAAACCTTTTGTTTGTAGTACACGGACAACAAGGGCTTTGCAGAAGATTTGTCGGAAGGGAAATTCTCCTTCCCCATCGTTCACGGCATTCTTGAAAATCCCGACAACCGACAGATCATGAGTGGGTTTTTGAGGTCTTTCTTCCGGATCTGTCTAATTCAGTTTCATTGTTAGATGTCCTACAAAAGCGCCCAAAGACTCCTACCCTCAAGCACCACACTATCAACTACCTCAGGGACACTACCAAGTCGTTTGACTACACTCTGGCGGTGCTCAGAAAGTTGGAACGCCAAGGTAGGGAAGAAGTTGAGAGACTGGGTGGAAACCCTATGTTGTCTGCAATTTTGGACAAGCTCCATGTCGATGCATGAAACACGACGTCCTTGATTGATATGTACTGTAATGTCACGGCCGTGGATATCCCACATAGATCATATGTACTGTAATATTTGGAGGCTCTTATTGATCATTCTATTCTCGATCCTGGGATCACTGATCGAGAACGTTTTAAGACTAGACTAGAAATCGACAGCACTTTACAAGTGAAACAAAACTCCGCTACTCGAAGTCATGAACTTCTATTTATGGTACGTCTGAGGCTTCTGGATTGTTCCCGTCTTCGGGATAGTCTTCGCCAAAGAAGTCATCTCCTTCAGCGATGTGATGCGCTGCCGAGCTAGTGTGATCATCTTTTCTACGAGATGATTCTATTCCTTCGTTTCTCCGAGAATGATCTGGGTTATCAACAGCTGTTCGGCTACCAGCCTCGAGCTCGTTTTCAGGTTGTTTGCTAATTTCGCTACGCTGCATCCGGTCTTGGATGAGAGCACGGATCGTCATGCGTTGGTCATTATCGTCAGAAGTTGTCGAAATGGAATCGATGTGTCGCCTTTCTGGAGGAAAAAGTGATATGTACTTTTTGGTCTTCGGGTAGTGCTATAGCATCCTTCGTTTGAAAAAAATCATTGCATGAGAATCAGGACTCTCGTACCAGAACATAGTTGAGGTCCACTCTCAAACCTTCGAGTTCGCCTTCTAGCTTTTCCCTCTCCTTTCCTTGTGCAGATGTAAGGTCGCGTTTGACTTGCTTGATCCTACGGACCAGTTTCTGGCGCTCTTCGCTGATCCAGCTACTGACAGAGTAACATATGATGTGAACTCACCAAAGAACTTGACTTTGTGATACTTCATAGCATACGTTCGCTCCTTCCTTGCCATTTCCGCACGAGCAAGGTCAGCTTCAAGCGCTTTCAGCCTTCGCTCAGTCTCCACGCGAACATCAGCTGCAAGATTTTCTTTTGCCAATAATCGTCGTGTTTGACGTAGTGAAGATTTGATTTTTTGAACACCTGGCAGGGACTCTTGTGCGTTGTGAAGATTATTAGCGCTTCTTCTTGGTCCGTTTTGGACCTGAGCGGGGTGAAGAATTGGCTGCGGGCTTGCTTTCGTGAGTAGCCTGAGGTGCCATCACGGTGGTGGAGATCAGAAGAACGAGTTTAGGGTTAGGGTTTCCTTACTTCCTAATCCCCCATGATTGAATTTGAGTTTTGAATTATCTCTCAACTGATCACCCACGATGCGAAACCTAGTCCCGTCTGCCATCAAAGTTTCAGCTTTAGAGACAGATTTACAATGAGGAACACTCCTGACTCTGCCTCCAGTAATAGTTACTGAGGGAATCTATCGTCGCCGCTGCCTTTGACATCGACAGAGGATTGATCTTTGCCGCATCGGAGGACGCAAAGTTTGGCGTGCACATATGGAGGACTCCTATCGATCCCTGCGAATGGGAAGAGCCGATTTTATGTGGCTCCTTTCGCTCCATCAATCCGAAAGTTCTGTCCCTCCGAGTTATAGGCGAATCTGCACAGGTCATCTTGGTGCACTAGCAAGTGGCGATACCGTAGCCTGGCAATTGGATGAATCGGGGGAGTTCATTAGTGAGGCGCACATATATAATTGCGATGAACTATATTGATCGATGCAGAGTGGTCCAGATGTTGTAGGAAGTGTTGATTCAGGGTATATTGGCCGTTGAATGGAGTCCTGATGACACACTCCTTGTCATGATTACCGGTGGGCTTTCAAACGGCTACCTGAACTCGACGTTACTGATGTTATGGTTCAGGTGAAGACAATCTCATTCTTATGACCTCGACATTCGATGTCCTGTCCGAGGCACCTTTGCGTACTGAAGATTTTGGTGAAGGTACGTTGTATTTTGTAGTTTGTATCTGCTCAATATTTCTGATCATATACGCATCTGCAGATGCTCCGATAAATGTTGGTTGGGGTGCAAAGGAAACGCAATTCCATGGCTCCATGGGAAGAGCACATCTCAAACCCTCAGCACAGTCTTCGAATCAAACACAAGAAGATCCCTGCGATGATGGTCTCCCTCGGGTCAGTTGGCGTGGTGATGGTGCTTATTTTGTAGTGTCTTCCATAGCCAGGCAAACACTTCAGTCTGGCAATGCAACAGGTCGAGTTTTACGTGTTTATTCAAACGAAGCTCGACTCCAGTCCACCGCAGAAATAGTTGCAGGTCTGGAACCGAGTCTATCCTGGAGATCGAGTGGTAATTTGATTGCATCCACGCAAAAAGAAATCCGCTCGGGACCGTCAGACACGCAGCGGACCGGAAAACACGGCGTTGTTTTCTTTGAGCGTAATGGTTTAACGCATGGAGGATTTAACTTGCGAGGAGACGATCGAGATTACCGTATCAAACATCTCGCATGGTCATCGGACTCAAATGTGCTCGCCGTTCACATTGAACGGGCGCAGGGTGATGTAGTGCAATTATGGACCACCGGAAACTATCACTGGTGAAGTTATCTTCCACTTCATGAATCTTTTTCTTACCATGGGATTCACAGGTACCTCAAGCAAGAGATCTCTGCGCCATCATCGAGCCACTTTACATCTATAACTTGGCATCCTGAAATGAGCATGCGACTTCTTTTGACAACACCGCGTACGCGCTTCTCATAAAGTTTCGTTTAGAGGCATACTGAAAAGGTCGGCAGTGCAAATAATACAACAAGATTATGCATGGGAGACATGCGCTGGAGCCAATGATACTGGCTGTGTCGGCGTCATTGATGGACGTGAGTTTTCATTTACGTTTGTGACGCCTTTCATGGAAATTGTTGACAGAAAAAATTTCACTTACACCATTCCGCACACAAAATGTACCTCCACCTATGTCATCGCACCAGCTACTAGTGAATACTCCCACTGATCCGTCATCCAGTCGCCTGTTCCTATCCCAGGTACCATCTCACATATCGCTTTCGCGATCGTACGACCTTCTTGCCGCGGTATGGCAAGAAGGCCACGTAATGATGTGGGCATTGCAAACGCGGATCACGGCAGGTCGGGGGGCCGCTATGAACCCAATTCTTATCTGGTCTGCCAGTTTACCGCGGGAGCTCTGTCGATGTCGTCAAGTTCTTGTCTCCTCCAAGGACGATGATGGTGAACACAGGACTATCTCAGCTGCGATACTCGGTTCTGACGTCTGTGGGAACGACCTAATTTCTATTCATGACTTTGAGCACGTCACTCTGCCATTGAAGCCAATTTCGGCGACAAGAATAAGGAGAGTATCGCTACAACAGAAGAACGGTCGTCTTGTCCCTCATAAAGTTCCTGAGCATCTTGCTTGGCAGGCTCCTGATGGTTGCATCTTCCAAGGTGTGCAAGACGTTGACCTGAGATGTGAATAGAATTGATAACTGATTACGACCTTCCAGTTCATAGCCAGGAAGAATCATATTCGGAGATTTGCTCCTTTACGGAGTACTGCCCCTCCTCCCAACGCGTCGACGCTAAACTTTTCGTGGGTCTGTCTGCCGGGGGGAAAGTCTATGCTACAATCCCGAGTGCAGAATCAGCCTCACTAGCCAGCGGTGTAAACTCATTCACTGTTGCCTCTGGATTTGTGATTTTCACTACTACGTCACATGACGTGCAATTTGCGCCTCTAGAGAGTGTGGTTGCAGCCTCGACTTCAGGTGGTATCTTCTCGACTGGCGATGAAAATAAAACGGCTGAGCTCGCTTCGCAAGCTTGGGAAAAGCGACGGGTTGAAAGAGGCTCGAGGATCGTCACAGCTGTACCAAGTACGATGGGCTTGGTATTGCAAATGCCACGAGGGAATCTCGAGACGATCAACCCGCGACCTATGGTAATGGAGGTTGTTAAAAGCGATCTGGACGCGTGCGTATATAGTGACCCTTGCACATCGATCACTTATTTGATAACCCCAGTGGACTGTGGCGAAAGGCTTTCATGGCTTGCCGTAAACATCGCATTGACCTCAGCGCCATTGTCGAGCATAACCAGCAGGCCTTCATGGCTGGTATTCCAGCGTTTGTGGAGCAGATTGAAGATGTCGACTACATAAATTTGTTTTTGACGAGTGTAGGGTAATGTACCCCTCAAACTGCTCCAAAATGTGTCTGACTAGTTTTTTTAGGCGAAGCCAGCTCCCGGCGGGGGTCATTGCTAAAGTTTGCGACTCTTTGCGCCACGAACTGGAAGACAGGAATTTGACGAAATACGTCAACTCCATACTCACTGCATATGTTGTTAAGTCACCACCAGACCATGAAGCCGGCCTTGCGTTGTTGCTCCGTCTGCGAGGTATGAATAGTTGATCGTATTACAGAGACATCGTGTTAACCGAGTTTCATCCAGGCGTTAGCCCAAGCTTGGTCGAAGACGCCGTCATATACATCATTTTCCTTGTTGATGCAGATCGACTATTTGATACAGCTCTAGGAATGTATGACTTTTCTCTTGTTCTCATGGTCGCACAACACGCGCAAAAGGTGCACCTCGTTTTGATAACTTTTGGGCAAAAAAGTCATTCATCTCTTCCCAGGATCCGAGAGAGTATCTTCCTTTCCTTCGCGAGCTCAGGGCATTGCCCCAGTATTACCAGCGCTTCAAAATAGATGATCACCTCAAGAGGCGCGCAAAAGCTCTCCGTAACTTGAGTCTCGCTGGTATGGTGTATTGAAGGCTCTTTGACTTGAACCCACTTACACATTGGTCCAGGTCCCGAGTACTTCCAGGAAGCCTTGGATTACTTAGATACATATCAACTGCACGACGAGGCTTTAGCAATTTGGCAAGGCACAGACAAGTATATGGTAGCTGAGCTTTGCAGTTTTTGGATGTTGCATTGATCAAATCTCAGGATGTTTTGGGTGTCTACGGCACATGGCTCTTTGATCGGCACGAATACCATCAAGCAGCTACAGGTGCGTGAATGCAGACAAATGACAGATTCTGTCGCTGATTTCCTAATATGGCAGTTTTTGTGGAAGCATCAGATGCCCGGCGCGCAATGGTATCTTATGAAAGGGCCTTGGAATGGCAGGAGCTCTTTGGGCTTTGCTTGAAAGAGCAGCTAAGAGATGAGGAAATCACGGAAATTGCATACCGCATCGCTGGTGCGCTGACTGGTGCTTCTGGTGATCATGTTCCGAGCTGACTGAAAGAGTAGACGAGCTCTTCTTGAAGAAGCGGTTCAATGAATCTGCACGGGTACTCCTCGATTATGCCAAGGACGTCCGGCAAGCAGTGAATTCACTCGTTCAGGGCAACGAATTTTCGGAAGCACGGAGAATAGTAAGTGCCGTGTCGAACAATCGCAAAAACCATGTTAGCTGATATATTTAAGATCACCTTGCATGCCATACCTGAACTCGTAGATCAACTACTTCTTCCGTGTGCTTTGGATTGTCGCTCGCAGATCGGCGATGATATTAATGAAATGCGGGAACAACTCCGTAAACAAGTAGCGAGATTGACAGAGCTTCGGATCAAGAAGGTGGAAGAACCAGGTGCGTATAAACTTACCCCGCGATCTGCCCTCTTCTTTGAAACGACAATGAGAACAGATGCCTTCTATAACCTGGATGATCCGACCCTTCATAACGTTGACGTCATGACCGACATGTCTATGGCGCATACCGCTTTTACGCGGTATACAGTCGCGCCATCAGCTACTTCGAAAACCTCAAAGTGAGTTTTCACCTCGTCCCACCTCTCCACTAACATTGAATGATCACTCCTAGGCGAAGTTCTAAGACGAAGCGCAAAATGGAGCGTAAACTTGGATCTGGGAGAAAAGGAACTGTCGATGAGGAAGAGTATATACTCAAATCAGTCACGAAGCTGGTAGAAAGATGCGCCACCACACAAGGTTCAGGAGCTCGCATGTTATATTTGCCGCGGCTGATCATGATGATTGTATTACAGGAGAAATCAGAAAACTACTACCGCATCTCCTCCAGCTGTCCCAAGCTCACCGCGAAGAAGGTGTGGCTCTGCAAGTGGAGTTTGATCAGCTGCAGTCTGAGTTGCGGGAGGCCATCGAGGACATCTGGAAGAAGCCCGACGAGCCAACACCAGTGGACTCTTGGGCCACTAGAATGCAGGAGAAGGCGAAGGAACAGCTTATTGAACCACTGCAGCGGGTCCCCAAGCCAGATATGAGTATATCCGAATGGAGCTTGAAGCTTCTTCAGCAGAAGCTTGCCCGATGAAAGACGTCATGATGGCCTTGTGTTAGCAGTGTTAGTGTATCACGCCATCAAAATAAAGTTAAACAAAACTGTTTTGAGCCCGTAATTCTACTTAAAAGTACAAGATATAACTACATGATGACCGTATTGCCATTGAAAGCATGGCTGTCAGCCGAACGTCGGGGGTATAGATGGAGGTAATGTATCATTAGGTCGATAGATGACAAGCGGTAAGCGGTAGGTGTGGGAATGGCAATAGATGAAAGCTGTGGAAGACGGTCAACGACTTGAGCTAAACAAAAATAATCAACGGCATATACCGTAAATTGGTTATACGACGCTGAGCCAAGAACACATGTGAGAGCGATGGAAGCCTTGATTTATCGTGCTGGTGAGTGGTTATCATCTTCGATGTCGCATATATCTAGTGTGGGAGATTAGCGAGGCACGATGGATGACTGTCAGGCCGGCTCACCAATCGGTGATCGGAATGTTCGAACCTGTGACAGCGATGTAAGAAAGCTTCGACCGAATAACAATCAAAGATTTACGTACGTAAGGGTGCAGACCAATGGCAATACTATCAGAGTGTGGCCTCACCAGGCCTCTGGAGTGCCGATCGAACATATAGGGGGTCTCGAGGTACTGTCCGTTTGCAGGCTGTACCTCCGTATCCGGTGTTTGTTCCCATGTCTGTCTTCTTATTCGCACATGCCCATCGCAGGAATGACGATGGGTGATATCTTCGTACTCGGGCGCGCCTTCGCTTTGAGATGGTTCTGATGAGTGTACAGAAGGTGCACGGACAATGGTCGTGGGGACGTTCTTGGACGAAGAGATGTGCTGGGTATTTGGGACACAATTGGATGTCGGCATCTGTGTTTTGTCGGCTATGGACGTCGGTATGAGGGCAGTCGTGTAACCCAGTTCTTGGGTGAGTGACCGGGGGAAGAATATCTGGCTGACATGAGAGGGAAAGACATATTGTCAAAGAGAAGCTCACTAAAAGTGTGATGAAGGAAGAGACAAAGCAGCCAATTCCACCCAACATAATCAAAAAATCTGGCACCGCTTATTGAGTGCCAATCAATCCATGGATACCACCTTCACACACCTGACCAAAAACTTCGAAGACAGTGAGATTCGGCGTAACTAGACAGACAAAACTTCCACTCACGGATCTTGGTTGATCGGATGACTTCCTTGTACACCATCCACTGCCAAGATAAACAGCGGAATAGTAAATAAGAACCTGAACAAGACGCGTCCGAACTGACACGGTGAACGTTACGATGGCTCACTAGAGACAGTTTGAGCACTCACATTTAATTGATAAAACATAACGAGACGTAGGACAATGCTTGGCTCTCCTCCGTCCACTTTTACTCGACGAAGGAATTCAGGAAACCTTGCAAGAACATACAGGAACAAAATGGTAGTCGTCATCGATGCAGAAGATCCGACCAGGAATATCCAGGCCTGACACTATGAGGTCGTTCCATCAGGAAGATTTCAGGCTGGTTGTGAGAGATCTCTACCGTATCAAGCTGCCGACGGGCAATAAGAGTGGTCAAGGGCATCCCTAGCCCCGCTACAACGGTGCCTGTGGAGAAAAAGCGACTCGTCATGAAAAAAGAAGTCAAATGCGAATGCAGATAAGTAGACAAATACCAAGTAGCCAAACTCGGAACTCCCAACTATCAAACCATAGACGCGTCCTAGGGCCTTGATGGAGGAGGAAGAGCCAGAATGTCAATTCTAAGGAGCTATGAAATTTACAAATCTCGGGTGATAACTTCAACCACAACCCACCTTCCCAGTGTGTGACGCTGGGTCCATAATCACATGAGCAGCACGATAGCCTGAGCAAGAAAAGGGCTTACATCTCACAAGCCCACGCTACGCTAAATACAAACAGAAGAGGCAGTACCCACTTTTTGTGACTGGGTGCATATAACTCGATAGGTTTTGGAAAGACTGAGGAATGAGCTCGGGCAAAGTGACATAGGTTGAAGACTTACGGCTCCCTTCTGGGGTGATGACATAGCCTAGACGATAAACATTAGGAATAATTATGGTGTAAGCTGAATGCAAACGACCTTCTTTGAATTTTATGAATGTGAGTGCTACGCTGAAGACCACGAGGAGAGTCAAGGTTGCTATATAGGTGTACTGTGACCAGTGTGCGAACGACGTCAGAAATGTCCGAGCACTTGTTATACACGTGGTACGCACCGACATAAACCGTTTGAATGCACCAGGCTGTCTGCCAGACTCGCTCCATTTGAGACATTGGAATCGATCGTAATTCCAAAGATGAAATACGAGGAAGCAGGAAAACTGCGCATGGTCGCATGAGAAGAGTGCTCTATTTGGAGAAGTATACCATACGCTCACCAAGCACGCCAGTATGGCCCATGAAAGATATGCGGTCGGCGATCCACTACCCATGACTGGACGAAACAGACCAAGAAGGTGCGTACTCGATGATAAGTAGACTACGATTCCAAGGAGTTGAATTTGAAAGTCGAACCTAAAAGGCTGGGAAGGAGCCTGCGACTCGGGTATGTATATATGGAATGAACTGATTTCATTATCTAGAAACTCCCCCGCAGGGCCCAGCCGACTTCAGGCACCGTTGCTTCAGCACCCAGGGCCCCGGAGGTCCTTATGTATTTCTGTCTCTTATTTATATGAGCCTCTGGATTTTGGAGGGCTTTGGAGAGTTTTTAGAACCCTGTCAATGTCAAGTTACTCGGATCCACAGAGCTGTGCTACTAGGCATGAACGATAAGGTGTGTCAGCATGACCAGTCCATGACGCTGGAACGAATAATAACCCATTTAACGCTCATTTTGGGGTTGCGTTCCTGCTCGACACAATTGCTAGCTGGAACTTATGTGAATGCCGATCATCATATCAGAACTTATCGGCGCAGAATACCCTTTTGGCTCCTTTGTTCTCGGGTTGGAGCAAGCTGGCCAAGGAATGTTTGATCAGAGGAGCAGCGGCTGAGGCCGGTGGAGGTAAAATTAAAAAGGCACCGTTGCTTCGTCTGGATACGCGTCTTAATGTTGTGTGATCCATTCTGAAAACTTTCTAGTGCTGCTGCGCATTTATGTCCGCCAGTCACGACTATACTACCATCCCTTACGGTTCGTAGGAGATACCATACACACGGGCCCGGGGGGGATCAAGGTATTTCCTAGCTCCTTAGTCAGACTACGTCGTCATCGCAGCATCGTAACACTGCCAGCATGAGGTAACAAATGATCACCAGGGTAAGTTTAAATGATTCTCTGCAAAAGTTCTAGCTGACCGAGGCTGCAGGTGCTAGTATCGCGTGCCCATCGTAAGGTCTCAGATGATCAATCCATCCACAGTAGCCTACATTACTGGTGTAGGACCGTATCAGGCTCAGGATTTGTTCGACTGTATTGATATCGTGGATCACGCCTCACTGTCGCCGGTTTATGAGGGTTTTACATGGTACTGCCTGAGCATACATGCTTGATAAAAAATACACTGATTTCTTTCCTTTTCCTTCCCCGACACCTATGCAATATTAACCTGGTAGGTAGCGGTCTTCTCAAGTTCCTCGTTAAAGAGGTTGATGTCCCACTTGGGTTTAAAGCGCACGGGAATGTTGAAGCTAAAGTGAATTAAGGTGAGTGAGTGAGTAAGATAACAGACGCGGAAAGAGGCAACGTACCGCTCGAAGTTACCCACCCCGATCGCAGTAACCTTTTCGTAGTCCTCCTCGCTGAGTGTAACCTGCTTGAAGTTCGAGATAATTCGGCCTATAAGAGTCAGTCAGATCGCTGTGCTCGTGACATCCATGAATTGCACCGACTCTCTTGCACAGACTTGGGGATAACAGAGTAGCCCCTGTAAGTACCCCAGGCGACGAGAACCTGGGCAGGAGTTGCGCCGAGCTTCTCGGCGACTTTCTTCACATCAGCATTTTCGGTAAGCATGGGCTTGCCGACAACTATAATTCAAAGCATGTGCACGTCAGTATCTTCGTTCCCGAAGATGAGCAGAACACGCACAGTTGTTGCCTAGCGGGCTGTAAGCGGTGATGTGGACACCCACCTTCTTGCAGTATGCAACGAGGTCATCTTGCGGAAGTAGAGGGTGAGCTTCGATCTGGTTAACAGCCTAGAGATATTTAGTTGCATACACGAGTACGGCTAAAGTAAACTGAGGTGCTATGCTTACAGGAACGACGCCAGTACCGTCAATCAAGCCTTGAATGTGCTTGCTCGTGAAGTTAGAAACACCAATAGCTTTGACCTATTGAGAAGTAGATACACAAGGGTGCCACCAGTTGATGCGTATGAGCTCACCTTGCCGGTTGCCTTCAGACTGATCATCGTTTTCCAGGTGTCAACAAGGGAGGTATTAAGATCCAAGTGTGCCTCTCCTTCCTTGGTCGGATGTGGGGGGTTAAGACCGTTTCCAGGCTCGAAAGCAACGGGCCAGTGTACAACTACCACCAATGCATGAGTTCAGAAGCACGAAGGAACACTCGGTGATCACACACGGTAGAGATCGAGGTAGGTGAGTCCAAGCTGCTTCAGTGTCTCATCAAGTTCTGCCTCAGCTGGTCCTTGCTGGTGCGAGCAATTCCAGAGTTTCGAGGTAATGAAAAGCTGTTCGCGAGTAACGACGGATGGGATGACTTTTTTGAGTGCGCGTCCTGACCTCATCCTGGTTCCGGTAGATCATAGCAAGGTCAAGGTGACGGTAACCATTTCGGACGGCGATCTCGACCTATGTAGCGATCGGGTGAATAAGGAAAGACTGGATATTACAATGCTTCATGACTCACAGCACTTTCGACTTCATTTGGTTTAGAGAGCCAGGTGCCGAGACCGATCTCGGGGATGGATGCGCCTGTGTTCAGCTGGAGAATATTTCCGAAGGACATAGTTTCGCAAGAAGAGATGGAGAGATGAGGTCGATAAGATAGCCAACTCGCTCGTGTTCTTATATGGGGGCCTATGTGTTTCCGAATGACGGCCCGGGCCTCCCCCGAGGACTCATTGTGTGGCGCAACTGGGGATAAGGTTGGGAAAGATGAGGGGCTAATCATAGAATGAGTAGTCCTCTGACCTCTCAAAAACTCGGCTCCTACCCCGTGATAGAGCCCAATCTATACACCAACGAAGGCACATTTCAACCCATAGTGCCATTAACGCACCTAGAAATTGAAACAACATTAATACATTAATGTTGTGTGAGAGTGAGCAGCAGTTGCGATCCGAGCAAACGGGTCAGACGGATCAGGTCGAGGAGTCGAGGAGTCGAGGTAGACCGTGAGGTGCCACGGGCCGCCTGTCCCGGACACAAATACTTTCTCGCGAGTTTAAGTTGGATCGGCTTGCATACTAGATGACTTCCCGTAGGCAAAAATAATGCAACATAAATGGCGTTCAAGGTGTTTTCCTAAAAACTCGGTAAGCTCGGTAAAGACGGTGAAGGTTCGGCTAAAGTCTCTTGCCAACAGTTTGAGTTTCGCTGAGATTTACTATCACTCCTGGGAATCTGCAATGTAATATGCAAAATGTTCAAAACACCTCAGTGTGCTGCTTGAATCACCTCAAAAAAAATCAGGTGCATGTAGGCTACTTAGACATGATGTACTGTCCAAGTAGAATAAAAATCTCCTGAGTGTTGCAGCTGCGAGAGACAGAATACTAGTACTGTATAATTTCGACCTTAGGTTCGTGGGAGTTTCTGCACTGCATTACCTAATGGCTTTGTGACAGGTTCGTCTCGAGGACAACTGTGACAAACTTACAATAAGGGCCCGTTCGGCAACCGCTCGTTTGCGTCCGTTTCGTTTGTTTTCGTCCGTTTGCGTCCGTTTTCGTTTGAAACGGAAAAACGTGTTCGGCAATGTATTCGTTTCATTAGAAATCTGTCACACTGCATAATGCGGTGTCGCACTAGTACTTGTTTGCTCACTCTCGTCAATCAAATGTCCCACTGTCCCTACTCTGTTAACTACTACCAGTCTACCACCATGCCACCCTCTCTCTCGCTCTTGTCGGATACCAAGGAGAATATCAATTCACTGCAGGAACCTCAAGAGCAGGCTGTCAGCACTAGGAAGATTCCACGGAATGCAAAGTGGATTTCGGGAGATGATGCAACACTCCTCGACTCTCTCAAGACTTTTGCTGATGGAAACTCGGCTGATAATGGCACCTTCAAGTCTGCAGCATTTACAGCTGCAGCAAAGGCCCTCAAAGACAGCCACAAAACCAGTGGGGGTGCTCCGAAAACTGCAAAAAGTTGCTCGCATTGTTGGGCCACTGTAAGTAGTATTTTTCCTCCATTTTCATGCTGATTTATTGTTTGAAGTTGAAGGCCAACTGTCTCATTGTCCAAAAACTGTGAGAGCTGTCCGGATTTGGGATGAGACAAGGAAGATTGTCATTGCCAGTGACAAAGTGTGGGATGATTACCTCAAGGTAAGCTTTCATATTTTGTTCATTTCTTGACTAAATTGCTGTTTAGGCCCATCCCGAAGCCAAGGTTTGGCATTTGACACCATTCCCCCTCTATGATGACATCATTGTGCTCGTGGATGGGTGTCATGCCACGGGTGAAGGGGCACTGCATTTTAATAGTCTTGGGTATGAGACAAGCCCTCCATGGCCAAGCACACTTCTCCTCGATGATGAAGATGATGTCTTTGTAGGTGAGGATGCACTTGGAGGGAATCACGAGTCTGAATCAGCTGATGAGAAAGTGGTATGTACATCAATTTGCTTGCTTCATTGTCTGACTCATATTCACACCAGTTGACACCTATTTCTCACACTCCATGTGTTCCGAAACGCGGACGTGCTCCTTCAGTATCACCAGCTTCAACCGGAGTCCATAAAAAATGTTCCAATACAAAGCTGACTGGTCCAGCAGCAATTCTCGGAGTAGCTGATGCTCTCGAGTCTGTTGCTACGTCGTTCACTGCTCCTACTAGTTTTCTTGATGATGTTCCCAGTACTCTGAAATGGCGTATCAATGCCATCCAGGCTGTTTGTGCTGATGCATCCTTATCTTCTGACAAACATGCCAAGGTTGTTGCTCTATTTACCAAGGATGTAGCTATTGCAGATGCCTACACTGCCATTTCAGATGTCCCTCTCCGTTCTATGTACATTCATCTTGAACTTGGAAAAATGTAGATAGATTTTCCTAGTTCTCATTCACAGTATACTCAATATACTGTGCCCACATTGCTTCTGCTGTATCATCTCATTTTCATCCTGCCCTTGCCCTTTCTGCTGGTGTGATTGGATGACTGAAATCCTCAACTCTCTGCTGTACAGCCTGAACAGCCTGATCAGTGCCCACCTCTGCCTCCTCATTTCCTTCCTCTTCATCATCTGGATCATGAACACGGATGAAATTGTGCAAGACGCAGAGGGCAGGAACCAGCTTTGTCTGTACCACAAGACTGTATTCTGGGGCAGCAACCATTAGCTGGAATCAACGCTTCACCGCACCAAAAATGCGTTCAATAACATTTTGGGCTTGGGCATGTCGTAGGTTGAACAGTTCTTGGCGATTTTTTGGTCTAGTTATTTTTCAGCATTTTTTGAATGGTTGATCAACAGAAAAAAAATCATACCTTTGACTTGAACGACCCCATTCCTTGAGGTGATAGCGTACACCACAATATGGAACCAGGAGTGAGTCACATAATGGAAACCCTGCATCAGTGAGGTAACAGAGATTTGGGGGGATGGGAAAGTTGGTTCGCCGAGCATCATCATATATGCGGCTGTCAGCTGCACTTCCCTCCCATCCTGCAAGAACATATGAAAAGCGCATGCCAAATGTGCATGCAGCAAGGACATTCTGTGAGAGGCGGCCCTTCTGATTGCAGTAGCAAGCAGTCAGGGCATCATTGGGAACAAAGGTATCAATGTGTGTCCCATCAATTGCACCCCGACAGTGTTGAAAAAATGGGTAGAGCTTGGGATTACTGTAAATCTCAGGGGGGACTACATCATTGAGTGGCAGGCTGACATAGTGCTGATAAAAGTGTGGTGATATTACCATGTCTAGAAGATGAAGAAAAATCCTGATAGTACAGTCACAGTGATAAATTAATCCTACTGCATTTTAAATAGTAATGTTGGGCACTCACTTTGAAATAGTATCTGCACTGTGCTGGAACCGTTCTTGCATGTCCCGATTTGTACTCCCAGTACGGCAGATTCGAAGGAAAATTGCCAGCTGTTCTTCGGATGAGATATATCTTGAATGTGCAAGGTCTGCATATTCACTGAGTTCATGGAGCAATCGGCAAAATACTGGCTTGGAAAGGCCCATCATATTATGGAAGCGACAGGGATGTCCTGATAAGAGCTCCTGGACCCATGAATGGCCTGTCAAGATAGAGTTGTGCTGGGGAATCTTGTCAAGATAGGGCAAGGTGGCTACAGCCACTGCAGCAGCTGAAAATGCAGCAGCTAGCACTGCAGCTCTCTTTCTGCGGGTGTGGGTTGCCTTAAGAGAGGCTTTGAGGGCCTTTCTCTTCCGCGATGAGGTCATACTAGTAGTTGTAGAGCTCAAGCAGCAAACTGATGGTTATCATTCATTATCTGATGTATTTGTACATGTGTGACAGCATGTGACATCCGTGGGAGCATCCGTTTCACTTCAATGTCCGTCCATTTCAAAATGAAACGCACCCAAACAAATGAAATGAGCGGTTGCCGAACGGGCCCTAAGCTCATAAAGTTCATATATACATGTTCAGTAGGATAATATATGTACTTTCTACACAGAGTATAGCCCAAAAATGACAATAAGAAGTGGAAAAAAGTGGTTAGGTGAATTTTTTCATAAAAAAAAACATATCTCAAAACAAACATATTATATGTTATGTTACAAAATTAGGGTTGTCAACCCAAAAACAGCTGTGACTGTCACAAAAAATAGGTTTGGTTCATCAAGCTAGCTACAGTGTGATGAACCTAAGGTCAAAATTATACAGTAGTGGTGATTTGCAACCTTGTATAATCATAAATGATCCAGATTCCATAGATCCTAGAGAGATATTCAAAAAGTTACACCCAGAGCATATCAAACACCTTGTCAGGGTGTCAGAACACAATTTTGATAGAGATCATTCTCTTGTTTTAAGATGCTATAGACAGAGGATTGATGACATGTAGTAGAACCTTGCCTCCTCTGGACACAAGTCTCAACTTGTTGTCACCTCTGACCCTCTGACCCTCCACTCCGACTTAGAGCCGTGCTCTAAGTCTTCCCCTTAATACTCCGCCCCTATCAGATATCCTCCTTCGCCCCTCTGCATTATCCTCCACCTTTCCCGCTCCTACCAACATTCCCCTGCTCCTATCCCCTCTCTGCATCACTCCCCGCCTTCTCCGCTCCACTCCTAGTCGGCCCACTGCTAGTAGCTCTTACTCCCCGACCCTCAGAGCGGACCAAAGCAGTCCAATTGTCCTACCGTCGGACAATGTTGGACCCGCTCCAAATTCGGGGCACGTACTCGGCTAAGGGCGCAGTGCAAGAGCTGAAGCCAAGCCCCGACCCCTCTGCTTCTTGAGTCGGCACGGTATCTAACAGAGCCACAAACTCTTCGATCCTTGAGGTGTTGCCCAAGTTGATACCGACAGAAGATGACGAAGATGAGGATATCAAGGAAGCCTCTATCCATCATCAGATTCATTCGACAGGTTTCAAATCTTCACCTTTGTCACATAAATCGCAAGGACATGTTGAGATAGAGGAAGTCAAGGATGAGGATTCATCACAGAATGTGTGGATCAGATACAAGAGCTCTGTTGCATCAGAGTGAGCTCAACAGGAGGAAAAGAAGAAGGAAAAGAAGCCCATTGAAGAGATGGTCCCAGAATGGCTCTATGATTATTTTAAGGTCTTCTCTGAAGAAGAGTCTACTCAATTACCTGAGTCTAAGAAATGGGATCACAAAGTAGACCTCAAGGACCCTAACGATCTTCCTCCCAACGTGAAAGCATATCCCCTTTCACCCATAGAAAATGAAGCATGTGAAAAGTGGCTCAAACAAGAATATGATTTAGGACAACTGAGAGATTCCGAATCTCCAGTAGCAGCTCCTTTCTTCTTTGTTGCCAAAAAAGATGGAAAGCTCAGACCTGTCATGGACTATTGGAGATTGAACGAGAAAACCATCTGAAATGCATATCCCCTCCCTTGTTCTCAGGATCTCATCGATCATCTCTCTGGTGCAAAACTCTTTTTGAAAATGGATGTTTGATGGGGTTACAATAATATTAGGATGAAAGAAGGAGACCAGTGGAAGGCCGCCTTCAGAACCCCTTTTGGACATCACAAACCAGTCGTAATGTACTTTGGCATGACAAACTCTCCCACTACTTTCCAAACTATGATGGACCAAATCTTCCAAGATCTAAAGGAAGGCAAGGTCGTTGTAGTCTACATTGATGACATCTTGGTTTTCACCAATGATGATGTAGAGAAACATTGAAAGGTGGTGCACGAGGTACTACAGAGACTTCAGGACAATGACCTCTATCTCAAACCAGAGAAATGTTCCTTTGAGAAGAAAGAAGTAGAGTTTCTCGGTTTGATCATCAAAGATGGACACGTTTCCATGGATCCGGTCAAGGCTAAGGGAGTTCAGGAATGGCCCACTCCTACCTGTGTCAAGGACATTCAATGATTCATGGGATTTGCAAACTTTTATCGTCAATTCATTCTCGGATTCTCAAACATTGCCAGACCCATGAATGAACTCATCAGGAAGGATGTACCATGGGAATGGATGGACAAGCAAGAGAAAACCTTCCAAACTCTTAAGGACAATTTTACTTCTGCACCAGTACTAGTTATGCCAGATGCAAAAAAGAAACAAAAGATAGAGAGCGATGCATCTGACTATGCTACTGGTGGTGTACTTTCTCAGTTGGAAGAAGACAGACTATGGCACCCAGTGGCCTTTTTTAGTAAATCAATGCAAGATTCAGAGAGGAACTACAATATCCATGACAAAGAACTTTTAGCTATCATCCAAGCATTGGAGGAGTGGAGGCATTATGTGCAGGGCACACCTCATCCAGTAGAGATTTGGATGGACTCCAAGAACCTCGAATACTTCATGACTAGTCAGAAGTTAACTCGCAGACAAGCAAGATGGTCCTTGTTCCTTGCAGAATACAACTTTACACTGTAACACAAACCAGGGAAGGTTAACGACACTGCCAATGCTCTGTCCAAGAGGCCAGACCACAGATGGGGGGTAGAAAATGACAATTCCGATCACATGCTTTTAAAACCTGAGTTTTTCCACATTAAAGCCACAAAAAGAGGTCAGATTCTGATACAAGGAGAACAGTCGCTATTGAAGCATATCAGAAACTGCACTGATTTGGATCCAGGAGTCCAAAATGCTATTGAAACCCTGAAGAAAGCCCCTGTACAGTTGAGAAGAGGACAAGAGGAGTGGAATACCGAGGATGGACTCATTCTATTCAGAGGATTGGTTTATGTTCCCAACAACAAGGAAATACATTGCTCAGTGCTAGAGATCTTTCATGACTTGCCTGCAGCAGAACACATGGGATGTGCCAAAACTCTTGAACTTGTCTCTCAGAACTATTGGTGACCCCAGATGCAGAAGTGGGCCAATGACTATGTAGATGGATGTGATTGATGCAAATAAACAAAAGTGTTACCATCTAAACCCCATGGACCCTTGAAACCAAACAAAATTCCAGAAGGACCATGGCAAATAATTAGCTGTGATCTTATCACTGATCTACCCATCTCTCAAGGAAAGGACAGTATCCTAGTAGTTGTTGATCGATTCACGAAACAAGCACATCTTGCTCCTACCACTAAGGACATTAATTCCAAGGGAATTGCAGACTTATTTCTCAAACATGTGTGGAAGTTGCACAGAACACCAAAGAAGGTGATTTCAGATAGGGGAACACAATTTGTGTCCAAATTATGCAAGAAGTCTCAAAAAGACTAGGAACCAAGTGGTCCATGTCAACAGCATATCACCCTCAAACCAACAGACAAACTGAACGAGTCAACCAAGAAGTAGAACAGTACCTTCGACTCTTCGTGTCTTACCATCAAAATGACTGGGTATCATGGCTTCCCATTGCAGAATTTACACATAACAATTCCATTACAATGACTGGACACTCCCTGTTCAAAACCCTCTATGGTTATAACCCTGAATTTGTCATCTCTCCTAATTCCTCTAATACTGTTCCTCAAGCCAATGAGAGAGTAGCCGAGATGAAAGAAGTGCAGAAGGAAGCAAAGGCAACACTAGAAATAGCAAATGATTGAATGAAACACTTCTACGATCATGGAGTGAAAGACACACCCGTTTTGGAAGTAGGACAGAAAGTCTGGCTAAATGCCAAGAACATCAAACAACGGCGCCCAAGTCAGAAGTTGTCGGATCACCACCTTGGCCCCTTTGAAATACTCGAGCGAATAGGTGAGTTAAACTACCGGATTAAATTACCACAATCACATCAGATCCATCCAGTGTTTCATGTAGGATTACTCACACCGCACAAAACCTCCACTTAACGCCTTGAGTCGCTCCCACACATCTACCTCCAGATATCATCCAATCCGAAGAAGAATATCAAGTAGAAAAAGTAATATCCAGTAGAATATGGTGACGGCAGCTACAATACAAAATAAAATGGAAAGGATATCCATTGGAAGAAGCGACATGGGAAAGTGAAGAAAACCTGAAGAACTCCCCCAGATTAGTCAGTGAATTTCATGCCACACACCCTGACACTCCAAAATCACACTGCATCACTAGTTCTATTATCCCAATTCTTTACACACCCAGTTTTCTAGAATGGAGACAGAAAAATATCCGACCATCCTATATTTGTGAGGACGCTCATCCTAGAAAGGGGGTAATGTCACGAATCCCCAATATGAATCATTTTTCATTTCTCAGTTTTCCTAGCTACTTCTAGTTACCAAACCGGTCACATGACTTCACTTCCTGTCACAACTTCACCTCTTCACATATCACCCGTTGTTTCTCTGATTGGTTCCCCAACTCCACGGCCTAGAACAATCGCTTCCAGAAGAAGAACTGTTCTGATCTTGGGTTTCTATTTAGTTACCATCTGACTCATTGCTTATATATCATGATGTCATACTCAGTCATCCACAGTATTGTACAACTCTTTTCTCATTGGCTGATTTCTTTCATACTCAGATATCTCCTATTCAATGTTATGTATATAAGTAGGTTAATTAATATAAGTACTCCTTAGACTTAACCTCTTCGTTTCTACACTTGTAGTAGACTTAGACATTCATGCTCAATCCTATCTTGCCTTATTCATCATCTGTGACCGAGTTCTAGTGGTTGTGTGTTAGCCTTTGCCATTCAGTGAACGCTAGTCATAACATTGTATGATCCAACTATCCATTCCAATCTAACCTGTTGTACACTATGGCACATTGTACATTTTGTTATTACTTTATACTCTGCTACACTGTGCCACATAGCCCAAGATTTCTATAGTATATAAACCCCATGTATTCCGGTAGTGTTTCTACAACATGAATATAGACACGAACCTGTCTATTCAAACCTTGAAACTAGTCTCACCGACCTCTGCCTCTGTCTTCCAACAGTCCTTATATTACTTTCTACATCGGACTTAGTCCCTCATAGCCTTACCTCTGTCAGAGTGTGTTGGACGTAGTTCCCCGCAACTATACCCCTGTTGAAGCATGTTGGAGTTGACCTTTGGCAAAGCCCCTATCTGTCCTCTGAAGTTAAGAGCACTGTACTCACATAAGGAGTGCAGTACACAAGCTGAAGCTAAGTCCTTCCATAACCTCCTTCCTACCCATTAGGCACAGCTCTAATAGCTACAAGGACAGCAGGAATTACATGAAACCACCAGCTGCTGGCACTCATGGAAAGGAGAGACAGGGAAAAGGGGGACAATACTGTGACCAATGACTCATTGCCAGCTACCATTAGTTGATAGAGTGTCCCCATGTGTACCAACAGGCTCATCAAGCATCTGACAGAGTGTGCAATCTTATTCCTAACTGAAAGCAAGAAATATACTGATTGTGGTGCTGACTTGGGTTGCCCATTGAGTAAGGACAAGGGGGAGATCCACAGTGTAATTGTGAAGCTTATCTTTCACAATGATGCTGTGTGTGCAAGCTGGTATGCCACCAACCCTGTTGAGTTCTGTGACTCTATGACCAATTGGATTGCATTGTAAGTGTCCCCCCTTAGATCTATTGTGCATTGTGCTGACTGAATGATGTGAAGTCTATAGATTAAATTCTGTGATATTTGCAATGTGGGACCATTAGGATAGGATACTGGAAGGGCCATTGCCTTTTTCTTATTCTTTGTACGGGCCATGAGCTTGAGGTTTGTGTCTATAGGTGTGGGCATTGTGCCCATCAATTCAGAGATGTCTGGAAACTTACATTGTGAGTGTCCCACTCATGTCTCATGAATACTACTAATAAAATTTGCAGGCAAAGTTGAGAAGGAATTCCCCTGGTACAACAACCTCTACAAGATATGGGGCTCCAACCCCTGCTAAGAGGACTTCATTGAAGCTGGGTATTAATTATGCAAGTGACCTATTTGTGCTGACCCATCCTGCAGAAAGCTCACAGAACCCTCCTTTGGGCAGCTTGTGTGCCTTTCTGCAACCTAATATGTCTGTCCCTGATACTACTACAGACAGTGCCAGTTCCCCACAATTTAACAATATGACCCTTCCCCCAGGTGCTTGTGCCCTGCAATATGGGTACATGGGTGATTATGCTGGTCCCCAACAAATGGACTATCTCTGCCCTCCCTCAAGCATTTATAGAGGCAGCTTAACTAACTCCCTCATGTAAATGGACTTCGTTTATCTCCCAAGCACTTCAGCTGGTGGCACTATTGGCTCCCCTCAAATTTAATTACTTTCTCCCTTCTTAACATGCTCAGCAAGCCAGTGCCACTGTCTTCTCCCTGTAATGAAACTTTCATTTCACTCCCACAAGCAATCTAGATGAATTAAAATTAGTCAAAAATCTGAAAAATCTGTGGAAAATTTAGGAGATACTCTGGATAGGTGGATATTAAAGGTTTTCTGGTCCCTTGTCAACCTACAATTATGTGACTTCTTTAAAGGTGGAATACACCACTTCTCAAGAGGATATGTGCTATCAGCCCAAATCCAATGATCATGGGGAAAGAGTGTGTCATGCTCCTGATAAACACAAGTGGATTTGAAGGCATGAGCATCATGAGTACTTCCAGGATGACCAAGAGAATAATTGGCAATGAGAAGGTTATGGGGCATAATCACCACCTAAGATTTTATAGCTGTTAAAATAAGAAGAAAAAATACCTGACAGTTGAGGGAATAGTTAGATTTTCTGTTATAAAATACCTCACCATAAAGTCTAGGTTTCTCATACAAATTAATAGCTGAGCCATCAATTGTAAGGATACCATTTCTCTACTCAGGGTAAGACTTGGACTCAACATCTTTGGAGTCAGGAGCAGGGAAGTAGATGAATGTGTTATGCTGATCAAGGATTGCAACCATTATACAGTTACTGCAATTGATATTGATTACTGATCCAACACTGACACCTGCCCATTGGCCCACATCCTTTGGAGAGATAGCATTTCTGTAGTGGCCAGCATGGTTAAGAAAAATAGCCAGTTGGATAGCAATGGGAAGTTGAGGGTTAGTGAAAATGGAATGATCAGAGATTTGATCAAGAATATCATCAAAGATGTTTGAGTTGACACATAACTTCTTATGGAAGAGGTGGTATTGAGAGTGCCCAAATTCATAAATGAGCTGGATCTAAGGTGCTCACATAGGAGGTGTATCTGGTTTATGAAAAACACAAGCCCTGGTAACCTCATCATGGAGGGCAACAATGGTGTTATGAATGTGGTCATAATGGATAGTGAAGCCATCAGATTCATTGCTGGAAGAAGAGTCAAAGTCTAAAAGGTCAGAGAATTGTGGGGTAAGAGGAGATGGGGGGTGAACATCAGATCAAGCTCAAGATCAGAATCAAAGTCAAAATCATCACTGTCAGAGTTAGAACCATAAAGATCATTCAAGCTAAGGAGGGTACACTCTAGCCTAACTTTAACTAAAACTAGTTTAGCTTCATCCAGTTACTTGAGCAGCTGATTGTGTAGGGAGGGATGTGGCATCTTTGGGGATTGGGGATTGAGAGAGATAAGCTTATCATCTGAATTGATGGGGGATGCCATTACTGAAAATGGCAACATTTTCAAGCAGAGCTTAAATTTTACTTAGTTTCTTTTCTGCTAGATGTCAAGCCACACAGCAACAATGCTCTATACGTCCAAAATCTATGATCTGCATGATGTGTAACAACCAACTCCACCATCAATGAAAGTTTTCTTATCATGCTGTATGTGCCTCCCCAATCTATCAGCTCAAGGGCACCTACAATTTTGTGATGGAAATCAAGAAAATTTCAGGGTAGGTTTGGACTGGTGAGGGAGGTGCTGATATTGAAGTAAAGGATGGGGATTCATGGGACAGATAGGCAAAGGTCAGCATGTACCACATCACTCCTCCATAATCTTGGACTAACCCAATATTTCAAAGGGACATGCCAGTGTAGAATCCTTCAGGAACAAGGGCTTTAACTTTCAGATAATCAATGATATGATGCCATGCAAGTCAAAGAGAGATTTCATACATAATCCTAGCAACAACACTGCTCCTTCTACCCCTGCTGCTGCAGCATTGTCTTCTGCATCTGACACATTAAATCTTGCTCAGCTTGCCACTGCTACAAATGAAATTAGTAGTTATATTGCAGCAGCAGGCCCAAGGTTTGATCCATAGGCACCATCATCAAATATTCCTTCAATCTTTCTCTCCAGGTCTGCCACATCATCTGTGGTGACAAGTGTCAACCAGACAAAATGTAAGCACACTGAAATAGGGTCAGCAGCCTCTGGCAGAAGCATAGCAAAGTGCTCTCAACCTTCCTTAGCTTCTGTGAAGGCACAGTAGGGGGCAGCAACACCATAATGAAGTTCAACAACATCTTTGAAGGATTTATTGATAAATTCAATAACACTCAAATGTCATTGAACCTTGAGTATGCCTGTGCAATCAGAATGCTAAAAGAACATAATGAGGCAGGGTTGTCAGCATAGGAATGAATGGACCTCTTGAGCTTCATGGGGAGACACCTGAAGGAGGTCAAATTGTACATAAACTTAGATGATGGTGAATAGGTCTTTATTCATTAGAGTGCCAAGTTGCATGTTTCAAAGACAAGTGATAAGCTATTGCAGCCACTGCTATATTCATTTCCTGCAGAAGACAGTATCTTTGAGATATTACACAATATAATTCAGTGCAGTAACTTCAGTCCTCTGTCTATAGTATAAAAGCCTACCTTTGAACCATATTTGTCTCATTATTATTCTGACTCATGGTTCAATGCTCTAGATGTTCTTTCTCTTTTTCCTCAGGTAGGCAATTCTATGTGTGCAAAGTGCTCAAAGCTCAAAGCTACAAGTGCAACTGATTAAAAACAGATCATGTGCATGCTCACTTCACTTTGTGTCTGTCATCTATATTTACTGATACATTCAGCAATAACCATAATGTGAAGGCTGTAGCTGTGTTTATCTGTTCCTGTGTTCACTATTATGTGGTGGCTGAAAAACAGTGAAAAATATGAGTAAATGTTAACAATTCTTGGTCACACTATTGAATGTCAAATTTAGCTTCAAATAAACAAGCCAGCAGCAATGTCACTACCAAAGGCATTGCTCAGTCAATTTTACATTGCCAGCATGTGCATACCAGTGAGGCAACTAAGCATCAACTAAACCAGTCGCAGTTACAAAACCCTTCAACATCAAACACAAGTAATATGAAGCAAAAGGTTTCTGCTCTCAAGGCCAATACTCAGGTAGCAAAGGCCAATATTGACTTCACTCTTCATCAGTATCTCTTTGGGAGCTCAAAGCCTTTAAAACTCACTATTCCATCATCATGAGTAACTTGGGTCACTGGGTACCCTAGCCATGAGTGCCTTTAAACAGTTGGCTTTAAATGTGAGAGGCCTATATGATGGTACTCCAACCATTTCAGAGCTTTCAAACACAGCTTTTGATCTCATGTTTGACTAGTAATGTTGCTATATTGCAGTTGGCTGACAAATACTAATGAACACTGCCATAAATTTGATTGATCAAAAGTATCTGGTGGCAGCAACTATGAAAAGCCTCTATAAAAAACTAAAGCAAGATAGAATGTTATCTGAGAAAGATGCATCTGCAAAAACTCCAAGAATCATCCTTCACCTGTTCCTGTATGTCTCTGATGAGGTATACTCAATCTATTTGTATCTTAAAGCTACTGTCTAATACATGGTATAGCCTGAGAATGATGATATCCAGGAAGTACAATGAAGTTGGTAAGTATTGAGTCACAGATCAATAGCATTAAGTGCCTGGCTGAAGCAGAAAATATTCTGAACAGGTAAATGAGCTTTAATTGTTATGATTATTATACTTATATATCTGAACAGCATCACCTGAATGTTTGCACCCTGCTAAGCACTGTCAGAGTTCATACCAACCCAGATGTTCTGCTACTACACCCATCTTTGAGTATGAAACATTTAAAATGAAGTGTGCCACATGCTCTATAAGCAAGACTGAGGACATACAGATGCAGAGCAATGAGGAGGAAGAGGAAATCATGGTTGTAAGGGGGTGGCAAACTCATGTCAAGGCATGAAAACCCTATCAGGGTTACCTTGGCCAGGGATTGACACAATTTGTCTTTCATGTGGGTTCTATTACTACAGTATCTTTAACTGGTCCTGCTACTGATAACAATACCAACTGCACCATTCTATAATACAAATGCATCCATTTATGCAAAGCCAAGAATATAGTGGATCTAGAGGGTGAATTTACAACACTTCATCTGTTTTAGTATTTTTTAGACTCATTCTGCAAATGAGGAGAAGATTGTAGTGTCCATAACCTTCCTAGTAAGCTTATTATATAGTATGAGTATCAATATAGGCTGACAAGACACAGAGATGAAGTGGAACATTTCCAGAGCATTCATAGGGAAGCTGATTGAAAAACTCACAGATGCTCCAAAGAATGGGGAAGAGGATTCATGCAGCCTCATCTTTAGTTTCTGAGTTCTAAGTTTTAGTCAAGTATAAAGAAACTTGTTAGATCAGAACTAGGAATCAGGTAAGAACCAAAATAGATTTAAGTTAGAGAGTAAAAGTGATATCAATTGAGTATTTATACATAAGGAAATATACACAGACCAGGACAGATAGGGAAGGCATATGTAAAAGTACAACAGGAACCAGATTATAGAGAAGATGGTGGAATATTGTAGAACTGAGATGACATAAGTGTTCACATGTTGGATGTGTTTGATAAGTGGTCAGACATATCATACAAGAAAAAGATATATAACATGCTTAAAATGCATTTTATCATAACAGAAACGAATGATACAAACAATGTACATCATACAACAACAAAAAATTGCATTAGACCAAACAAAGCTAACACACATAGTTAACCATTCCCCCTCTACAGACTTTTTAATAAGAATAAACACATTCTTGCCTTTTTTGGACCACTCACACTCACAATATCTACTGATATAATATTGATTGCCTGCCTCCACTAGCCTGCACACCTTTGTATTGCCTTTTCTATGACTTGCACTTGCTGCCAAACCACTCATATATGTAACCCTATACCAGATTCAGGTAGCTGTGTGCCAGTGTAGGAGAGGAATTGTGTGTGGGCTATAGTGATAGCAAACTGATCCAAAATGAGTACAAGTGTCTTAATTGACACAAGGAGATTGCTACTGAGAGCAGTTCCTCTAAATGTGTGAGTGAGGGAAACAAGTATGACAGGAGTTATGATCTAGTTGGCTATTATGCACAAGATGCAAGATACATAGAAGTGGGTTGTGGACAGCAGATGCGGATAGTGGGATGTAATGTGATATCGTTCCAATGCAAAGGGAGTGTATATAACTAGGTACCATGTATGTGGGAAACTATATGAAGTGCACCAGAATCTGTTCTGGGACTCACAATAAGGTCACTAGGTATAAGATTTCCTATCATGAAATTTCTCACTAAAGTAACCAGGTTTGGTGAAAAAATTCATAGTTGAGCTATTAATAGCTAGAAAGCCACCTTTCTACTCTGGACAGGTATGCGACTTAGCAAATTTGAAAGCCAAGTCAGCATCCTCAAAGTTATCTACTTGAAAACAGATAAACTGATCATATGCATTGAACACCACAATCATCATACAATTAGTGCAATTAACCACAGACCCAATACTCATGCCTGCCCATTGAGCAACATCCTTGAGAGTAATGGCATTGCCATAGTGGCCTGCCCAATAGCAAGTTGGATGGAGACAGGGAGCTAAGGATTATTGTACTGGTTGCAGAAGATAGAATGATCAGAGATATGATTGAGGATGTCATCAAAGATCTCAGGGTTAATATGAAGTTTCTGTCAAAACAAGTGAAGGTAGTGTTCTTAATGATGAACCAACATATGAAGCTGAGGTGCTCATGGAGGAGGTATGGATGAAATGGAAACAAAGGTCAATATGCTTCATCCTAGAGTGGAACTTTTGGTTCAAGGCAAGTGCAATAGCCACTTGATCGTTGCAGTAGACAGGAGTGGGGATAGTAGAGGTGTCATATAGTTTACTAATGAGGAAATGCAGGTAATTAGTGTTTTAAAGTCCAATCCGGTCCAGTTTTTTTTACTCAATATGGGTGCAACTGGACCCAACTGGTCCAGCTCACAAGGTGATTATTTCAAAGACCAGACTGAACTGAGGAAGACCAGTCTCTACCAGTCCATGGACCAGTTTGTAGTCAGTTGCAACCAGTTCCAGTCTTGACCAGTTAGGACCACACTTACTACATCAGGAAAAACTGTATCTCTATATAGCCCCGATAGCACACCACAGCTCTATACAGTCTATCGCAAGCTATCACAGCACTATAGACCAGTATAGACATCATGAAAGTCTATATTACCATAAAGTTTGGTAAGTGTATTTAGAAGTAAAACATTTCAACAACTATAGACCCCAGTAGACTGTGGGAACTTTTTTCAATGAAAACCAAAGTTGTAGTCCTTGTCAAGGGAAGTCTATCCATAGTCTAATGACTTCAATAGGTCAAGATCTTAGTGAGTTATAAGGAAAATACTTGGAATTGAAGGGTTCAAAAGTGTTAAGGTACACCTTATTTATGTAAGCAAAAATGCGAAAATTCACCTTATGTGTATTCAAAATCCTAATGCTAACAGTCAATTTCATTGTCTTTTTCTTACTGTCATAATCCTAGTCCTAATAAGCAAAAACTCGAAAATTCACCAAGTCTTGTGTTGTGGCTTTGTTTGGCACTGCTTATGTAAGCAAAAATGCGGTCAACCAACAAGTCTTTTCCCATTCTTTCCTTCCCCCCCACTGCCCCCTCATTAGATTATCTTCCATATTTCTCTTACAATTTTCGAGTTTTTGCCTCTCTTCTCTTCTTCTTGCTTCTCTATCCTTCTCTTGGTGTTGATGTTGTTGGTACTGGTACTGGTGCTGGTGCTTTGAACTCTGGTAAGTCTCCCTCCATAATTTTCGCATTTTTGACTATTTGACTAATCTTTTTTCTAACCCTCTCCTTCTAGCTCTCTTCCCTCCTGCTCCTCCTCCCCCCAACTATTTTCGCATTTTTGACCATTTGGCAAGTCTTTTCTCTGACTCTCACTTCCTCCTGTCTAATCCTCTCCTTCTAGCTCCCTTCCCTCCTCTTCCCTCAAGAATTTTCGCAATTTTCACTATTTGGTAAGTTCTTTCCTCTCTGATTCTTCCTTCTAGTTCTCTTGCCTCTTCCTCCTGTAATTTTCGCATTTTTGCCTGTTTTGTAGTTATTAGTTTACATGTATTGTAGTAGTTGAAATATAATTTGGTAATTTTCGCTTTTTTTAATTTTTAATTTTGAGAACACTATCATGGCAACAAACAGCTATTAAGAGAAATTTTTGCTTTGTGTTTTGAGCTATAAGAGCTACAATAGTTACAATAGTTGTGGTATGTTCCACCCAGCTATAGCAACTTTAATAGAGCTATATAGCACTATACACTGGTGTAGTAAGCCTGCACAATTGGGCACTTGGCTATATGAGCTATAGGGCTATGGAGTCTGTATAGCAGTCTATAGTGCTATGGGTGGCTATATAGCCTTACCACATTTTCCTGATGTAGTACCAACACATATTTAACACAATGTAAAATAAATAAATCTGACCGAAATATTTTACAAAGAAAGCTTTTCAGCATGCACCCATCCAACTAGTAGCTAACTCATCTGAACATTTATCTACTACCCCCTATGGCCTCTCACAAATCCCAACGGCAATGGATCCCAACAGAAAAGGTCAGTGCCCTTGCACTGGCAGCTGCTCACACTCAAAATGATATACCCAAAACATCTCGACCCCAACCTCCCAAGGCAAAGTCACCTAAGAAAAGTACAAAGAGAAAGGCAATAGCTAGTGAGGAGGATAAGGATGAGTTAGAGAGTGACCAAAGTGTTTCTGAACACAGACATACCCTAAAGAAAAAGGCCAGAAAATGTGCTCATTGCAAGAGTCATTCCCCCAAAGGTGAGCTTATTGATAGCGAAGACGAGAGCCGTCATAGGTCTGAAGATGATGATGGTAGCAGTTATGGTGACAGTGAGGAATCTGTAGTAAGTTTGCACCACTGGATATCTAATGAAAATATGTTAGCTTAACATCAAAAAATTAGAACAAAAATGACCTAGATGCAAGACACCAGGCAGATCTTCCAGACCAAGTATAGACCAAGAAGAATAGTGCCAATGATATGTTGATCATATTCTCTGATCATTGTGATGTTAAGTTCACCAGTGTTATGACCCACGTCCAACAATAATGTTGAAGGAGAGCTCACGACCACTAGGACTCGGTCAGAGATGACGATGAGTAACAGGATTGGATTGAGTGTTGAACGTCTAGGTTACTACAACAGTAGAAACTGAAGAGGTTAAGTCTAAGGAGCACTTACGCTAACTACCCTACTTTTATACATAACATTAAGTAGGAGTCTGAAAGAAATCAGCCAATGAGAAAAGAGTCGTACAATGCTGCGGATGACTGAGCATGACATCATGATATATAAGCAGATGAGTAAGACGGCAACTAAACAGAAACCCAAGTTCCGACCGGTTCTTCTTTGGGAAGCGAGATTGTTCTAGCCCGTGGAGTAGGGGAGCCAATCGGAGAAGCAACGGGTGACCTATGACGAGGAGTCACGTGACCGGCTCGGGTACTGGAAGTAGCCGAAGGAAAACCGAGAAATGAAAAATGGTTCGTATTAGGAATTCGTGACAACCAGCTTGAATGGCATAGTAGAGGCAAAGAGAGGGCGCTGGTGTAATATTTGAAAGTGAGCCAGAAGCATAGTCATGGCTTACAGAGATATGAATACTCACCTGGATTTCAAAGGCAAGATGAACTTTGTTGCAAAATCTGGGAAGCGCAAGGTGTTCCACCTCAGTAGTAACTCATTGTGCTGCCAGCATATTCATAACCACTACTGATCTGTACAAGACAGAGTGCAGCAAGCTGGGGATATACGAAAACCATCATGCAATCCCTTGAGAGCTACTGAAGAAGCAGAAGGAAACAAAGAACTTCAAAGCATCAGAAACTTGCGAACCAGCAGTGTTTGAATGGGATGTTTGATAAAGTACAGATGAAAACCTTTTCAAGAAATGATGTGCTACATGCTGTAGCAGAGTTTGTGGTGTGCAACGACCAGGTAAGTTGTGAATTTGATGGGGCATATTGAAGTGTGAAATGCATACTGACTCAGATTGTGGGAACTTTGGAAGTTACTTGCAGTTGCAAACAATGTGATGTTCAGAAATTGCCTTGCTGCAATGTGACCAACCATCACTAAAGCAGACTTACCAACAACTCACGACATCACTACCTATATACACAATACTTTTGCTACTTTCCTACAGGATCTTAAAACCAAACTACAGGTAAGTCACTCACTTATAGTAGCTAATTATTGCAGTCTTGCTCAATATCTATGTCTAGGCTGCAAACACCGGGTGCATTTCAACAACAACCAATCTCTGGTCTGTAGACCAAACAAAAGTGGCATTTCTTGGGCTCACAGCTCACTGGATCCAAGTTGATGAGAAATCTCAGAAATGGATGTTATGTGTGCAAGTCATTGCCTTTTGAGGTGCTGCTGGGGTGCACAGTGGAGGAAACATAGGTAGATACATCATTGGTTTGTGTGAAAGAGTTGGGATTGTGTTGGGACGATCAATGAAGGTGTGTGTACTTATTTTTGACTGTTTGAATCTATTAATGGATGGGCCAATAGTTATTTTGCATCACAGCAGACAATGCCAGCAACAATGACACAACATGCAAAACAATCAAACAGATTCTCCATCGCCAGCATATCTACTCCTTCAATGCTATGGAACACTGTCTTCTCTGCCTTGCCCATGTCCTCAATCTTGCCATTGTTGTGTTCATGTCTGATATCACATGGATTGATAGTATCAAAACTATGGTGGCAATCTGGGAATTTGATCCCACCCTTTTCAACAATTGTTTACTGGGGGGCTTGTTAGATGTTGTTGCAGCTGTACGAACACTCGCTATCAAGGTACATTCAACGTTGATGGTATGAATTATACATGTATGCTAACTACATGCAAACTTGAAGATCCAGAGTTCAGGACAGCACATTGAATATTTTGAGATGCTTCAGCACAAATGTGGCTTTGAGATCCCACTCAAGGTTCCCCTTCAGAGTAATGTCCGCTGGGGTACAGCAGATGGGATGCTCAGTCAAGTGTATCATCTACAGTCAGGTATGTGGTGCTAAATCTTTGTACTCTTGATGCTGACTGATCTTCATAGCCCATTGAATATGTTTATTAGCACTGCGGATGAGCTCTTTGGCCTTATTACCACCATTCGACATCCATCACATTCTGTCAAGCATGTCCCATGGACAGTGTTCACATTTGGTAGCTATGACTGGGAGCACATCAACAACACTTGCATTGTCATCTCAGATGCTAATGACATGCAGCAAATATTCTCCTCTGAGCAGCATCCAACTCTCTGGTGTGCTATTCCTGCACTCGAGCAACTACAGACCACATGGGAGAAGAAATGGGATATGCTGCGGTATGTGCTCTATCAGGGAGCAATACAGAAAGGTCTCAATAAGATTGGGAAGTATTACAGGAAATTCATCAATAAACCAGTCTATGTGCTGGCACTAGGTACATGTCCTCACTTGATTGAATATTCTTGCCACTGAACTCCATTACAAAGTTCTCCATCCATACTATAAACTCAATTACATCACAATGGCCTGGGGTGGTCAAGAAGAGCAAGCAAGGGAGCTTGCTGCTGGCAACCAAAACACCAAAAACTGGCATGGCAAAGCCCTCCAAGTTGTCGAAAAGACAATGCAAGCTTATTGAAACAACCAGCCAGTTGCAACTACAACACCCTCACTGTTCACTGGCCTATTGTCTCTTGATGTTACAATAGAGTCTGAGTTTTACTGTCACTGACGAATGCTCTGTGTACAAGCACTAAACAATGAAGGCTGGGATACCGAGCTTCAACACTACCTCAAGGACATGGCTGACAATGTTGCAAAGGACATGGATATCATCGAATGGTGGTCGGTAAGCACATCTAAATCTTATGTAGGCTATTTACTCATACATTTATCTAAAGACATTCTACAGTGTATCCCACCCTTTCTAGGATGGTAAGAGATGTATGTGCTATCTCTGCATCATCTGTACCATGTGAGCGCCTCTTCTCAGGTGGTGCAGAGACTGTAACTGACCGTCGGGCTTGTTTGGAAGCTGAGCGTTTTGAGCAACTGCAAGTCCTGAAATTTGCCTGGCATAAGTCCGCTGTTGATTGTGCCACTGCTAATTCCCTCATAGTCGAGGAAGTTCTATTGGAGGAGTTCAAAGAACTCCTTCATCTTGATGACGAGATGGCTATATGGGATGGTGCAGCAGGTGAAGTTGTTGTTATATAGTGATAGAGTCTTGTCTTGTATGTACATACTATGATACTTGAAATTTTCCCTTGCACAGTGACCGGTCTCGGTTGCAACTGGTTGCAGTCAGTCCTTGAACCGGTCTCTGACTTGCTAGCTCAAGAGAGCAACTGGCAACCGGGTGTGAAGTGAAGTGTGGGCAACCAGACTTTTTTGGACCGGACTTCGGTTGTGGTCTGGTTCGGTCTCGGTCTTTTTCCAGTCTGGAAATTGGACTTTCAAACACTCATTGTAGTCAAGTCAGGGCTCATAACCTAAAGCGAGTTTAGGCAAGCAGCAGATGAGCAGAGAGCTAGAACAAATATATTATATGGGTATAGTTAGCTCTGATGCAATAATGAAAATGGGGGGCGTTGGCTCACATCTCAGTCTCAGGAAACGGACTGAGATGCTCGTTCATATGACGTGTAGCTTTAAGGTAGTTAGCATAGCTGTTAGGGACCATGCTTGAACAGAGAAGCGGAGGGGTCAGGGCTTGGCTTCAGCTCTTGTGCTGTGCCCTTAGCTGAGTACGTGCCCTGAATTTGGAGCAGATCCGACAATGTCCGACAATAGGATGACTGGACCACTTAGGTCCACTTTGGTGGGGTCAGGAGGTAAGTGCTGCTAGCAGTAATCCAACTAGGAGTGGAGTGGAGAAAGTGGAGGAAGCTTATTGGAACAGAGGGGAGCAAGGGGAACAATAGGGGGAGTTGGAGAAGTAAGAGCGAAACACTTTAGAGCACAGCTCTAAAGTCAGAGTGGAGGGTCGGAGGTGATGACAAGGTATACTTGTGTCCGGAGAGGGAGCAAAGTCCTATGGAGAATTCCCACTAATAGAGACAGCAGGAAGACAAGTGATATTAAGACTGGGGTGTAGCTAAGTACAGGATATGTTTTTATATACTTCTAAGTAGGAGGCAGTGACTGGTTAGTCCTTGGTAGGAGGCTATGTACCAAGTATACAATTTGTAAGTGAACACAGGCAAAAAACATAAGTCAGGGTGGATATCAATATGTACGCATTGGATCAGTTAGTCGAGCAGTTATAGGAAGTACCAGTGATCTGGGAAGTAAGTACTATGTGCAAATGGGGAAAGTATATACCTAAATGGGAGAAGGAGATTTACAGTAGAATGGATGATGCTGGAAGGCAACCAACGAGGCAGTCGAGCAGAGCTGTAGGAGCGGATGTGGGGTCGACTGGGACAAGCAGAGGGCAGACAGAGCGGAGGGGGTAGGAAAGCAGGGGAGAGTATGATTGTTGGGCTGGAGCAGATATCAATAAGCAGACCAATTGGATCAGGGTATATGACAATAGCAATAGGTAATATAAGATAGCATAGATAAAATAAATGGTTGCATATTGTATATCTCGGCCAATGTCACTTTGTCTTCCATTGTGCCTTCAGGTAGTGCTTGCATTGTCTCACTCTGGTGTCTCACCTTTGGACTTCGATCCAGAGTCCAACAGCAGCAACAGTTGCAGACAAATGCAAATGCCATATGCACAGAGACTAGTGCAGATTGTGGTTATTTAAGCCAAGCGAGGACACAGAACATGGGAGCTATAACAAATGTATTATCTCAGTCTCAAGGTAACAGACTCAGCAGGACTATAGTACCTATAACAAATGTATTCTATGGGTATGTTAGCTCTGTTTCAGTAGAGGGGAAAATATAACGACTTACATCTTAGTCTTGAGGTAACGGACTGAGATGTTCTAATGAATAATTCATAGCTTTATAGTAGGTTAGCATAGTGATAAAGAAATAAGTGTAACATAGGAAATGAAACTTTGCATATGAGTTCTATCGGCCAACATCATCACGTCGCATCCATTCTACTTATCGGTTGCGCTCGCAATATCAACCTGATGTTTTTGACGTCGCTCCCGGTCCATGCTCTGTGTCTCTTATTTTGTCAGAGTTCAACACTCCCCCTCAAGCAGAACCCAGGCTCATCAAAGCTCTCAGCTTTTGATGGCAAGGACGTGGGAGGGGCTTGGTGAATGTGTCGGCAATGTTGTCCTCTGTGGGACAGTACAACAGCTTGAAGGTGCCATTTCTGACATGCCCGCAAATGAAGTGGTAACGTATATTGATGTGCTTTGTGCGGCTATGGAACTTGGCAGTTGGATGCTAAAGCAATGGCAGCTTGGTTGTCACAATAAATGGGAGTGGGGAGGCCTGACTGGGTGATAGAGTTTGTTGATGAGCAACTGCAGGTAAAGGATCTCACGCGCTACAGTAGTTATAGCGATATACTCAGCTTCTGCAGTTGAAAGGGCAATGATGGGCTGCTTTCTTGTGCTCTAAGCGACCAGTCCACCATGGAGAAGGATGATGTATCCTGAAACTGAGTGCCTATGGGGCTGAGATGCCCAATCAGCATCAATGTAGGCCTCCAGGCCCCCATCCAAGCTTTCAAGAGTGAGACCAAAGTCTGCTGTACCCTTCAAGTAGCATAGAACTTGCTTGGTAGCCTCCCAGTGAGGCCTACCCGGGTTTCGCATGAACTGGGAGAGGGTAGTGACCGAGAACGCTATGTCCAGGCAGGTGCTCATGGCTGCATACATCAAGGAACCAATACCACATTGGTAAGGCACATCCCGCATTGCTTCATGTTTGGCTAGAGTGGCAGGGGATTGGTCAATGGATAGGATGATTGACTGGTCCATGGGTGTCAGTGCGTTCTTAGCATCTGTGAGACAGAACCGCTCAAGGATGGTATCAACATAAGCATTCTGGGAGAGCATTATGGTCTGTGTGGCACAATCCTGAACTACCTTGAGGCCCAGGAGCCAGCTTAGCTCACCTATGTCAGTTATCTCGAAGTATTGATGCAACTGACTCTTGAAGTGTTGGATGTGGGATAAGTGATTGGCAGTGATGGCCATGTCATTGACGGATAGCATGATGACCATGTGCTTGTTGGGAGTATGCTTAAAATAGACGGCCTGATCGACCTGTAAGCGCGCAAACCCCAACTTGTTGAATACCCCAGCTAATTCCTCTGCCCACTTGAACCCAGCCTGCTTTAACCCCAGCAAGCTTCTCCTCAACTTCAGTACCTTTCCCTCCTGCCCCTCCGTCAAATATCCTGGAGGCACTCGCATGAAGATTTCTTCCTGAATGTTGGCATAGAGGTAGGCACTTTTGATGTCCACTTGACGGATCTCCCAGTCCTTCTGAGCTGCCATGGTCAAGACAGTGCGTATAGTTGACATGTTCAAGGTGGATGCAAATGTATCGAAGTAATCGACTCCTATGCTATTGTCATTGGCCATTTGCCACGAGACGAGCATGTAGCTTCAATTTCTGCCTGTCAGGACCACATTTTGTTGCTAAGACAAAATGGCAAGGTATTATGTTAGCACCTCACGGTGGGTCAATTACTTCCCAGGTTCCGAGCTTCTTGAGTTGACTAATCTCATAATCAACCGCCTCTTGCCACTTGGCTCCATCTGGTCCATTCAATGCCTGCTTCAGACTTGGCTCTGGTTCTACTGCTACCATCACTACCTCCTTATCCAGCAAATCTGATTCTTCCGCTTGCAGGTGAGTCAAGGCTACTGCTGCCTTCTCCCCCTTGTTCAATGTGGCATAGTAGCCTGGTGGGGGCCTTGCACGTGCCTTGCATGGAGCTAGAGTAGGCGCTAGGAGAGAGTAGGCGCTAGGAGAGTCTGTGAAATCGGCAATGGTTGGATAGGGTGGGAGGAGACGTCCTGGATGGGATTCGGTAGTCCACCTGGTAGGTTGGACTCCCCCTCATATGGTACGTCTACCACCACACTGACATCTGTGGGTGCTGAAACTCACATTGCATTCAACAGAGACCTGCCTCTTCATAGGCCAATAGATGTGATACCCTTTGCTCTGGTCATCAACACCAACAAACATGGCTTCCTCTGCTTGCACCTCTAACTTTCCCGCATCTAAATCATGCACATACGCTGGGCAGCCAAACTCGTGGGCCTGAGCTAATGATGGGTGCCGACCATGTACCAACTCAAAAGGAGTGTGGCCAGGGGATAGCACGAGAAGGTAAACGGTTTTTCAACCATGTGGCATAGTTGATGGCTTCACTCCAGAAAAACTTTGGTAGATTGTGGGCGATTAGCATAGCCCTAGCATGTTTGACAAGGGTACAATTGAGGTGTTTGGCGACATCATTCTGCTGCAGTGAATCATGGATGGTGAGTTGCCTCTCCACTCCGTGCTCCTGGAGATGCTTATTGAATTCCTGACTCAAGTACTCTCCACCATGATCGGAAGACAACTTCTTGACCTGAGCACCATCATATTGATGTAACAACCACGCCTTGTATCGCTTGTAGGAATCGAGTGCGTCACTCTTGTTTGCTAGGAAATCTACCTTCATCTGACAGGTAAAGTCATCTGTGAAGGTCATGTAGTATA